TAATATCTTTTTTACTTCCTCCCCTTATCTGGTCCTCTCGCATTCTTTTAGTATATTTCACTCTCTATCTCCTCCTTATATAGCTTGCATAATTTTTCCTTCTCTGCCTTCCAATATTCTCTTTCTCTTACTTCATTGCCACCTAAATCTTGTTATCGTTTTTCTATTCCTGTTCTTCATTTTTCTGCTTAAATATTTCGGTCTTTCTTCTTTAATTAACCTTTTATATTCTCTATTATATGTTGATTCCTCTATCTTTTTCCTTCTTCTTTCTTTTTCTTTTTCTCTTATCTTCTCCATTACTTCTTCTACAATATTTTTTCCATTCTCTCTATATCTTTCTCTTATCTCGATATAAATGATAGTGTATTAAAAATAAAATAGTACATGAATTAAATACACAGTGCTGTAAACATTAGTGTATTAATTCTAAAATCGATATACGGGCTGTTTATAAGAGCATTTAATAATACGCATTGCCTTCGTAATAAAATACAAGCTATCAAGCTATCGAGTAAAATATATAAATTGATTTTTTTTGATATTGAGGTTTCTCAAGATTCCACGCATTGAGTACTGTTGAAAAATAGCACGACAATTGAAAAATTATACATATAGATAAGATGTTTGTTACTATTATTTTGTTGAATTTTTAAAAATATGAACAAAGGAAAGAAAATCGCAACACATCCCATTTTTTCCCACATCTATTTCTACTCCTTCTAATTTTATTTTCTTTATTGATTTAGACCCTTATTTTCAGACATATCTGTAGTGTACATGACATGTAGATAGCTGGAAATGCAGGCATAATACGCTTGACACACTTGTATCAAATATTTAATGCGTACTATTATAGCTTAAAATACGTAATTAAGTATAAATTTAATATTAAAAATTGGCATAATGTAAATTAGATCTTTTATATTGTAATACTTACAACATAGCACGCGCCGTGCGAATTAGTACTGTTATAAGAAAAAGTAGCGGCGATTGAACTCCATCTACGTTACGTACGGAAGCTTTGAATTTTATATTTTATAGAGAGAATTTTCCAATTGTATTTTCGCGTAAATAAATCGTAAATAAATCGATATATTCATCGTGAACATAAGTAATCACTGTGAACAATCTGTCAATTTCTATTCAAGTCCGATCTTGCTCAATTGAATGATTTAAATTTCCTCTTCTAAGTTTTTTTTTTTCAAATGATTTCATACTGCATCAGCAATGGTTTTTACAAAACTTTCTTCACAATAGTCAATCACAATTCAAATAAAGTTGTTGATATTATTCTTGCTCTTGGTGAAATTAGACATAATTACCATAGAATATAGAGATTGTATTGTAATGGATATTCTCTTAGACGACACCCAAATGCGATGCAGATGGAAAGAATTTTATTACGAGAAAAATCTATAAAAAAGAACAGGCGAATAAATGTTTGAATATGACGTTGATGATTTGTGCGTATTAGCAGTGCTAACAATGGCAAAATTTGAATCTTTAGATTTCAATTAGAGAAATCGAACGTAAATATTCTTTGTACTGTGTAGAGGATTAGCGTGCAGAAGCATAAATTCCACCCTTATCATATCACTTTAATTCAAGAAATACTAACAATAAGTAAAAATGATAAAACGAAAAAACGATTTTATTGTTTGGCATTACGAATGATAAGAGAAGAGCCATTATTTTCAGTGAAACTTTATTCCATTATAAAGAATAATTCAATAGACATAATTATACTCCTGGACAAATTAACGCATAATTTTTTTTCACTTTTTCTTTAAAAGCTGATATTTAAATTTTAACGAAAAATTTTAAAGAAAAAGTGAAAAAAAGCTTGCATTAATTTTGTCTACGGGTATATCATTATAATCCTCATTAGGCTCAATGGATAGATAATCAATGTTGTTGAAGTTTAAATGCTTGGTGCGGAATTGTAAATGAATATTTGATTAGTCCATATTTTTTGATAACCACCTAAATAGGGAATTTACTTTCACTTCTTGCAGAATAAATTGCCTGCAGTTTTGGATAAAGTCAATCTTGTTACTCAAAAAAATGTGGCAACAGGACAGTGCCTTTCCTCATTCGCATCATATATTGTGACGAAATTCCTCAATCTGTTAAGAGATGGATAACAAGATATGGATACATTCAATGATCTTCACGTTCTCTTGACTTGACTTCGCCTGATTTTTTGTAGGACTATATAAAAAATATTGGTTACAAATATTGTTTACAAAATCTTTCCAACATCTGCAGGAGATATTGAATAATTGATGTTTGTGCCGTAGCATTTTTCAAAATATTTTAATATCAATAATAGAATTTTGAGAAATTGCTGAGACTGTGCTTGCAAGAAAGTGGAAATCAATTTGAACATCTTATCAATGGCTAAAAACATAATCGATTTAAAAGTAGAGAAGACTTGAAATGATAAACTAAAGAACGAGTCCTATTGTTAGAATCTTCAACTATACTTCCCAACATACACACACACACACACACACAAAACAGAGATGTAAATCATGCAATCTTCACACGATACATTTGGATAATGCTAATGCCAGAGGTTTTATAACATTCTCATAACTCGAAAAATAAAAAAACTACTTTATTATAATAAAATAATTTCTTAATTTTATATAAACTATAAAATCTCGTAAAATAATCGTTTTTCAATAACATTACTTTGATGCATTTCTTTATGCATAAAATAATGTCAGAAATCAATTGCTGTAAAAAAACACGGATTTTTTAAGAAAAATATGTAACTGTTAATTGCAAATTACATGTATTTTTTAAAAATATGTTTATAAGATAATGTTCTCCATGTTACATGGCGCATGTATATTTAATGATTTGTATTAAATATAATTATTGTTTTATAATTCCATAATTTCTAAAAGTCAATAAATCTTTTAACAAATTATATAATTTTAAGAATTTTCCATGTAATTAAATGCATGCAATTATCAGGCATTTTTTATTCAATAATTTAATATACATTTGCGAAAATTAGAATTTTAATATTGCCATATTTGAATTCTGAGTTTTATAAAAATATAGTATATTGTGTTGTGTGTATATATATAATATAATATAATAATACATTTTATTTATTATAATTGCGATAGTAAAAAATAAGAATAAGTTATTTGGTTTCGTAAACAATAAATAAATTAGTCGAAAAATGAAATTTAACTTGTTATTAAGTACGAGTGGATTATTTACTTTTTAAGTGGGAATATAACGGCAGTGAATCAACCATTATGTTACCGCTGGTAAATCGACCATCATCCGCATAGCACTACAACTCCTAAAAGTGGAACAAGTTGCATCCTTACAGATTCTACCTATAAAAGTGTGTGCCGCATATCTCCACGCTTGCAAATTTCTATTTCTTAAAATAGCTATTACTACTGCTACCATTAGATGACATTTTTCAGTTTTATCATGTGCATTGCATACAAAAATCGTTTTATAGACAATATGCTGAGGAACAAAATGGATTAATAGTTTCACGAATTTATAATAAAGAGATTTATCCTTCCTTCTTTATATAAACATTTATATAAACATACATCTCATCACTATTAAATAGCTTTTAATTAATTCCGTGTGTATGTCTATATAATATTCTTTGCATATTCTATAATAGTAAACTACACAGACATATATATATATATATATATATATATATATATATATATAACCTAAGTTATATATTAAAATAAACTTAGTTATAAATAACAATTTCATATAAATGTAATAAAAATAGTGATAAAATATTTTATTATATTAAAGTAATTAAAAAAAGATATCGTTATATTGGAAACGTAAATATAGTTAAAAAGAAAATATATAAAATACTCGTGTTATTATTATGACATTACATTGTATTTTATTTTAAATACAAATCGTTAATATTTATGAATTAAACTTTATTTATACAATCTCATCATTGAATTACTGAAAGTATGTTGTAACTATGTGAATAATAAACTTTTTCCTTTTTTCTTTTCTATGTGAAAAAATTGAAAGGAACTTTCGGAAAAAATTATACTAATAACTTTATCACAATTTTTTATCGTTAATATTAATTTTTTAATTTACTATTATGTTAAAATATTAATTTTATTAGAACATACACATTATATATTATATAAAAAGCCGATAATATATTTAATTTGCTTATGTAAATGTATATATATGTAGCATCTCATCACACACAGCATTTTTAAACGCAAAACATTAATGAAAAATTAGAAAGATTTAAAAAATAATTTAATAGATAATAATCATAAAAAACAAGAGGCAAATAAAACCATAAACGTTGAAGAACGACGCAAATAACATTCAAATATAAAATTAATTATTACATATTAATTAAAAGACACAGATGTTTCGATCTTTTTCGGATCCTTCTGAATGCCAATCACAGAAAAAAATAATTCAAAAATATACAAACATAGTTAGCACAATGTCAAATATAAAAACTTCGATTCCCAACCGTACAATGTTAAAAGTTAAAATTAAAGTCAAGAGTAAATGTACAATATAAATTAAGTCTCGCAAATAAAATACACAACGCTATGAAAATGCTCGAGGGGCTGCGAGTCTTAACATTGTACGGTTGCGAATCAAAGTTTTTATATCTGACATTGTGCTGATTATGTTTGTATATTTTTGAATTGTTTTTTCTGTGATTTAATATGTAATACATTTTTATTTGAATCTTATTTGCATTGTTCTTCAACGCTTCTGGTTTTATTTATATTTGCCTTTTGTTAAAGTTTTTATGATTATTAATAAAAAAAATGTTGATAAAAAGGTATTATAAAAATAAGATTATTTCAAATATATGAATTACATTATTTTCTTGTGAATTTAAATTATTTCTTTTTCTTATAAATTTGAATAAAAAACAATATTACATGTTTCTTTTTCCCGTATAATATTTTCAATAATTGATTGTAAGTATTTTTTACCTGATAGAAAGGTATTGGCCAAGGAATCGTCATCTTGCCCTGCGACTGATCGAACGAGCACGATTAAAAGAATGATGCTTCCAGAAGCGATTCTCAGTATCATTTTTAATCTGTTTCTAATTATTTTTACTTCTATTTCTTAGGAAAAACAGTAGAAAAAAAGAAAAAAAAAGGAAAAAGAAAAGAAAAAAAGGAAAAAGAGAAACTACTTCCAAGACACTAAATTGATGCACTATTTTGTTTGTGCGGTTTCGATCACGTGCCTATCAAACTGTCTCTCTTTACCGTGAGAGAATTTAGCGATGCTCGCAATGTTGCGTCGTGAGGATCCACATTGCTTTCCTCATCTTGTTTGACAGGGACTGACTGGGTAGAGATTAAAACCGCTTGTGGGTCAGGGTACTCGGATCCCCACCTTCATATAATAGCGGTTCAAGGTGTGCGTATCTGTCTGTTTCTTTCTCTCTCTCTCTTTCTCCTCTCTCTCTCTCTCTCTCTCTCTCTTTCTCTCTTTCTTTCTATGTCGTGCATATATGCATATGTCTCTATATAATTTAAAGGGAGAGGGGGGGAGGTAAAGAGTGAGGAAGAAAAGAAAAAGAAATACCAACAAGAAAGATGATCGACTAATTTTGTAATTGTTGTTTAAGAGGGAAAAGATAGAAGGGCTCTTGATAGAAACGGTATTGATTGTATTTGTTGTTTTTATGATGTGCTGCTATAAAATTAATGATTTAAACCATTACCCCAAAATAAGTTTGTGTGTAAAGTTTCAGTTAATATTAATTAATACATTGTAAAATATTTCGAGATAATATTTTAAATGAAATTTTAATTGAGTAATTTTCGTTGCAATATAAAAAGTGGTCTTCAAAGTTCTTGATAGAAAAATTTATAGATTCAAATTTATTAGAAAAATTTGACGTTGAAATTTAAATGGATAATTCGCATTTGTTCTTGTCGGTCTTCTTCATTCTTCATTCTTTCTTCGATAACCGATCATCTAAGTATACTTTTCTTGGAGCGCTGCTTATGCGCCATGTACTTATACATGGCATAGTTTCGGTTTACACTCATTGCTTCTTCTGATTCCTCTACTCTTCTTTTACTTTTATATGTTCGGATCTCACTTTTTTCCTGTTTTCTCTAGATTTACGTTCTTCTTTCTTTTTTTTTCTCTTTTCTTTCTCTAGCCCTTCCGTTGTTCACTCCTTCATTTCTTGATATCGTGCACGCTGACCGATGAATATGTGTATACCGATATACCTACGTATGCACACATACAGACGCAGATATATACATGTGCGACTAGCGGTACTTTATCCGTAAATGTACGAGATACCGTACAATATATTTTTCTTCAGAATTGATCGCTTTTTATACAAATATCGTCTTACGTATATATATTTCTGATAGAGCTTTACAAAATTTTATAAGAATTAAACTAATGGATATGAAATTTATGACAAAATGAATTTACTTCTTCATGTTTTAAAATGCTAATTATTTATGATAATTTTATGCTATCAAAGATAAAAATGAAGGAAATTAAGATAAAGAAAAAAGAGACTGTTTTATTTTTTCACAAAATATAAAAGAAAAAAAATATATATATATATATCTTTATAAAAATATATCTCTTCGGTATTTTCTTAAGATAGTCTGAGTCTGAGATGAGCTAGATTGATTTATGTATATATAAATTTTTCTATATGTACTATATTAATTATATGAGACAGATTTTTAATATGCAGTATTTCTTATTTTATAAGTGATTAATTTTTGTTGATATATACATACATACTTATATACATACATACATACATACATACATACATATATATATATATATATATATATATATATATGTGCTAAGATTAAAAGATATATACATATATATTTATATATTATTATGTATATGTGTGTGTGTGTGTGTGTGTGTATGTGTGTGTATGATATATACTTTTATACACATATGAATGTATGGGTATTTCATAATATAAATAACTATTGATACATATAAATAACTAAATCTATATAAATATTAAATCTGCATTACAAAGAAAGCCAAAATGTAATATAAAAATTATTTAGATATAATTAACAAGAATTAGAAAATTATTAACGGTTATATGAAAGTAGTATAAAAAATAGATTAATTACGTATATCAATTTATATATCTCATTTCAAACATTTGTGTTATATTTTCAGTTTATAAGCATTTTGTCGCATTATGGATCTTTATATTTGTCGCATTATAGATCTTTATCTTTTCGAAGTACAAAGATTGAAGAAATTCTATCTGTCTTTTGATCTCCGACCACCGTGTTTTTATCTTGTGTTCAATAGCATCAAGAGCTTCGAAGGGAATCTCTAATCTCATCTGTGATGAATTTATTTATCTAAAAAAGATTTTAACAATTGTCATCAATAAATGATTTTGTAATTGTCACAGTATCGTACAGGCAGAGTTTCATTGACAAAGACCATTATTGACAGAATTAAGGAACAAGATATATAGAAGATTGTGTATAAAATATATCACATACAAATTGTGTGTTTTATTCGCTGTTACAAACTTCTATAGTAGGTATAGGAGCTAATATTGAATACTTTTTTTGATAATAAACTTATGCAAATTTATTTTTTTATTGTAATAGCAAATAAAAAGTAATACTTTCAGTTTAGCGCCTTGATGAAGACAACCCATCGAACGCTACTGGTAGGTGTGTAGCAGAATCCTGTACGAGCTGTGGGCTAGTCGACTTATGAAGCCTATTTTTCTATAAATTGATTGAATGGCAGAGGAAGTGAAATAGAAATGTTTTGTTATATTCTTATTTTTAAATTATTGTTTTGTTTTATTTCAAAAAATATTTCAACAATTGCTCAAAATGAGTAAATTTGTCTGCTAAATTTGTATGCAAAATATCGGACTATGTTTTTGTTAATTCTATCAAAAATCTAATCATTCTAGCAAGTGAACATATGAATATACTTTTGGATGTCTTAAGATTATAATTTGTGAACATAGTTTACACAAAAATAAATTTTTGCAAGACAAATATCATAAATTCTATCAAAAAAAATATTTAGAGCTCGAAAATAAAATACATCGACGCTTGAAAACAAACAAATTATTTGGAAAAAAATATTATATTTTATATATTTTTTTTTTTTTTAATAAACAACACAAGCAATGACTAAAATCTTTTAAATGTTACTTAGGACAGTGACCTTAACATCATATGGCAAGGCCAAAACGATTCAAGTCTGGTGTTTTTTTCTAAAGTTTTACCTTAGTTTTAAAGTACGTTATTTTTTTATTAAATTCCTCTAAATTTATAAAAATTTAAAAGACTCGAGTAATCACGATTCGAATTAGCATATTTTTTAATTAAAAAAAATTACACAAAAAAAATTACACAAATATTTAAGAATTTTCTGAACTTAAGAATATACATTGTTGTACTATTAATTACTTTGACTGCATTTTTAAAAATAGAATTAAAGATAAAATTACCTCATCGATAATATATGCTTGGAAAAATATAATAAAACCTTTATTTAATCATATATGAAACCAATAAAATGGATTGAACAGATTGCTAATATATTTCTGTATCATCCTACGTGCTACTGAAGATGCGATCTTATAGCTTCAAGAGACTACCATAAACTAACGGCGCTATTATGTTACAGATACGGCATAGATAATAAACAGGTAATGTATGTAGTATTATATAGATATTGCCTTGATATACATAATGCAGGAGTATGTTATTCATCGATAGAAGTCAATATGTATATATTTACTTAGCTTTGCATTTCTTTGTATTCCTTGTTTTATATTTAAAACTTTCCTTTGTAAGGACATTTTTTCTGAAAAACGTTCGCGAGAGAAAATTAAAATTGAAAATATTCTTCCCTAAATATATATAAGATAAAAATATTCTGTATTTTATATCATATCTTTTTCATAAAGAAGTTTTTTTTTCAAGAACTTATTGTATAAAATAAATAAAAGAGACTTGTCTATATCGTATCACTTGAGATATTTTATGTTATATTTTCTATTGGACATTAATTCCTGTACAAGTGCGGCGATCTAATATTGTTTTTAATTTTACTTATAACGTTTGTGAATGATATTTTCTATTTATTGTTCTAATATTATGAGCAGTAAACGATATAACTTCCGTTTATTTTGATATTGTATTTGCTAGAGGCAATGTTTCTTTATGATAAAGAAGAAAAAATGTTAATTTACATTTCTTTACTACATTTTGAGATAATTTTCTTATTTCAGAAATTTCATGAACACATTTGTTATATGTGTTTCGATTCGATTAATTTTGATTGAAAAAAAAATTTATAAATTTAAAGATCTCCAAACGTTTTCTCTCTCGACTTCGAATATAATATATTCGATTAATCTACAATTTCGAAAAAAATTTATCAAGATGCAAGCATATTTAATTTTTTTAACTCACGAAAAAAGATTTTATATATATTTAGAAATTATTCTGTATGAATTAAATAATTATATAATCGTTATTTATAACCTATTCCTCGAGATTTCAAGTAATAATCTATACGAATTTTTTTATACCAACTTATTACATAAAGCAAAGAATAAAAAATAAAACAATAATTATTTCAAAACTAGGATTTGAACTTTACAAACAACATTTAAGTACATTATATATTTTTTCTTTTATTCTTATAATTATTATATTTCAGCATTTGCAGATACAAAGATCCTTCGGCGCAAAACATAATGAATAATGATACTTATAAAACTGAAGCTGAATGTGAAAAAAGAGAATAATAATAAAAGGAACTGCCGAGAAAAGTATAAGTGTATTAAACTGTAAAAGTATACGTAGTATTAAACTGTTACTCAAATAAAAGAATAAAATTCGAAAGAAAAATAAAGCTCAAGTGTGAAGTATGAATAAGCTATAAACGCAAGAATGCTAGATTATCCCAAAAAATAGTGTTAAAGATAAAACAGAGAATTTATTATTAAGACTCATCAATTTTCTGTATTATATAAAGTTTGCGAGAAAATCACGGAAAAAATCGAAATATTATACGACAGATATAAAGAGTCTCTAATGTAGAAATTGTAATTTAGAAAGATCATGTATCTCAAAACAATGAAAATAGAATATAATGTTAAAAAGGCCGCTGAGCAAATAGCACTAGTCATTACTATTTCAGTATTTTGGCACATTTCATATAAATCACAGATTCGAAATTAAAAGGAGATGATTTACAAGCAGCTATATAATTTAAGTACACTTATAGGTAACAAAAAAGTATTAAGTTATACAAAAGAGTATATAAAGCCTTAAGGGCTTTAAGCGATTTGGTCTGAGACAGATACGTCATCATCAATTAACCATAATTTAATTTAAACAGTTTTGTCTGTAAATTATTTCTTTCTATTTGTATCCAAAGGATTGTCTTTATCTTAAATTCTAACATCGCAATTTTAATTTTTAATTAAGTTAAATACTTCGTCATATTGAGCAAAACAATATTCAATCTGTCTCTGACGCATTTCACGGAACGAATATAAATACAAGTATTAAATTATAAGATCTTTTAAGGGCTCTAAATCGTACTAAAAATATTAAAATCATATCGATCGTTTACTTATTCTTACACAATATCTAATAAATGCTAAAGAATGTATACAAATGAAAATATCTGTTCTCAAAATCGATCTAATTCCAATTTCGAGAACAGCGCCAATTGATGATTATGAGTCTTAAAAAAAACAAATGCGTACAAATGCGTACAAATTTACAATTATAAATTTGAACGTATTATATTAGATAGTGTTATGATATACATCTTTCTAATTTTATAACAATCTTCGTCATAAAACTAGGTAATAACTGCGTCATATTAGCATATGTTTATTTGCGGAGTATCAAAACATGGATAACGAGTATTATGTCGTTCTTGCAGTTAAGGAGATTCGAGTATCCCCTCGTCTGTATTTCGTTGTATCACAATGTTTAATTGAAGATCAACATGTCCCTGGTGTCGGCCGAGGCTGACGCTTGGCTTGATGCTGAACTCTTTGATCCTATTTCACCATAAGTCCCAGAAGATGCATTGCTAGACGCTTGTGCATTGGCGTTCGCAGATCCCGATCCACTCGTAAAGGCTGACGATTTGCTGTTCGCTGATGCCGATCCACCGTTGGTATGCGCGTTGGACACAGCGTCGGAGGTGGCTTTGGACGAGCCACCACCGGATGCGATAGCATTAGAAGACGCCTGAGCGTTGGCGTTTGAGCCTGCGGGATGGAATAGCGAATCATTTAATTACGATCAATCCGGATGCCACAGCCTCCGTCATGGACAACGCTGACATCTCAGCCTCCGGACTTAGGCCTGTGGAAAAGTGAACACGAGAAGCTCTATTACGAATGATTGACATGAAGACACAAACACAGATGGTTAAAAAAGCTTCTGGTGCTACATCGGAGTGTCGAAGTGAATCTTTTCACATCCAATTGTCGTTGTATCACAATGTTTAAGGTCATGCATAATCGACGAATGTTGTCAAAGTTGCTGGAAATACACGCGATGACGTGATATCTGTGATGATCCGACAACGTGCAACTTGAAGGATGATTTTGTGATGACGTTGAACGACTGGTTTCCGAGAGCTCATCATTAATCGATAATAATACAGCTTAAGATAATTTTTCATCTCTTGTATAATACGCGGGATAAATTATGCATTGGAAATTTTAAAAGGAGGCGCATTGTTTGATCGATGGTTATTTGAATGATGAATATTTACATATAATAAGGTGTTATGTGACTGACAATGTCAACAAGGTGTTACATAACATAATAACTATTTAAAAAAGTCGTGTCTAATTCTAATAAAATAATGACCATTTAGCTGGCAATTTCGAAAATTACACGCTTGTATCTTTAACTATCAAAGGTTTAATTTGATACGTAAAGTTTGAAAATGATCTTGTCATGGCGGATTGTGCAACACGGAATACAGATTTATATGTAAAATGTGTACCTCCTCCGGCTGATCCGCCAAATCCACCTTGGCCACCGAATCCTCCATGTCCAGAACCTGATCCCTTAACGCCACTTCCGTATCCACTAAGGACATTATTTGAACTTCCAGCATTGGCATTAGCGTTAGCATTAGCGTTAGAAGAACCTCCACCATATCCACCGAGGTTCGATCCAGAAGAGCCGTCTTGTCCATATCCACCGCTGCCTTGGGTGCCATATCCTCCGTGACCTCCAGATCCTCCGAGAACAATTCCATTACTTCCACCAGAGGTTCCTGCATTAGCATTGGCATTAGCATTGGCCCCAGAAGAACCACTGCCATATCCTCCAAGATTTAATCCAGAAGAGCCGCCTTGTCCATATCCACTGCCTTGGTTATCATATCCTCCGTGACCTCCAGATCCTCCGAGAACAATTCCGTTACTTCCGCCAGCGGTTCCTGCATTAGCGTTAGCATTAGCATTAGCATTGGCCCCAGAAGAACCACTGCCGTATCCTCCAAGATTTAATCCAGAAGTGCCTCCCTGTCCATATCCACCGCTGCCTTGGTTATCATAGCCTGCGTGACCTCCAGATCCTCCGAGAACAATTCCATGACCGCCGGATCCTCCGAGGACAGTTCCGCTACTTCCGCTACTTCCGCTACTTCCGCTAGCGGCATTAGCATTGGCATTCGCACCAGAAGAACCACTACCGTATCCCCCAAGATTCAATCCAGAAGAGCCGCCTTGTCCGTATCCACTGCTGCCTTGGTTATCATATCCTCCGTGACCTCCAGATCCTCCGAGAACAATTCCGTTACTTCCACCAGTGGCGCCAGCATTAGCATTGGCATTGGCATTAGCACCAGAAGAACCACTGCCGTATCCTCCAAGATTTCCTAATCCAGAAGTGCCTCCCTGTCCATATCCACCGCTGCCTTGGTTATCATAGCCTCCGTGACCTCCAGATCCTCCGAGAACAATTCCATGACCGCCGGATCCTCCGAGGACAGTTCCGCTACTTCCGCTAGTGGCTCCCGCATTGGAATTGGATAAACCTCCAGCTTGTCCTCCACCATAGCTCGGACTACCTGATCCTTGACCCCCGTAACCACCAAGAATAGTTGATCCGGAAGATCCACCGCCATATCCGCCTATTGGACTGCCTTTGATCGGTCCACTGAGTTCTCCTCCTCCAATACCGGCATTGGCATTAGCGCCAGCATTAGCTCCTGCTGAACCGAGCCCCGAAGATCCTCCAGAAAATTGTCCGGGATACGTTGTAGGAATGCCTTTGGGTTTCTCGCCCAAAACAATACCGCCTCCTGTTCCTCCCGTGTTACCATGGGACGCGCCGCCATTGAGGAATGGATTATTCGCACCTACCGGTTGATGTCCGGTAGTGCCGGCTCCAGCATTTGCATTGGCCTGAGCGTTAGCAGTGGCTCCGGATTGTCCACTGCTCAAAAATGGATTGTTTCCGCCAATTGGAGTTGATGGAACTTCTGGGTAATTGCTACCTTGTTGATATCCTCCTAGGGTACCGCCGCTTCCGCCTGTACCTGCTTGAGTATTGGCGTTAGCGTTAGCGTTAGCATGAGCATTAGCGTTGGCATTGGCATTTCCCGCGCCGCCTGATAAGAAGGGATTACCACTGTGGCCACCATAAGAGCCTTGTTGTGCTGGATATGTTCCATGGGTACCACCATTTCCGTAACCATTAGCTAAAATAAAAAAAAAATAATGATTTCAATTTTTTTTCTACATTATAATTATATATAATTAATATCATTATATATAATTATATATAATATTTTATGCATACAGATGTTCAGTATAATAATCGCCCTACCCGTCATGTACAAGTAGGACGGATTAAATCGAGAAGAAAAGTTGCATATCATTTTTCGATCTTCAGTAATTAATGAGAAATTAATTAAAAAGTCAACTAATTCGCGCGAGGGCGGTGCAGCACGAGGATTCAGCATTATTTACAATTTATGTAGTTATTGTTATTTATAGAATGCTCTTTTCAATGCTTGTGCACCTAATAAAAATGTAATAGCTATCTCTTTCTGTTGCAGCTTTTGTAATTAATTTCTTATAAAAACGAAAATCGCAAAATCGAATCTTCTACTCAGTTAAACCCACACACCTACAGTTTAACCCACCGTACATGACGATATATGCACACATACACACATAATATATTAATTCTATATAAAAATATATTAAAACATATATATATGAAAATTAAATTAGCACGAAAGTCACGAAATTTATGCTCTCAGTCTCAGTCACGTACAATGTCAGATTCCTCGTAAGCATCTTTTTTATTCAGAGATGCGAGTCACAATTAAAAAAAAAAGTACTGAAAATTCATTATTAAACAGATCCTTATTTGTCGTCGTCGCAAACAATGTGTTGTTCAAAATTTTTACTTATAAAGGAAGGTTTTCACAATCTTCGATTAGATACATAAAATGCAAAAAAATATCTTTAGATATACATATCCTTGAGTGCGAATTTTTGAGTGCAAAACTTATGCAATGAAAAGAAAAACAGAACGATGAAACATGTTAATCACATAAAAAGCTGTGCAGAGGAATAGAGCATTCGGAAATTCTGTTCCATTGCGATCCAAAGTCTCAATTGTCATCCAGCATCGTTTGCACATGTATAAGGTATATATGCAAAAAGATCAACAAATAAATATATGTGCAGAAGAATCAACGTCGAGTCAATTACATGTAATTATGAGCCTCTTCAGGAAGAATTATATAAAGACAGTGCAGAAAATTTGCGGTGCTGCCACCGATTAGTGCATAATTCCAACGAGTCGATGATCACGTGATAACTTTCGATTATGAAGTGTCACCTTGGCTAGTCGCTGGTTCCTCGATGACGATAATCTGGACGGGCTGTTGCTTCGGTTTACCCCTGTAACCGTGCGGCCGACGATGGTGATAATGATGAGGATTTGGATTATGATACTGCGGATACTGCACTGGTGGTGAGTAAGTCTCGGTAATAACAACCGGAATAACGGTTTCTTTACCAATTCCTTGAGGAATTGGTCGGTAGGACGGCTGTTGAGGCGTTGGATGAACTGGTTGAGAGATCGGTAACGTATTTACCGGAATGACTTCTATTTGGTCTATTCCTCCGCCAGGATATTTGCCCGGGACTACGTTTATGCCACCGCTGCCCGCGGCGTTCGCAGCCGCATTTGCGTAAGCATTGGTGTTAGCGTTGCCGTTGACCTTAGGTCCAGAAGGTATTGGATAATAAGAGCTGCCCGGTAAAGCTCCGCCACTGCCACCGTTGGCGATAGCGTTGGCATTCGCATTAGCGTTAGCGTTAGCGTTAGACTGAGAGCCACCGTGACTTCCGTAATACGGTTGATTGGCTTGAATGGGAGCCTGATTGACGCTGGGACGGTAATAACCGCCACCATCACCATAACTCCCCGGGGTTCTTGAAGAACCTCCATAATTACCTACATTAAAAGCGTATCACTTATTAATGTAATAACGACAAAACAATAATGATAAAGATAAAAATTTAAATATCTGGAAAGAAAACATGATAAAGAAATATTTTAAAAAATAAAATAATTATTATGTAATAGTTATTATGACGATATGTGGAACCTACCTGAATTAGCGTTAGCGTTAGCAGACGCCTGCGCGTTGGAACTGCCGTATCCTCCGTATCCTTGAGCTTGAGCATCCGCTTTCGCTGAAGCCGAACCACCATCCGCATTCGCCGATGCCGAGGCTGACGACGAGGAATATCCACCTCCGACTCCGACCGGTCCGATATTGAAACCTCCTCCTAATGATTGAGAGTTAGCCTGACTATTTGCCTGACCCCCTTTAGGTTTGAAAATTCCCAATGGGTCCAACAAACCACCGACATTGCCGCCAATCAAATCGCGTAGTACACCTTCGCATGAACAAACAAAAAATTATAAGATTTTCGAATATAAAAACTATAAGAACGATAGAAATTGTTTCAAGTTGTTCTCTATAATTCCTTTTATTTATAAACTCTTCGATAAATGTATTATTTAATAAAAGAGATTCCAAATATTTACATTTAGAAGAAAGAAAACGAAGAAACCGACGATTAATTCGACTTTTAAAAGTTTGCAAAAACTATTTTGATATGATACAATGGTCTCCAACCAATGTTAAATTATCATTGTACCTTCGAACGAACAAACAAAATATTATAAGATTTTCCAGCATAAAGAACGACAATGCGATATAGAAATTATCTCAAGTTGCTCCATAATTCCTTTTATTTATAAATTTTTTGATAAATGTGTTAAATAAAAGAGCTTAGAAATATTTAACGAAAATAATTTTACGGAAAAAACCGACGGTTAACTCGACTTACAAAAGTCCGTACGAGCAAAAATTATTTTGATGCAACACGATAAGTTCTAAGTTCCAGACCAATATTAAGTTAATTATTATTGCACAAATATTTGAAAAGAGAAAAGCCTGGCAATAATCGAACGCTTAAATTCGTTTTGTTTGAAACTGAAGGGAAAAGGATTTCTTTTTAATTAAAAACTCACCAGGTCTTGCGGAGGAATTCTTAATCAATAGCAGCACCACCACGGGCACCAAACACTTGAGCAATCTCATGATTCTCACTTTCGATCAATAAATCGATTATTTGTCTAGCACGCACAATATTTCTTTTTGTTTTGACCGTTTCGCCGATATCTCGATGGTCGAAGAGTCAAGAACGACTGAAGCTCTCTCACCAAAACAACATCTTATATACGATACACGCGTGGATTTTACGTCGGACAATAATTGATCCTCTTTTTCTCCCATCGCGCTCGCCGTCTCTACGTTTCCGTTCAGGATATTTTAAAATTATTATTTTGTGAAATTAATGCCAATCCCGAAAAGCATCGTATTTTGGAAGCAGTATATTTTGACGTTAAAATTGTAATAAAATATTGACATTAAATAATTATGATACCAACGATTTTCAAAACGAGAAAATCTGATCGTATGACAAGAGTTTTGCCGCTTGAATCGCGCACGGAATCATCCATCAAGGTCCGCTTATATTTCGACGAAGCGTTTACACATTTTCGAATCTCGGGATATTCCTTGCCATTCTATTGGAAAATTGTTTGGTATAAGTAACCATTTTATATCATTATTCATACGGGATTTCTCTACGTAATTTATGGGAACTTTTTGTTGGAAACAACCCAACAAAAAGTAATATATTTTTATAAATTATTTCAATTAGAAAGAAGCTGTAAACGAAAAAAATTCTTCAAGAAATATAAAAGAGGAAAAAAAAGATGTAGAAGTATAGATGTAATAATTAAGAGTTATCAGTATTTCTTTGTTCTTAAGTAAATGTAAACAAATTAAATAACGATTATTTTATTTTTCAGTTTTTTCTAAATTATCTAAAATAGTTTTCATTTAAAAAAATATTTGCAAATAACACATTTCTTATGTTATTAAAATATAACAATTATTATAATATTATTAACAGCTTTTATGATTACGATTATTAGCATTTTCATTGTTGTATGGACATACATATTCTATTATGAATTTATCACAAAATAAAGATTCTATATATCTAGACTTAACCGGATTCGTGTATATTTTACGTAAAAAATAGCTCTTATTTCATAGAAATTTGCATTAACCAGGAAAATATTATTGATATTCTCAGTTCTTGCATAAGCACAATAAATTTAATACAAGAAAAATATTGATTTCCAAATAGCTGTAGCAATACCATTTGCAATTTAAACAGTCAACAGAACAAATCCCATATATATGTATATGAATTTCACTGAATTCTGTCTCCTTTTTATATCGGTTGTAATTAATTATAGACAGATGATTGAACATCTTATTACAATTTTATTTTATATTTGAAATCATGTGGAAAAAATATCTAAGTTTTGTATGTATTATCTTAAGTAAAACTTGATAACTGAAATATAAAAATATAATAGAAATGATAACTATATCTTAATTATATAAGAAAAGTTAATGAAAACCATTCTAATATAATATGTTCTCACTCGATGCCACAATTTGTTCAATATATTTGTATACAGTAAATATTTTTAGTTTAGAAGTGTTTCAAATATAGTATGCTTTATTTTTTAAATTAAATAGTTCTTGCCATCAAATTAAGTTTATTTAATTTTCTTACCAAATATTTGTTAAGATTGCAACACATGAATTACTTGAATTACATGAATTATTTGACTCATAAATAATACGAACATGTAATCACAAAACACCACGAGAAACATTTTTTTTCTTTTCCATAAAATTAGCATAAATGACCACAGCCAATCGACGATACACACGATATTCACATAAGCATCATTCTTCTACACGCGTGCATTGTCAAAATTATTATACTTGGTAAAGAGTGTCTTTTTTAATATAATATTACTCCTTAAATGCGCGTAAAAAATTATGCTTAATAAATTTTATAAGATTAATTATACGAGAAACATAAGCATATAAAAAATCAATCAGTATTCATGGGGAAAACCCCAATGAACACATAAAAGTAACGAACGAACGAGAGAAGTTAAACCAGCAGTTCTCGAAATATTCTTTCTTTTTTACTGTAAGTCTTGATGAATGGCGATGAGAATTTATATTAGGTCAAGGAAAGATTCAAGGTACAAAAAATATCGCTAAGAAGAATAATTTCTATTGGAGCTTTTCTCAGAATTATTACGTCATTAACTTCTACATAATTAAAATGTTTGATTAAAATTTATCTAAATTAAATTAGAATTTAAAAGAGCTAAAATATATTAGAACTCTTTGTTATTATGATTGCATTTTGATTATTCTTTTCTCTAACATACAGCTAGTATTAGATTACCGTTAAACTAACACTAACTTAGCATTAGACTGCTATAATTTTTCATAATGACTTATTCTAAGAAAATATGAAAGTTATATGGAAGACATTTTATAGATGATTACAACATTTTTATTACAATATCTTTTATATTCAGTCAACAGTTTTGTTATGATGAATTAATGAAATTTCAGTCATTAATCAAGCGTTAACTAACTAACACTAACAATTTAACTGAAAACGAAGCTATTTTCTATCCTTAAGCAAAACCTGTTCATCGTTCCGGTTCTTCAAGGTCAGGTTCAATGACTGGTCTCTATCTAACTATCGATGAAAATTAACACACACCATACACATACACACACATACACACACACAGAAAGAGAGAGAGAGAGAACTATTTGTAGAAATCTGGTAACGTTCAAAAATCATAAAATTACTCAAAATAATTATTACATCCTGTTACAATTGTAGTATATTTCGTATTTAATCATAGATTCTTTGCATATGCATATATTTATAAGATATACTTATTATGTAAAATAATAATTATTTATAATATATTTATTATCTATAATAAAAATTTTGATAAATTTAATTTAGAAAACATAAAACAGGACAGAAACGAGTTATAATATTTTTATTAAAAAAGCTTTTTTTAACGTACTAAATTAGTCACCAATTATTATACAAATTTTATAATAATTAATTTCAGATTTCTTTTAGATACGTAAATTCCCTGATCGAAAATTCCGAGTAATTATTTAGAAGTAACTAAACGCTCGAAAAACCGAGTTTGATTTCGCGTTCCAAGTATATGTACGCGAATGTCCGGAAAATAAACGATTATCTTCAACGATAATACAGTCGACCTTGTCATTAAACCTAAACATACATAGATATTCGTATATCGACGATGTCCGATCTCTGTTTCGCGTAGTTCGTTATTTCCGCTTGTGCGTCATCATAAAAACGGATAATGAGCGCAAACGAACTACTTAACTCTTGATCAAGTTTATCACACATTAGCTAACGATTTTCTAATCATTAATTCAAGTTGTGCGATTGTTTTGTCGATTGGTTCATGAAGGATTCCTTGCGCATCAATCGGGAAATCCTCATGACGTAGCCAAAGCAAGTTAATCTCGTAAAGCGAATCATTTTTTTATTTTAAAACTTTCTTTTTGACCTTTATTGATATTATTATCTAAGAAAACATGTCTATATCAAGCATCAAATATTATATTCACATATCATATTGATGAAAAATTTATTAGAATTTATACTAGAAATATGAATTTTTTGAAGAATTAATTTCTATAATAATACAATTTTTTCAATTCCAGATTTATCAAATACAAATTTTTGTAAAAGATAAATATTGATAAAAATCCAAATCTTATCTACAAGTTTTTATATTTTACCTATCGTAATTTATCTACAGACACAATTTTATAAAAAATTAACTTATTTAATAATATTTAAAAATGTTTTATATAAATTACGATAATAATTTTAATAGAAATTCAGTGATAATTTTCGAAATCGTAGAAATTAGATAACAGAGTCGAGAAACTTTTAGCAAATTTATTTTCAAGCTTCACTTTTCTCAAACAATACCTTGATGTTAAGATACGTGACACAAAGGGAATAATTTATCCGCGAATGAGAGAATCAAGATCGAATCGAGTTTGACGAATCAAGATAGAATGTCGATATTACGGAATAGGATTGTATGATGAATGCAAATGCAAAACCCACGGGAAACCTTCACGAGCGATACTAATGACTCACCTTCCGCAGTATTTAATCAGACAAAATTTGGTCCCGGCCAGGAAAACCCAACTGTTGGACTTACATGCTTTAACTGTGGTATCAGCAATGTAGTCTTTACTATACTTATGACGGACAATGACGTAATTCGTGTATGTACACACTGTGGGCAGCGAAGGATTATTAATCATCTATTATTTAAAACTGCATTGTTACTGGAGTTTTTCTCGTATTCACGTAGCACTTTACATTACATTTATTAAATTTACATTAATGCATTATAATTTTGCATTATATTTTTTAGTCAGATATATTATAATTAAAAATTAAAAATTTATATTTACATTATTTTTAATACCATTATAAATTATAATATTTACTAAAGTATACTAAAGTTTTTTATTATTTAGTATAAATTTAATTATTTACATATAACTTAATTTTTATTATTGAATTAAATATTGAATTTATTATTAAATTTACCAATTGATTAAGTTAATTATAATTAATTGTCTTTTTTCTCTGACATGTTTGAAAATGATCTAATAATTCATGTTAAATGCAAGTATAAAAGATAAACATATATTTAATCGTTATAATTTTTTGTTTAAATTCTCTGTAATTATTACAAACAAATGCATATTCAAGACTCAATTCTAACAATAATTAATATTATATTAGCTATAATATAATTCTATTTTGCTAATTAATGATATCACTGCCATACAACACATATCCTGTCATTCAACGTACTTTATTATATTAATTTTAAGTATACTAAAATTTCCAGTGATTCGTTTAAATTGTAAGAATTATTTTGCGTTTACTTTGCATTATAACACATATACAACACGGTTGACTGGTACATGAAATCATTGATGTAGCACACGATGTCGAGGTCGAAGCCAATCTTCATTTTTTGATATTATTGTTTGTTACTTCCTTCTTCTTATTTTTACGTTTTCCATGATATTGCGTCATGAAAGTACGAAGCTTGTTTAATGTTTATTTGATGATTTGATCATCCGCTATCTCTACGGCTTTACGATATTATCAGACATGCATTCCGCATATTTTATAATCGTCTGATGCATTCGACATTGATTAATAAAATATTACATTGATTAAGAAAAAAATATTGAAATCTAATTTTAATTTTCTGGTATGCCTTGGTAATAATAATTCGCGTGTTAAATAAAAAATGATACAAACGATTATACGAATAAAATAAATCCAGATGATTCTTTCGAATGTTTTATTTTATAGATAGAATACACAACAATACACATAGACGTATCATTGAAATTCGGTCTCGATTAAAAACATTAGATGAATTATTTAAATAAGTAATAACATTCTCTTTAATAAACGAATTCGAGACTATTGACTTTTATATTGATTCTTTATTGCACAATTAATCAAGATAAAATTATATAATATAATCATCGATTCGAAAGTCATAGAAAAATACGCAAAATTCTTTCGTCGCTGAAACTTATCGCATGTCTACTAATACTGGCATTAATTCTTTCGCGAATAAATCATATAAAAAATCATACCTCTCTTAAAACTACTAGAATTTTAACATTCATGACATAAATTCTATGTTTTATTGACGGAAAAATGGTAAAATCACATCCACATCCCACATCAAGATGATGTCAGATATGATAATATTCTTCCAATATTATTATTGTATTAAATATAATACTATTATTGTCATCTCTTTTCTCCATTTGAAAATATATTTTCTTCTACGTAAAGCGATCCTATCATTCGAAAATTGTCGCCTAATATACACCGAATATACAGATAATTGCTACGTTAGCGTAATCGCAACTCTTGATTAATACATTGCGAAAAATTGACTTTTACAGCCTTTGCAGCTTGTCGATGCATTTATACAGCACGATGTCGATAACAGCCGATAAGAACTAATCGCTCATATACTAAGAAGTAATTAGACACACTCCAATTGGCGTCATACGTCAATTATTTAAACTGAGAACAGCATTTATATTTTTATGCATATCGTAACGAATAATATTCCAGAATATCCTAATATATATTCTAATAGCATTACATTCTCTTTTACGTCAATGCCCATAATATTTCATTGTCGATGACGTAAAAATTAAAAAGTATCGAGACAATATAAAATAAATATTTTTAAATATAAATATAAATTTTTAAATATAAATTCTTCCTATCAATTAAAGAAAAAGGGAACTTGTTTTTATAAAATAATATATATAATTTATATACAATGAGTGATATATATATATTAACAGTTCAATTAATATTTTTTAAAGTGTCTCTCACAGTAGACTCTTCCGAAATAAGAAATATTTCTAAGACGGATATATAGTATTTTATATCTGTGAAGAATCTCTTAAAACATATTTAGAAAGATATGTTTAACGCACGATTCACACGCGCTTATTACGAAGAATTTCCACGAGATAATATCTGTATTTCCCAATTGAATCCGCGTGTTATGTGCGCCATTATAAAAGAACAAATTATTATTTGCATGATTAAATAGAAAAATAACAAGCGCCGCTGCATCGAGATAGCTTGATTGTCAATATTTGACTAACAAGAAAATCACTAATATTCCAACATTTAAAGTAAATAAAAATTTAAATGTGAAATTGTGTGTTTAGTTTCCAGAAAATATGGGAAAAGAATAAAAAGAACGCTTCTAATAACTTCAATTTTAGGCACACACAACTTGTGTTTCAAAATGCAAATGTTTTTTTCGATCTTAAATGTACTTCACTATCTTGCCGTGTAATATGCATCATTATTGAACCATTCAAAAATTTTTTCTTAAAATAGCTCCTCTCTTTCATTTTTAAGGCAGACCTTGTATGAAGAGACAAGAAAATTTATTCCTGTCCTGTTATATATTCTTTAATAAATAATTTAATTAAGAAGTTTTTCAAAAAAAGTTTTACATAAATTTTTATGCGAAATTATATGTAAAATTTGAGAATTCGAGAAATTTTGTAATCTATTTAGAAAACAATCATGCAAAGAATATTTTATCAAATTTAAAGACCCGACAATATTTGATTTTTTGCTTATTGATTTGATATGTAAATCAGAAATTTTTATTATATTTACATATTTAAAATATAAAGGGTGGATGATAAAATGTCAAAGTGTATTCCCAAAAGAGAAAAAAATCACAGACGTCGGCAATAAAATGCGACGAGATAAAAATAAAATATAAATTAATAAAACGAGATGAAACGAGTTCTTCATCGCTATGATTTTTTTACACTAAATTAATTAAGTAAAAGAAAAACACATGCGTATATATTATCAATCACAGTTTCTGTTAATCTGTGCTACTTAACAATAAGATTTCGGTAAATGAAATGAGATCATACATGGCTTTAACAAATCTTGAAAGTTATAGATGAAATTATTGTTCCTCGTTATTGTATCTTTAAAATTGATGTAAATTCTCATATAAAAATTTTATATTAATTCATTCGCACATTATTGAATAAAAAAATGCTTGCGACAAATAATTCTAACACAAATAATGACAATGCAAATTTGCTATACTAGTTATTTGAATATAATATAAAAAAATAAAACAAAAAATATATTTACACATTTGAAAATGTGTTTTCTTGATTCGATAATTTTCTATACATCCTTTGTTCCCGTCCTCGAGTTTCAGGTAAATTCATCGTTTATTACTTACGGTAATGGCGATTGCATCGCCGTTTCTTGTTTTTTAGGACAAGAATCGTTGTTATTATCGATACATTCGTTCTGTTTGTTCTCTAGCTCAGTATTATGAGCGAGAGCATAGTTATTTAAATATTCTACTACTTGCATATGTCCGAAAGTCTCGGCTTCGTCGACTGGTCGTTTGCCCCATCTAAAAATATGATGTACGTATATGTTTCTAAATTCAGACTCGCGATTTAAAAAACGAGAGCTTTGCCAAAACAAGATCGTGGAATTCTTAGTTATATTAGATGCTAATCATTAATTGAAAAATATTAAAATATATGCATAAAATTAAAAAGATATATAAAAAATGATATAATGCATAGAAAGTGTATAAATTAATTTTGGTAAAAATTAACTGAAAGATAATGTTAAATGTTAATGTTTAAAAATTTGAGTGCACAATAAAAAGTAGGCGCACAGAAAAGATTAAAATTCCAAAATATTGACTTCAAATATGTTAAATAATTCATGAAAAGCAGCAGTGATATTTAAAAACTGAGAAGTATAATTTTATTTTTCGATAAAAAGTAAAAAATATTCAAAATGATTCAAAATGATTCAAAAAATATTCAAAATGATTCAAAATCTCAATGAACCAATCATCCATAATAATCGTAAAGATATGTTGTAAGTATGCCAGCCTACAGAAGATCGTTAAAATAATCATTATGACACTTAATCTTGAAGCAAATCACATGATGCTTACCTGTCCTTGGGATTATGTGGGACTCCGCACTGCTCGATCAGAAACTCGACGCAATCCAGGTGACCTTCGCTGGCGGCCAAGTGCAACGCGGTTCTACCGTCGTAGTCCGACAGAGTCATGTCCATCCCACTCAATCGATGCCTGAAATTACAAAGAGATTCGATTGTGATAATCAAAGTACCAGTTCATCACTATTTGTAAGAATGATATATAATAAATGATATATAATACATATATGTAATTATTTATATAAAACAATAAAATCAATGAAACTTCTTGTTTTAAATAATAAACTATTATAAATTTCTCACATAACTGTTTCTTTATTCAAAGCTACCTTTCTCTTACAAGATGTTTTCCCACAATTTTAGGTAGGATTTAATCAAATATTTTTCAAGTTTTAATTCTGTTACAAGCAATAATGTTAACAAAAATACGAAGATATATAATATTGTCTCTACATTTTGCTTCTGCATATAAATTCTGTCAAATGTAGAAGCATTATCTGATGGAAAAAAGAACCAAACAGCCACGCATTTCCGTGCGCGCGCGTTTATTTTTATTAAACAGGTTCTAAAAGAATATACTACCTTCTCAGCGCTGTGACATCACCACTGGCAGCGCTAAACAGAAGATTAACGATCGAGAGACCTTTCGTTTCATATTTGTGCCGTCTAGGATCCTTCTTGTTCGTCGCATGCTTCAAGTTATCATATCTGCGATCAATCACACGATGAATAAACTAAAATAATCGATGCAAAAAGAAGATGAAGAATAGTCAGATTTCGATTTTGTATAATGTTTACGATTCATGATGTAGACTAAATAAAGCTAAGATTAATAATATATATAATTCAAAAAAAATATTCCATGATAATTGAAGTATTAGAGATATGCTTAAAATTGTGTCAAGTATCTAACATAACATTATTTTATTAAAGCTTTAAGATGCTTCTTAATTTGTTGTCATCTTCTTTGTTCATCTTCTTTCATATCATTCTTAAATTGAACTTAATTTTTGACTAATCGTTACCTGTGAAAGTTAAATTCGTTCACGAGCTCTTCGCAAAATTGTACACCGCGACAAGAATTGCCAAGTGGATCCAAGGGTGGAGACCACGTGCATATTCCCATGACATTTGGGATTACCAACAAAAGGCTTCCCGACACACCGGATTTCGCTGGTATGCCAACCTAGAATAAATTATATGCTTCAATTTAATGTTATGTATTCTATTGAATACTTAATATGTCTATAAAATTGGTAATATTCACATACATGAAGCAAACATATGACAAATTTTTGTATTAAATTATAATAATTACTAAAAATATAATTGTTAATACAATATTTACAAAAGTTTTCTTTTAACTTGTGAAATGACTTTCAGCCATTGATGTAAGGAATATCCGATACCGGATGTAGTTTTGTTTAAAAAAACTTACTTTGAATGCGAATTGTCCGCTATAATCATACATGCCGCAGCTGTGCATAAGACTCAATACGTCACGAACGCTGTCCGGTTTTAAGACTTTTTCTTCAGTGATAGGACATATGCCACCGTTTGCTAGCGTGGCCGCTATCACTGCCATCGTCTCGCAATTAGCTTCCATGGCGCAACACTTATAATAAAAATAAAAATAAAATAAAATTTATTAATTCGTCTATAAGATAGAAATAGACTGATAATATTATCAACGCTGCATCCTTGCATCATTTATCGAAATGAAAGATTAAATTTACTTCTTTTGTCAGCAATAAGTGAAGTTAAAGTAAATATTGTGATGGTATTGCATATTAAATATATAGTGAAGTGTAACATATAAAAAATTAATAATAAAGAAAGACTTGCGTTTATTCTGAAAAAAAATTTGATCACAATTGATCAATGTTTAATCTATTAAATAGACATGGGACAGAGAGAAAAATATTTAAAAAATCATAATTTCTGTTTTTAATAATCAAAGAAATATTTCGTATATTTAATATATTTCACTTTTATAATCTTTTCTTTGTGATTTTATATAAAAAACAAATATTTACCTGGAAATAGTAATCCATAATTTCGCGCAAATTCGTCTTATCTGGATAACAGTTGTATTCTCTCATGTAAAATCCTAAAGCGTAATTTCGATCGGCCGCTTCTCGTTCGGATAAGAAAACGGCGTTGTTAAAGCCAAGATTTTCCTCACCGGCTAATCTTTTGAAATAATTCATTGTAAAGTCGAATTTTTCTGCCAGGCCCATTTCCGGTTTGACTAATGTTTTCAAGAGCGAACAAATTAGTATCGCTCCGGCATTAATCATTGGATTGTGTGGCTTCTCTAAAAAGATATTTATTAACAGAACTTAATCATATAATTAAAACTCATAAAAAATTAATCTTTAAAGTGTTATTTTTGCATTTATGTTTGCAAAAACTTATATTTTATTAACATACATCTTTAATTAATTAATTAATTGTTTTATTATACTTTATATTTCATTATATTGACCAAATTATACAATGCCAATTAATTAATTCCGGATTATATCAAGCATAACTCACTATTATGATCGAGCACTAGCTCGTTGAAATTTCTACCGGATGGCTCCTGGCCAACATATTGATGTACCACTTCCGGACTCAATCTGTCCAAGGCTATTGCATAGGTTAAAGGTTTGCTACAACTTTGAAGAGTGAACGGAATCGAAGTGTCACCGATACTGAATCGCTGGCCATCGATAGTGCACACAGAGACGCCCCAGTATTCCGGATTCATTCTAGCTAATTGCGGTATATAGGAAGCGACTTTGCCTTCGGTATTTGTCTTGCATTTCCAATAAAAATCCTCTATGTGTTTTGTGAAACCCGCCCAATCGGGAATTATGAATTGGTGCCTGAATGCCCGCGAGATCAGTATGATATTGGGATTTATAATTCTGGGAACAGAGAGCAATGCAATGAAATGTATTTCAAACTTCATAAATCTTAGACTTTAAAAAACAATATATTATATTTATAATTATTGAAAATTATTTAGAAGGAAAAGTTATTAAGAAAAAAAAAATATATATATATTCAAGAGAGAAAATTATATATAAAAATTTTAAAAATTATAATTGTAAATAATAAAGGTTTCTTATATTTTTTATTTATTTGAAATATATATATTAATATATATATATATATATATATATATATATTATCTACTTGAGATCATATAAACTCACCTTCTAAATTGTTCTCTATCTAATTTCTGCGTTTCGTGGGAAATATTTTCATGACCTGCTCTTGCATGTTCCTTTTTCAGATTTTCCGAAAGTTCCTGCAAACGAGGATCACTTTTCCGCAAGCCAGTTGTCCTTAAAGCCTTGAATGCATATATAGATGTCAATTTTTATACTTTTTCAATTATTTTACAAACATATTAGAATATTATGTATATCAATTTTGTTGTACATACAGCTAGAAATTTTCCCACCGACACAAGGCCAGTCTCTTCGTTTTTAAACATGTCGAACAAAGCATCTTCAGCATTTGTTGCTTGATCTTGATCTCGAGTACTGTAAAATTAATATGCAACTATTAAAAGAAGATGAATAATGCATTAACGTCGTCGATGCTGTAGAAACAAATCTAATATTTTTACAACTATTGTGTATTTTTCTATATATACTTTAAACATAAATAATAATATATGATAAATTAGAAATAATCAAAATATATAATAATATATAATGAATACTATATTATCTCGCTAAACATCCTTAATAAATAATAAATTATTCTACCATTTAACAATCATAAAAATAATATTTAATATCTTATTTATCATTTGCAAGCCATTATTAAATGTAAATATAAATATAAAATTCTCACCATGCATTTGAAGCAAATGTTATAAGCAAAATGATAAATTCGATAATTTCAAGAAACAATGAACAGAAAAGTTAAATGTGCCACCAGTATAATTATTATCAATGATATATTTGACATATATTATAAATAATATATATGAAAGATTATTAATAAAATAGCATTAAGTACTATGCTGTTAATCATAATGAGCAATTCATATCACACCATGCATTAATGCAGTGCATAGTACTCACTACATATAGTGGCTGTCATGAATGAAACTGTATTTGCTGTAACGAGAAGCAAGATAAACAATTCTGCATTAGTAATGATAATAATAATAATTGTTAATGCGGTTGTTATACCTAAGGAAGCGCGCCAACATCCTACTAGACTGATCATTTTTCTTCTCTAACCAAATCGAACACGCAACCTTTGATTTGATCACATAATCTTCCGAAATTTTAGCCAACTGAAGATTAAAATTTTTTTTGGAATTGCAATTAATCGTCTCGATATAAGGCATGTCGGTATATTTTCGTTAATCAACACAATAATATTTATAATCCCCACAAGTATTAATTGAAATTATTATATTAATTATATATCGTGTTAAATAAATTTGAATAAATTTTATATTAATTGTATATATTGTGTTAAATAAAATTGAATTAATTTTAATATATAATATTAGTCTTTCTTATTTTCTTTAATGTAAACTTATTAAATCTATAACAAAATATTTAATCTGATTAATTAAATTCGAAATTATTTATTTACTTTTCGCACAATTTTATGAAAATATTTTATATTAAAATGCACTTTGATCACAAGATATAATTAGAGATCACTAGTTTATATAATGCGTAATCCAGAAAATTTTCAAAATACAGTATAGCATACAACAGAAAATATCTAACAGTCATGGAGATTGTAAGATCGTGACAACGCTTTTCAGCTGTGAGGAGAATTATTGGGATTCTTATATATTACCTGGAGCGAAAACAAGTTTTTCACCTTTACTTTTCCACCCCTTACGATGACGGCAAAATATATCTTAAAATAGTGTCACCATTTATGACAGATTAGTGCATATAACATCTTGCGAGCGAAGAACACGTGCAATTTTCGATGACAATCGTAATAAACCCGAAGAGAAAATAAGTTTTTCATCTTTACTTTTCCGCCCCCCATGATGATGACAAAATATATCTTAAAATAGTATCATCATTTGTGTCAGATTAGTGCATATAACATCTTGCAAGCGAAGAGTACGTAATTTGCGTACGATGACGAACAATCGTAACAAACAGAAATAAGTAAATAATTACTTGATGTATTAGAGCCGAATAGAGAAGCTTCATGTGAGGGAAAAAGGAAGAAAACAAAAGTCAGTTAGTTGATAAGAAGAATATTTATACGAGTTTGAACTTTAGATATATAGTTTAACTGAAGCTATATAATAAATTAAAAAAACACAAATATATATAGTAAAATATTTAGCAAAACTAATAATTAACTGTAAAAGCAGATATTACTTCAAAAATATTTATATTTTTCTATTTATTTCTATTACTTTTCCTATTTTACCTTTTGATTCTTAACAAAAATATTTCTAAATCATTTAATAAATAAAAATATTTAACGTATAAAATAAAAATATTTAACATTTAATAAATATTTTAGCAAAATTTTAAAACACATTGTTAAATTGTTTCGAAGTAAAAATAAATAACAATATTAAAAATTCTTAAAAATGAATTAATCTTACCGAAAAAATCTTAGCGGCAGTTCTTTGAAATCACTAATTGTGCCAACGTAATGATTATTGAATTCAAAATCACTTGTTTTGATTTTGCAAATTTCAGATAAAAAGATATGAGCATATAATCACTACAAAAAGTTTAATATTTCAGCATTCGATCTTACAATATTTTGTGATCTTACAAACTCTTTCAGCTTTAGTATAACGACAGATAAAATCATGATCTAAGAGAACGCACTTAAATAAGAACCAATAAAATGTTTGATCTAACAATTATGATGGGTCAATAGATCGCACTGATTCTATATTGCATCGATAAATTTATTGCACGATGATCATTATGCCTCTCTTGCAGAAAATAAATCCTATACGTATATTAATATCGTTTGCAACATGTTATTCATTTGTCCATATTTGAATTATATTTTAACATTATATTATGTTTCTGAATTTTAATATTATATTATTATATAATATTATATTTATGTGGCGATTAAGCAGGCAAAATCGATACTTGCGAATTACACGTATCGAATATTAATATCGGAAAAACAATTCATAAAAAGATTCACATTACTCTCTAATAAAAAATGTTATCTTATGATATCTTTTACTTAATTTCTTATAAGAATTAAATTAGCAATGTGATATAAATAAGAATTTTTTTACCGTGTCTGAGAATGTTCTAATTCCACTGTTGTTCCGAAAGCAGCGTCCAAATATTTTGCATTTCCAAATCTAGTGGATGCTGGTACACGCCTCTGCAAAAAATCGTGAATATCGTCTAATAATAATTAGGAAAGGAAAACATAACGATTGATTTCAATCGTACAAAATTTAGAGATTTATATCTGAACTAAATTGTACGATTTCGTTTATATTTTTTTATCGTATAAGCTTAGACTTAAAACATATGTGTGATTATTCGTACGCTAAAATATGTGTAATTTTGTGATAGTTTTCTTTTGTAAAAAACCAACACCACAGATAAATTAAATATTTTCGAAATATTCATATAGAAAGAGACCGATTGCCAGACAGCTTTGAATTGATCTTTTAATGAATTAATGTCTAATATTCTAAGAGGGAAGCTTGCCACGTGTCCTCTAATTCGAATCACTGAGATTGCATATACGCACATATATAAATGTAATGAAAATTGAAAGGCCATCCGATCGAAGAATAAGACTAATGAATTTTTACTTTCGTACACTGCTCGTGTCTTGTTATATAATCATTGGAGCGATCAGAAAGCTTATTTTATTGTAGAAATATATTTTGTTGCACAAGAATAAGATTTAAACACTTTTTTAATTTTGATAAATCAATAAAATTATTGGTAAATCAATAAAACAATAAATTTCAAAGAAAGAAATTCACTAATGTACAAAAGATTTGAAGAAATCGCGGAAAGTCTTTCTTGCTTCGTAATGACATTAAAATATTTATAACATTGAGTATATGTAAATACACATATATACGCACACACAGAAAATTTTTTTACACATATATATATTTATGAATACTGATTTTAATAGATAAAATAAAAATCATACAAAAAAGTATAATTATTTTAAAAATATGTATATTTTTAAAAATATATGTAATTTTTTAAATTATACATAAAAAAATATTCTATATTTTACATGGTATTAATATATTTTTCAAAATATGAATATAAAATAGACATTATTGTAATATACATACAAATTATATCATTCACGATAATTATTAGATTTATGTATCGCGTACTGCTAACTGCAATAGTCTATTTTAAGTATCTCGTTGGCACAATAGACGCAAAGTAAACGTATGAAGTACGACGTATTTTTGTCGTCGATATAGGCCATTATCACCACCCACGTGGTTGACAAAAGATTAGATCTTTTGAATGATTTTCTTTTAATGATTTACATTACATATAATTTAATTATTATAAATGTTAATTTAATTAATAAATCGGTTATATTTTATAAATACATTAATATTGAATTTTTTGGAAGGATATATTTTCTCACATTATTACACAATATAATTGGAAATATGTTGATATATTTAATATCTCCCTTGCTAAAAGTGTTCGTATGAATATCGTCAATTTTCCCAAGTATCCGTCATTTAATGATTCGCTTTCAAATTTGTTTCTGCTTTTCCTGCAATATATTTTTACCTTGCTAGTAGTATGCAGTCTTCTAAACCTATTTGCTCCGATTCTCATGATCTTCAGCATTCTCGTTCCCTGCATCATCACCCTTTAAAAGCAAAATCTTCTCTTTAATCACTTTATAACTTTACTTGACACGTTGCTACACAAGAAATGTTCAAATAATTCGACAGTCGCAAATAATTCGTAAAAAAGGATCTTTAAACACCTTTTTCTGATGACCCAAATTTTCTGATCGATGTCGCACTAAACAAAACTGTTGTGAATTCACACTGTAAATCGTGAAATATTTATTCGCACCTACATTAATTCATATTGCGTACACAATATTTCTGAATGAGTCCTTTAATGAGATCTTGCGTCAACTGACAATGCCATTTAATGCGAATTTATCACTCGTGCAATCCTACGTCAATGTCAACGCGAAAGATGACCCTCGACGTCCCGGTGATCAGCGTCTACTGCATCGAGGGTTGTGCGGATGCCTGCGGGGCAGATAGAAAAAATCGGCCGGTGGGACATGCGCACGAATTAGAGGGATGGTATAGAATATTCGCTATAGCTGATCTTCAATATGTCACGAGTTCGCCGGGTCGATTCGTAATTTATATGGAATATCTCGCGAAAATAAGAATTCCGAAATGATTTTTGAGCGTTATTTCAGCAAAATTCCGCATAAAATAATCTTGACATGTCATAAATGTCATATATACGTCAAACTTATTTATATTTATGATGCTATACGTTACGAGGATAAAAAATACATGAAAAATTAAATACATGAAAAAATACATGAAAATTTAATATATAATTTAATGTATAAAAAATTTTAAAATATAAAATATATAAAAATTAAAATAAATTAAAATATAATTTAATATATAAAAAAAATAATGTGTCTTTATTATATATGCACATATGTGTAATATCTAGAAACAGATTAGATATATAGAATAAGAAAATTATATATATAAATTATTACAAATATAAAGACTCGATAAATAATAATGAACACTTATTGTTTATTGTCTTACAATCGTTACACGATAATACATTGTAGAATATAAGTCTAAATAATGTAATCATCATATTGAATAATCACATCCTCTACTTCAGTATAATTGAACAATTGTTATTAACAAATTATCATCATAAATTCTTATCATTTAAAACTGTAAGATAATGTGTATTGCAATATATAAAGTCATTTTAATAAAATGATCGAATGCACCGATACAATTCGCTTTGCATCGATAAAATAATAACTGTTCTGTGTGAAAAACTACTCCACTACGAAATTGTATTTGTATGCAAGTAATATTACAAGTAATATTACATGTGTATAATTAAAGATTAAAAAATATGTACAACTAGAAAACTATCTAAAATTCTTATAACTAATCAGAGAACAAAGTAATTGATTACATTATGTTTCATTCGATCTCTATCGAACAAGTTTCAGAATTAATGCTAGGTTGTACATATATTCAGAACAAGTGTGTGAGGCAGTTTTAAAGTTGACACATGTCTCTTACATGTATATCGGTTTAACGCTTTGGTTTCCGCTCTTATTTAAAATTTATGACGCGCTCATAAACACGAGTCATTCTCTCTTTCACAGAGTAAAATATATAAACAATAAAAAAGATTGTAATTAATATATGTGTAAAAAAACACATTTTATATACACAATTCATTTTCTCCATTAATTAAATTATAAACTGCTTAAACAGTTTTTATTTTTATCACTTATATTTTTTATAACATCGCGAGCAGCAAAAATGAGAACTTTATTTTAAAAATGTGTATTATTGCAAGAGATTAAAATTCCAAAAATAAATAAAATAAATTGCAGTAACATTCAAAACGAATTTAGGTTCGTCGCAACTCCAATTTTCTTATAATATACATAAATCATCGTAATTTCACAGTTTCCAATTTTTTATTGCAAAATATTACTTAGACATTATTGCGGCATATTACACATAATTATTGCCATTATTTCGGTTATTAATATGCAAATACAACTGTATTGCATTAATTTTTGTCCGCTAATATTCAGATAAATTGCGAGATATGTAGCAAATGGAAGACTATAGTTTAATTATATATGTGCTTAAACATACGCTCGATAATAATTGTCCGAATATACACAATTATATATGTGCAAGTTGTATAGAAATTGTAAAAAGTCGAGATTCGAAAATATCGTAACATTTTAAAAAGGCCAGTATCTTCTAATTGCTATAAACTCGAAAATAATATAAACCACTGATGATACTTGTAGTAGAAAGAATTATAAATGTTGAAATTGATTGTCTTGTTTGTATAGCATTGTCGAAAATACATTTGATGAGTGATTACAATCTGTATTTACAGACTATGCGATGCTTTTTTTGATTTTACACGAATAAAAGAATCCTTAACTCTATGATATAAATAGGATGAGAATGGAAAGTTCTTATGAAAATTACTGACAATGAGAAAAAAGATGAAAAAAAACGCATAAAAAATCCTAACATTATTAGAACTTTGTGCGATCTGTGTGAGATCCTCAGATCTTAAGTACATTAATTTCACATACGTCATCAATCAGATAAATTTATTCTGAGAGTGAAAGAACAATTCTTCATCATGATCGTGTATACATTTTAAAAATCGTATAAATATGTTCAATTTATATATTAAAAAACTCTCTACACATCGAATCAATTTAACAATTGTCTTCAATCCTTAACTTACGTCGTTTTCAATACAGTCTCATCGTGTCACATCAATTGTATGAATTTACGATCGATATGATCAAGAATTAAATCGGCAAATTGTATAGTGACGTAAGCAGATATTTATTAAAATAATGCTGCTAAATGATTTGAATAAGAGAGAGAAGAAACGGAAAGAGAGAAAAAAAGAGAGCGCTAGTTGTGACTTTTCAAGTCTTAAGTAAAATTACGTCTCTTAATAGATGTCATTTTTTTGCAGTACAATGCGATGCAACGTTAGTAGAGATCTATCGCATCGATCTGCATCAAGTAAAGCTCTGAAATGGACAAGCAACTTGCGATGGTTGCCCGTTTTTTATTATTGATTATTTTTTACTATTAAGCAATACCACTCGCAATCTCACGAGTAATAATTATCAAAATAATAGTAATACAGATGTTTAAAATTATTACAATTACTTTTGAAAATATTAACAGTAGAAAAAGATTATAATTAATGCACATTATAAAATTGCAGTTTCTTCAAATCTTACATTCCATATATTTTCTTCTGAATCGAACGCGTCGCGTGCGCGACTAGCGCTATCAAAAATAGTATCCTTTTTATTAAGATATCTCTAGAGACGACGTTATCACGCATTTCTTATCTCTACAATCTATTACATCATTTGTTGATTAAATAGAATTGGTTAAATAGTAAAAGGTTCTATAAGGCCTGTTCTATCTATTATCTCGTCTCCAATACGAGACGTACAATTGACATCGCTCGACACGATGCCATCAGATTACCGTGTCCTGATAAGCGGGCGGTCCGCTGAGGACAAATTGTCGTTGGCTCTGCCTGACAATGTCGGTGCGGTTCGGCACTTGCGGCGTCGCCCTGACGCCGTGATAATTACTGTAGCTAGACCTAGCGCTGGCCGGCCGATTGCTATAGAGTTCCTCCAAATCCTCGCCGTTCAGACTCTGCGTGCTGGTCTGTTGGAACGTGGGATTGCTCTGGCCCTGCCACTGCATCGCGCTCAGCTCGCCGGAGGCCGGCTGCCAATTGTCGGTGAGATTTCGCGTCGAGCTGGTGATCGCGTGCTGCTGATCCCAGTCGCCTCCGGGCGGACTCTGGCCAGGGGGGAAGCCGGACGATGCGTTCGAGTAATTGTTGGAGGAATCCTGGTTCGACGGCGGTGGCGGTGGCCACAGGGCCGGCGACGACACCGCCATGTTGACCGCTTCCGGTTGCCAGTTCCGGTCGACGGGAACGTTACGTTCGCGGTCCCAGCCGCCGATCGTGATCCGGTCGTAGTTGAGCGCCCGGTCACCCTGCGACAGCGTGCTCACGTTCTGATTCGTCAGGCTGCCGATGCAGGCACCTGGACCCGTGTTGGCGTACAGGTTCTCCTGGTGGTCCATGATGCGGTTCACCGGGTTCTTGCGACGAGACTGGCGTACCGAGCTGCGTCGCGTGTTGGAGCGTCGTGTGCCGTCCCTCGAGATGACGGAACGTCGCTTCACCCGACGCGGCGTCATCGGCTTCGGCGACACGCTGCTGTCGTCCTGGACCGGCGGCTCCGGCTGGGAGTACTCGATGCTGTACAGCGGCCGCGGCTGCTTCTTCTTTCGCTTAGTTCGTACTGTCGGAGAAACAGAGAGAGAGAGAAAGGCGGTCAGAGATTCTGTGACGCGCGATGACTTTTCCTACGTTTCTTCGTCATCAATCAAATGATAATAATGTTAAGAATAATAAAAGCGAAATCAATTATACAGTGTGTAATTTCTTGATGAATGCTGTTAAGATTTCTAAAAAATAAGATTGTTATTTAATTTAAAATTTTGCCCTTTAGGTCTCTTGTTTATTTTATCTTAGAATATTTTGAAAATAATAACTTTTAGTGTATGAATTTTATAAATGCATTTGCATCCTAAAGAAATTGTAGTTTATTATAATCTTTTAGACTGAAATATATTAGATAATAATCTGTAATATAAATAATTTTGGTAAAAAATAGTATTTGTGAAATATTGTGATTTCATATAAAATATATAGTAAACGTTCAATTAAAACCACAGATTTAACGATGACTAAGAAATATAAAGAAAAAGATTCCCCAGAAACCGCATAGTAGGAAATTGTTAGAACAGGAAAAGAAAAGAGTGAAGGGTTAATAAATAAAAAAGCAAGCAAATAGTATTGCATATTTATTGTTCCCAATTAACTGCACCAAAGTAAATAATGCGATACAGTAGATAAATACAAAATTAATAATAACGGTCTTAAAAAAAGAAAAAACGATAAATATGCTTTACAAACTTCAGATGCTCAATAGAGACTGTATGTCCAAAATATATTATAAATCTGAAGTGACAAAGAAACCTTGTGTCATTTTTCTTTATTCTATTTAGAAAAAGAAAGAAGAAGTTTAAAATCGTCTAAAGTGCCACTGTAGAGAAAAATAATATAATCATATTCCATATTTAATAGAGAAATTTTTCTTTCTATCATTTCTAAGATTTTTGTTAAGTACTGTATAAAAATAAATATATACATTATTATACACATTTAGCATAATTTTCATCTCTACTATTATATTATGCTCTATGCACAAGATATTGTATTATATATGTGTAACTACCTCTCTCTCAAAAAATTGTATTATATACAACATATATATATATGCATATATATATATATATATATATATATATATGCATATATATATATATATATAAATAATGTGTGTCTACACACATTATTTAAAAAAATACTTAACTTGTAAATATAATTACTATTTTCTTTTTTAATGTGTATAAAATATAAGCAGTGTGTTAGTTACATCTATATTTTTCTCTTAGAGCAGTCTTTTGTATAATAATTCGTATAATAATTACATGCTATTTTCTGATTTACACAAAGAATTAATATAATTTAGTAAATACAAATTTTTTCGGATGTCACTTCAGATTTCGTATCAAATTATTATAATGTACGTAAAAAATCAATCACTTATATGAGAAATGTCAAAGTGGACAGAAATTATTTTAAATATATGTTTGCCAAAAGAGATATCTGAAATTTTACATTTTCCTCTGTAAGAGACATTCCGTCTTAAAAATATTCCCATATATAGTGAATAATTTACGTGACTTAAGCTATACATTTAAATCATTTAAATACATTGCGATCCATTCTACAAAGATGACTACGAAGATTTTAAGGAATCGAAAATACTTCACACACTCTGTTAAATTGAAAATACAAAAAGGCCACAACTACCATGCACTACTAACAAAAAGAGAGCGATAGTACGTGTCGATCGATTTTTTTCATCTTTTGTGAGAATGAGACAATTGCAGCTAACTAATAATGGCTAACTAATGGTTGTAGTTAATCGTGTAATTGAAATTAAAACGCAATGTTTTAACATATATTTATAAATACTTATCAAGTATAATTGTTATTATTGAATATTATAACTTAGCATATTTTTATATTTAAACTAAAGATCAATTATTTTAGGACAAATCGTATTATATATTTCTCCTGAGATTTTTTTACGTAATAAAATATTTATTGAAAATCGATTTTGCGCGAAATCTGAATTTATTGTAATCAGAAAATTTTATTGTCATAAAGAAAAAACAAAATTTGCAAGACAAAGAACTATTTTTTTATAATCTGGATGTAAAAATAAACAGATAACAATAAAATTGTACATAGTTGAAAAGCTTCATGGTTACACATATATACATGTGTATTTCAACTCCATTAGACTTGCCAAAAGTGAAAAAAAATCGATAAATCATATATTATGCTCTCATTTATATCCATTTAACTATCCTATAATAAAAATTGTTCATAATACCGGGTCAAACTCAAAACTGAACTCTAAAATAAGCTAATTAAAAGCAGTCAAATTTTTTTATAGAGTATCAGTATTTGAAATCCTTATCCATATTTATATCTGGTGTACAGCAAAGTTGTATAGAAATGAATTATTTTTGATACACATAGAGAAAAGCTAGAAAAAAATATTACTGCAAAATGGTTTCCGTCAATTTTAATTTTTTCGTACAAATTTAAAAACTCATATTAGATAAAGCTAAAGTAAATGATATCTTCACATTTGATTAAAATATTCTAGTCATGTTGCTTTATCACATATATATTGTTCTACGTTGTGTACAGTGAAACTCTCGATGCATACAAATTTCAATGTATCTCTATCTAATCAATTTTTTTTCATATATTGTAGAGCGATAAATATTCTGCTCAAACAACTTATATATCACAGTACATACATCAAGACGTATTCATTAATCTATTCTTGAATAGTAATACATGTAAACCATTTATCAAATAAATAATTCATAGTTATCATTCGTATTCTCTTCTGTAACTTTTCTATACAATAAGCGACTTTTAGCCTCTCTTAAACCATTAATCTTACTCCTTTAATTAAAATGGTGATCATGATAATTAGTCCAATGTTAATTTTATCGTATGTGTCATCACAGCATTGATTTATTCATATTATTCATATGTGCATGTATCAGATTAATTATTCATATATGTATCAGAAAGTGTAAAAGGAGTAAATGATAAATTTGTGAATATATGTATGAATTATCCTATTACATATAAATAAGCAACATTTACGAATTAGTAGATAAGTCACACTGCACTGATTGTTCGTATGAACGAGCAAATGCTACTGAACACACACAGTTCGATATCAGTCAGTTATTTCGATGCAAAATACGAAGAACATCGTTAATGAATTACACAATGATATGCAAAAAATACTCATGGTATGAGTACTTTTCTACTGATCGAAGATCGCCGAAAGGTAGGGCGTCTATGCTACTGGGATTAATTATACTAATTGTTCTATCTATTTGGCAAGTATAGGAATTATAATGTTACACATACCGCACGTGGACGTCGTATACGCGGCAGTATAGAAGTTCGTATAAGCTAATTTTCGTAATTCTTCTCGCTAAGAGAGCAATAGATCGGTAGGGAACCTTTAGGGCAATTTTATCTGCCGATCGTGTGCGGAGAGGAGTGTCATCGACACACGAGTGTTTCGGAAACCAGTAGTCGCGTGCAAAAGAGAAAAAAACGCGGCGGAGATCTCGTCGTTCAAAAGTTACTCGCGTACAGAGACAAGGGTCGGCTATCTCGTTTCGACCCGTCGTGCTCACTCGATGCTTGCTGCTGATCAACGGCCAATCTCGGATCGGAGTAAAACGACCTCAGAGGCTGATCGCGCACGTGATCGATGAAGACTCGTCGTGGTTTGGCGGGATTCCTGCCTTGCTTCGTCGCGGTCGAACGACACTTGATACGCGCGACCGGGCTGTACCTGGCCAGGTGCGGATAGTACAACTTGTTTTTCTGATACCTCAATTTAGCAACGCTGTCCAGCGAGTCGTACTCGTCGTACACGGGCGACACGGGCCGCTGCAAGTGATCCAATGGATTCGAATAGTCGACCGAACAGTCTAGGTTCTGAAAATCGCGACTCGACGAGCGACTGCTGTTACTACGGATCGTGTCGTTCCTGAGACTGACGATGTTGCTTTTGCCGCGCGCGGAACCCAACAGCTTCTCGCCACCGTGTTTCGGAAAGCTCGATTCGCGATAGGCAGATTGGTGAGAGCTAGTCGTGCCGGTCGGATAATTATTTTCAGCGGAATTTTTGTGGGAATATGCGGGTGGTGGAAGAGCCGAGTAGCTAACGTACATAGGATGCAACGGCGTGTGGCCTGCCAACCCAAAGTCATCACCTCCAACAAAGTCAACTGAAATATCATCCAAGAATCCATCGCATTAGACGAGGTCGACTGATGACGGGAGAATAAGTATTGCAGATTAATGATCGGTCGAAGAAGCGGATACGCGGCGTGTATAACGTCGAAAATATCATTATGACTTCTGATCTTCTTCCATAATATTTTACGAAGAAGAAATATCTTAAAGTTCATAGATGTAATATTTCGTCCTATTACATGGCATAGTCTGCTTAATATATTTTAAATTATTTTTGCCTTTAATTATACTCATAAATATCTTTGCTGCAGAGAAATATTACTACTACATTAAGACATAATACCATTCTTAGATATTAAAAAAAAAAACAATATATAATACCATTCATGCTAAGATAAAGAAATGCTATTTGAGCAATATCATATAATAATAATGTCAATAATATAATAGATACGAATCACAAATTGCAAGATGCAAAAAAGTTTATAATGCTACATGTTAAAACATAATAGTACACTCTGTAGCTTCATGATCGTACTATGAAAAATTATTTATTCGTGCCAAAAGATAGACAAATATATATTGCGTGCAATTAATGAACATGATTAAGCGGACTTACCAAAATGGAGGATCAAATCCACCAATGAAATCAACTGTAACCGACAACCCTCTTTTCAAGCAATAATAAATAATCGCGTGTACTTACACATAATTAGTGATCAAAGATAATTTATCAAAGATAATTTCATATTACTAATTAAAATATTTTAAAGAATGTGCTCCTATTATATGTACTATTGTGCAATTAAAATAGAAATATATCCGCTCTCTGTATATTCATATATATATGTATACTCAACATATAATACACACTAACGAAAGTATGTAAAAGAAGTAACTTAATAATAAATAATAATAATAATATAGCTTTTGCTTTTCAAAATGAATTCAATTCGTAAAAATGTGAGAAAATTGAAGAAAGAGATAGATAATATCATTTATAACCTTTATAACTTTCCACTATTAGAATATTTAAATTTACAATAATCATAAATAATATAAATAAATATTACGATGATCAATATTAGACAGTTTGATTTTTCTAAAGATGGAATGAAATAGCCTTAATGCCTACATTTTTCTGTTTCCAAATGTGCTGTTCAAATATAATAACCACTTCCTCCTCTCAGTTACTTATCATAAACCACAAGTATGACAGATTACTAATTTTTACATAAGGAAATATTACATACATATTCTTTAAAATGTGAAAGCAAAAATTTGTTCTAATTAAAACTTTAAACATAAATCTTTTAGATATGCGTGATTTTATAATTAGAAATTTTAATTTTAGAAACAGAAACCATTAACTTTTTTTAAATTAACTTAATCTGTAATTACTAAATATATACTTACAGCTATCATCTTCTTCAAGGAACACTTTACTAAGACAGATTCCACCAACAATCGCCATAAACTGAAACATGTAAAATATCTAAATTTTAGAAAACAATAATAATATATGTATATAATCTATACAGCTATTATGATTACATATGATGACATTGCATTATGTGATGATTACTTCTCTACTTACACCTAAAATACATTGCGTTGCAGCATGTAAAATTTCTATCACTTCATAGTCCAGCACACAATCTGTTACATTAGTGGGACGTGCAGGTCTAAAGAGCTCTGGTTCCGTAACATCGTAAACAGCTTTGCAACCAGGTCCATTTACGTGCCACCAAGAAAAACTACCGGTACCTAGATTGAGGATATCACTATCCTGAAAGATAATATTATATCCATAATATTTATATAACAATCCATGTTATTGCATAAATATCTATGGTAATCTTTAGTGCAGTGCATTCAGATGCAATATATTGAAATGGTATATAATTACATTCTTTACTTACTTTATCCAGTATCCCTACACTGAGGTAGAAGCATATTATAAATATGTTCCATCCTAGCCACAATATATTCCATATACAATACTGAAACACAGAATTAAAATAATAAAGAAATATACATATATGTGTGTCATTAATCAAATACACAAATGTTTTTTTAGTTGTTTGTTTACATATGAATCTTTATGTAAAGAAATACAATTTATCCTCTTTTCTTCATATACTGCAATATTTTGCTAGAATTAATTATATGTACTAATTAAAAATAATTGGATTTTATACATACTGATATGATATATTTTGGTCTATATTGAAAGGCCCCGAAGAATCCTAGAATTACGAAGATGATATTGAAGAAGTTGGCCAGTATCGGGGTCCACATAAACCCCAGAAAGTCGAAGACTTGACGTTCTATAGTGGTAATCTATAAGAAACAAAGAAAATATAAAATAATAAATTAAATGCAAAATGTATATATTAAATATGTTCAACTGCAACATAGACTGAGACTTTTATGGAACAATGATCTCTTAGTCTACATTTCAGTTAAATGTACCTAATATATTAATAAGCATGCAACATGGAATGTAATACAAAGTAATATGATCAGCGACAGCATACATCTCAATTTCTGCTGATTCTCTTGTGCGCGTCCTTAATCTACATCAATTGTCTTATGTTCTAAATACTCAGTTAATTACTCTGAGTCATAGCATTTGTGATAGCACTACATAACCATGTACATGATAAAGTATCTGAAGCTTACATCATAAATTTCATCTCATATATATATATATATATATATATATATATATATATATATATGAAAGTTTATTTTATTGCTATGTAGGATCAAAATACATTTCTATACAAGTTCTATACAATCATAAAAATAAAATCATAGATGTTTATTATTAATTATTATTATTAATAAAATAATTAAGAAACAAGGAGTAAATATACATCAATTAATATTCGAAAAACAAAATATACGTAGAAAATGCAAACATGCGATACAAATATTACTTATCAAGTATTTATTACTTTCTTTTGAGCTTTCTTTATATTTCTTTTATAAAATATATTAATAAAATCTTATTAAAATTCTTTAATAAATTTATTTTCTACATATTTAGTTTAACTATTTATTTCTAAAATAGAGAATCATTAATTATTGAAAGGTGGAAATTATTGAATTTAATTATTGAAAGGTGGATTATTATTTCTAATACTCCAACCACCGCAATGAGAAAAAAGATTTGCTCTATTCTTCTTTCTCATATATTTATTTTCTTACACTTCTAGTGCAAAAAATAAACTAATCATTGTACGTGAGAATGAAAAACATAATTAAATCCAACGAGTGGTATAATAAAATTACGATATAAACAAAACTTTCTTTTATATAAAAATATTCCAAGATAAATCTCTTCTTTTTTATATATTTATTTTCTTACACTTCTAGTGCAAAAAATAAACTAACCATTGCACGTGAGAATAAAAAACATAATTAAATCCAACGAGTGGTATAATAAAATTATGATATAAACAAAACTTTCTTTTATATAAAAATATTCCAAGATAAACCGAGGGTTTAAAACTATACGATAATTCACATTTCAAATAAGCGATAAGAAAAACGTAGTAATGGTATTTTTCCATTTTTCCATGGACGTTAGCACAGGGTAATTAACGTGAGTATCGCGTTCGCGGAATTTGCAAGAAAAAGAGATGACATAAGTCAAAATATATGTGCACACGTTTGTGTCATTGAATACTATATTTATGTAAACATATATACGTATGCAAATTAGACAGGAATACACTGCCTAGTCGAATCGCGAGCTGGCATTTCCGCGTATCCGGATTAACGACGCATGTACGCTCACCAGTTGTAGGCTGCATATCGTCAATAGAAAGTGTCTTCTGCTGCAAATTCCCATATCATTTGGCCGCGCTCCGCTCAACGAGCGATCTCACGAGGGACGATCACGACGATGACGACGACGACGACGACGACGAGGCTGAAGATACTCGCGCAAGCCGCATCACACTTCACCACCTTGGCACCTTCCGATGCGCCATCGCCATCTTTCGCTCCGCTGCGTGTCGCTCTCACGCGGACACTTGTTCCTCCCGTCCTACCACGCGAGTCACTGTCCGTCTGCTCCGCAAGTTGCAACTGCCACTATAGCTCTAATGACGCGCACGCACTACGCATTCACCGTGCTCAGGCAACCGCGACACGCACACGCGTTTCTCGTCACGGGGGCGAACGATCGCCACCATCGCCAGACTCGCATTAATCCAACCTAACCTCCCTTCCTCTCCCCCGCCGGATAAGAGATGCCACATGCCAGGATGCCAGTGAACGCAACAGCATTATTATTATTTATTTTTTAATTTTTTTATGGCCGTAATTGATCTGAACAACGATCAATATACTCAGGCCAACAACTTTAAATTTTGTCTACGGCTAAAGTCCTTGTAAGAGGTTAAACTCAAAAATTCTCCGAAGGACACACGTAAAACACGTCCGCACCAACGCAACAGCATGATTGTATTATATCGTGTGGAGGGGGTTAGGGAATACGCTGGCAGTGGAGGGGGAAGGACGCGTAGTTAGCATGCGCGACATCTTGACGCCGGTCGCGAAGCGAGGCACAGCTGTGAGAAGTCATGTGACGCGCGACCTGTCACCTGTCCTCTGTCACCTTGATGCGCATTATCATTTTGCGTTTGATTAAGAATAATATGTTGTTTTACATTGAAATTTTTATATATATTGAAAAAGGAAGACATTAGAATATGTAAATGCAAATTTGTAAGCGCGTAGGATATTTAAGTATTTTTTCCCCCTGAAAAAATATATTTTTACGTAAAAATTATTTCTGTTGTGCGCGAAAATTTTATTAAGAGATAATAAATACTGCAATATTTTATATCGAACAAATCTTCGCTGTAGTTTCTTGTCAGCGATAGGAAACATTTTTATGACGAATTATTTTCCATCAATGATAGAATAAATATTGGAGAAGGGTGAGTATTTCTTTATTAAAAAGTGTCATATCATATATTTATTTAAAAAAGAAATTCGATAAACAAAATATCTTTGAGGAAGAGAAAGTACAGAATAATGCTTTCTGATTAGCAATAAATTAGCTTAATATATAAATAAATAAATATATGTATATATTTGTAGTTCTTATATATATTTTTTTGAGTAAACAAATTTCATTTTTTTATTGTATTTTCTACATTTCATTCCTTTTTAGTACAAAGTACAAAAGAATATGTAATTATATATTCGATATCATATCTGAGATCTGAGATCTGACCTGTAATATTCGATATCGTATCGTAATCATATCATATATCGCTACATTCATACTACATAATGTCCAAATAAAAACGTGTGTGCACATGGTATTTAATCTCTTTGCATAATTTATTTCAAAAATATTCAAATATTATTTTTACTGTAATATAAAAATTGCTATACTCTCAACTGCATGATTGATAACGGTAACATTTTCTAATCTTCCAAGATAAATTAAGCTTCTAGACAAGACTGTCGAAATTACTACAAATTCTTTATTTGCCGTGTTTTTACTTATGTTTCTTCGAAGACGGTAAAAAGTTATTTTTAAAAAATATTTATTTAATACTCGATAATAGAAGAATTATAAAAATTAATATATAAAAGATGATAATTTCTGTGTTATACTAAAATATATTTAATGCTTCTAATAATTTTGATATATTATAAAGATAGATTTTATTCTATTTTATTTTTATTAAATTAAATGTAATAAATTTACAATATTATGACACATTTAAGATAAACTAAAAAGATTATTCATGTGATTTTTAGAAGATTGCAATCATCGTCGTACATTACTCGAGAATGAAAAGAAACACAATTTTAAAGAAGCGAAACGTTTATTGGATCGAGGAGACTCCAAAGTTATCAATAACTTTTCCAAAGGAAAAGCTCGGACAAGCGAAAACGATTCTGCATGGCACATCTGCAAATCTAAAATACAAATTTTTTCAACGCGAATTAATCAAACGAGGTGCAGTTGCAGAAAACGTAGAAGTAGACGTTCTCAGATTCTTAAAAAAGGTCACTTATCAAAACGTTTCATGAGCGCTTACTTAATATTAATTTATCAAACTGATTTATTTACATAAAAGAACAATTTTTATTAAAACATGTTTTTATTTTTTATTTCAATGTCAAATATAACTATTCGATTCTGTTTTATTTATATCATAAAGTTTATTCACACAATAAAATTAATTTACTAAATTAACTTACATTGATTTACTTAACAAAATTTTTTTATTAAAGTTCACACATTTTTATTTTAATACAATATATTAAATATGATTATTCGCGATTCTGTTTATTTATATCATAAAGTATATTCACACTGAAAAATATCACATTGCACATCTCGAATTAAATATATAATCAGTATAATGCATATTCATCGGATTTATTGCAGGTACGGCTCTGTTAAGGTGTAAGGAGGGCACGTTTCGCGTGCGAAAGATATACGGAGATGGCAATTGCATGTTTAGGGCAATCAGCTATATTTTATGGCGGAACGAGGAAGAGCACCAATCGCTCCGAGCTATGGTCAGTCCATAATTAACACAAACATAAACATTATCTGAATCATGTGAATTATAATTCGGAATGCATATATCATGAAAGGCAAAGATTCGTTACGAAATCAAAAATAGAATCGCTTCGCGATGAGATACGCAATTTAATTAATAAATAAATGTATATTACTCTTTAAATACATGTTAAGAGTTGGAGGTTCGATTTATGATATAATAATTGATACGACAATGTGTGTAAGGAAGCTGTGGATCGTTTGATAGGTTGTGCGACACATTAGGGATAATTGGCAAGAGTACGGTCCCTTCGTGATGGCTGAATGGAATATTTCGGATCGCCAAGAGTACTACGATTACATGAATCCAGTGGGTACGTTCGCCAGTGAACTGGAATGTACAGTGGCCACAAAACTCCATCGCATGAATCTCTCGATCTATCGCGAACTCGCCGGCAGATACGAGCTCGAACTGGTTTTCCACAACCGCGTGAACATCCACTACGAAACCGCGAGGCTCCTGTTCACCGGATGCTCCGAAAACGGTCATTACGATGTATTGTTACCCGATTCGATGTCGAGCTTTTACGTGAGTTAGCAAAAATGGGTAAAATTGAGATTTTTTATTTTTAATAGAAGAGATCTCAAATAAAAAATGCAACAAATTTATATTAAAATTTACTTTGTTAGTGTTCTCCTCGACAACTTTTGCTATAATTTGCATTTTGTAATATTTTATATAATTTATGAAAAATATATAAGAAAAGCATATATGCCTTTGAATTCATTGAGATTATTGATATTTATATTGGGAACGTATAGGACTGTATATAGGATTAATGTTTTATTCATTTATCTCTTTATTAAGTAATATAAACAAATATACAAGGAAATGAGATCCATATATGTGAGTAATATACATGGTATATATATTTAAAAAACGTGTTATTTTCATTAACAAAAAAATCGTTTTTTGTAAAAATTGCAAAATTCTTTATAATATAAATTAATGCTATAATATTAATTAATGTTAATTTTTAATGCTTTTTTTATTTTGTTTATGAACAATTAATTGATTTGAATATATCTGGATAAATTTACCGATTCACACAAATCGTGAGAAAATACTTGCTGCTCGTCTTCTGAACGACCATTAAAACTTTTTGCTATCCATCTCGAGCGAATTCGCTGATAGAAAACACAAATTCCCACACTCATGTCGGTGGCTAACACTGGAATGTTTCACGCTCCATGAGCAAGTACGGAATTTAAAAAGAATAATCGCATCCCTGCGTGTGAAGCCATTGTGTGACCGTTGTTATTCCACTATGGATCATGCAACTGAATTCAAGATCACAAGTCAATTAAAAATTATATAGAGTATTGAAAATTACATTCAACCATAGCCTAACAATCGTAATATACATATTATGATTGTTAGACTAATTAAATATAATCTTCAATTTTAATTTATAAATTTATTACACAATTCAATAATATATAAATATCGTACATTAATAAAGCAAAAACATGAAAATATGAATAAAACATACAATTCTCTATTTTAAATATATCAGGTAGTAACATTGAATTTAAATTTTAAATTTAATAATTCTAACTATATGAAATCTAATTCTAACTACATGAATTTAAATATTAAATTTATTAATTACTAATTCTAATTAAATAACTATTAAGTATATTTAATAATTCTGCTTTTATACATATATATAATATTAAATAACATTCATTATAACAAAAATTCTCTTCTAAAAAAATTGTCTCTTTGTACATTTTTAACTGCGTAAATATTCTTAAGGACTATTTTTAATTTCTCGAAATTTATTTAATTGTACTATCTGAGATATATTTAGTTTGTAATAATATAATATACTGATGGATGCAGACTTTACTTAATCCAGTCAGATCTGCATTTACCTTATTCTGTATAGCATTTTCGAACACCAACTAACATCGATAACGCTCTGATTCCTGCTGACCGCTTGTACGACTTCCTCAGCCACTTGTTGCTCTTTTTGTCTCGTATAACTGCAATGCGATAAGTTAACATTAATAAGTTAAAAGTCATCATCGAGAAACATTAGCAACAATTTTTTTCCAATGTTTTTTTCGCAAGAAAGCTCACTCATGTCCCGCTACTGGTGAAACTGCCAGAAAGGTGAGGTGACTCCTGTGATCGCTCAATTCTTGACCCAAGCTTTCCATCAGACCTACATGTAGATAATAAATGTCTCATATATAAATAAATCGCGCCAGTCAACGTTAATCAGTCAACGTTTATTGTTTACCATGCCTTTATGATGAGCTACCCACCGGCGATTGCTGCTCTCGAACCCAAGTATACATCCTGAGAGGATGCAACCGGCGTAACTCCGACAACGTACGCTCTATCACGTCGCAACATCAAAGGCAAAAATGCTAGCATCGTCTGCAATGATAAAAGAAATTAAAAAATTGATCGAAATTGATATTTAAAAAAAGCGGAAATTTGCTTCAAAATTATTTAAAAAAAAATAACACCGCATATTAGCAATATTTACCCAATAGTGGCTCATGAGAGTTGTGCTAGCCATGTCGAAAATATCTTGATTAGGCTGGCCAGCACAAGTCACCAGGACATCGATGCCCCCAATATCGTCTTCGATCTTCCTGGCAATCTCGCGGATAGCATTACGATCCAATAGATCGCATTCGTACGTCATTATTATAGGTTTTTCATTTTCCAACTCGTGTTTCCTGTAATTTGGTCCGATTCCCTCCACCCTGCAACATCGCGATCTCAATCTGGCGATTATCTCTTCAACGTATCTAAGATCCTTATCCATGCAGATCACGGAACATCCGCCTTTTATGAATTTCTCGGCGAGGGATTCGCCGAGCGTCGACGAAATACCAGCAATCTGTTACAGGAAACACTTGTCTATTAAGAAAATACTACTCCACATATTTATTAAATCATAGTTGATTAAATTATAATATATAATTTTAAAAGAAATATTCATTTTTATAGAAATGTATTTGTGTAATTCTAATTGAAATTATGTACTATATTTTGTGTTGTACAGATACTTTAAATTAACGGGAAATATTTGAAATATTAAATGTGATTCAAGATGTATGATATAGATAAAAAGTATGCATACTAAGACTACATCGCCGGCCAGACTCCTCGGTGGCTTTGGTAGCAGTGATTTTATAGTATTAAGAATACTTAAAAAACCAGAAATTATAGCGCCAATCAAAAATTCAATGCTGAGATAAAACCAAATATTGATCGAAGAATCTATTTTCGAATTTGCGATTATTCCTTCGTCCTTAATTGGTAGCATCATCCAACTGTAAATAAAAATTTATTTTATTGTCATGCATAATAAACCAATTTAATGAAAAAGAGAGAGAAAAAGAAACACCAGAGTCGGATTTAAAGATGTGGAGGTCCTGGGGCAACGAATAGGTGGAGACCCCTAATCATTTTTGGACCAAAATCAAATAGAAATTTTTACATTGTTTAAATAATTTATTGTGAAATAACAAGGTCAAGCAATATACATAGACCTTGTAAGTGTTGTATACCATTCAACAGGAAATTTTACCCAAAAATTTGTGTTGTGGAGGCCTCCCCCCTCTTGTAAAGGCCCCTGGGCTTCAGCCCCTGTTGCCACCCCCTCCCCCCTAAATCTGGCTTTGGTCAAATATAAATCATTCGTGACTCTTTATCTATTTTTTGATTATTTAAATGTATTTCAGATTGAGATCGTGCAGTAAAACGATTAAATCGTAAATATAAATATGATGTGAGAGGAGGCGCAGGCCTAGGAAAGGCATCCTGCATCGGCGGAACAACCTGATGGTAAGTACTATTTATATTATTTATTTATATTAATTATTATATCGCATACGCGCATTAATTTGAGTCATTTATTTGAATGATGAAACAAAAAAGAGTCAAAGAAAAAAGGTTGTATGTAAATAATCCTAAAAAAAGGTTATATATAAATAATCCTTGCATGTAAATAATCCTAAAACTTTCTATTTAAAAAATAGTTTTTTAGAATTTAAAAAATTATTGCATATTTATTTATTTTGCACATATCGGATAAAATTCGGTGCGTACAATAATTAAATATAATAAAAGATTAATTATTTTAAGAACTGCTAATTATATGAATTTTATATTTGTATGTTACAGACAACGTAGCTTCAATATTGACAACTCCGCTATTGCGCATCAGTGTCGGTGAGTGAAAAACTTTTATTTATTTTTAAGGTAACGGATTTGTGTAGAGCTTGTAGATGTAGATTGTAGATTGTAAATTGTAGGTCCGTTACCTTAAAATGGATGGACTAGAACAAATTAAATCATATAATTTTTTAAAGATTTTTTTCAATATACATTAAAGTTTATTAAAAATGCAAAATTGAAATATTAATTAAAGGAAAATTTCATTTTTTTATTAATTTTAACATAATAAATTATTTATTTTATTTAAAATAAATAATATACATAAATACAAAACATAAAAAACATACTAGTAATTTTATTTTTTAATACTATATAATAATTTACTTTTATAATGCATATGTGACATTATTTTAATTTTTTATAGTCCATCATTTTTATGTAGTTGTAACATATTAAAAAACTTTGCTTTATTAATATAAATCTAAGCAAGTTATCAATCTATTGAACCGTAATGTTTAAAAAGAATGAATGATACTATAGAGTGAAAATATAGTAGAAAATGTATAAATAATGTGGAATTAATTTATTTGATCGTAAATCTTTATTATAAATTTTTTATTATAAATAATATTACATATTGTAAAAATTGCAATCATTTAATTTTGATTAACTTGACACTATATAATGTTATATTAATTAAAGCAGAGTTATATTAAAATGATAACAAACGGTCATAATATTACGACTGTAAATGAGCGTAAAATTATGCTCATGTACTGGTGAAAATAAGTAGCTGGCAACGAAAGGAGTTTTTCTCCTTTATTGACCTGATACAGGTCAAAGCTACTTTATCCTTGGCTAAAAATAGCCAACCTTGGCTAAAAATAGCCTGCCTGGATATTCGAAAAGTAAGTTCTAAAAACGTCTAACATCTAAAAACGTGCAATGCCACATAATAAACGCGTAAATTAAACGGATAAAATAAACGAGTACGCATAAAATAAATAATAACATATAAAAATAAATTCAGAAACTCGCGAAAAATAAAGAAACACTGCGTTCGTGTAATAAAATTCTAATTAGGGCATATTCCCCAAATCTTAAAAAATCGCATATTACCGCTGATTTAATTTGCAGAGCAATTAGGGCTGTTAGGATCATTGAAATTATTAAGATTGTTAAAGTTGTTAGTAGGATCTCTTAGTAGGATTGTTAGATAGGATCGAAACGTACGTAGTTTGTCTTCTGTCGAAAAAAGAAGAATTAAAATAGTCGATTTCTCGTCGATTCTTATAGGATCCATCTACGACGTCTAGTTCGATGTCTCGTTGAAAATTAGGAGTTTCCGTTACAGAGTTGAAATTAAACCCGAGTTTTCTAGACAGTTCCTAAGAGCAATGATTTTAACAATGAATTAATGACTGATTTTTTAAAGTCGAATCAATTAAAATCAATTGAAATCAATTAAATAGTATATTTTGAAGGAAAAGTTTCTTCTTTTCTTATAAAGTTTTTCTATTATTATTATTATTAATATTGTCTTTATACTTTGAAAAAAATTTAATAGTAATTTTATAGATAATATAGAATTCTAGAATTCTATATTGTCATTATATATTATATGTTATTCATAATAAACTGCATATTATATATTATATACTTTCTTTATTATATAATATGAAATAATGTATTTAAATATAATATTAATAATAAAAATTGTACCTCCTCGATAGTATCTCTACCTTAACGAAGGCCGGGTGAAGGGAGGTTTGAGTATTCTAATGAATCGGAGAGATATGCAGTATAGCCTGCATATCTCTCCGATTCATTAGAATACTCAAGCCGGTATTTATACAATCTGTTCTTATATTTAATCAGAGCCGGATTTAAAGATATGGAGGCCTTGGGGGAACGAAGAAGTGGAGATCCCTAGCCATTTTTGAACCAAAATCAAATAGAAATTTTTACGTTGTTTAAATAATTTATTGCAAAATAACAAGGTCAAGCAATATACATAGACCTTGTAAGTGTTGTATATCATTCGATAGGAAATTTTATCCAAAAATTTGTGTTGTGGAGGCCCTCCTCTTGTGGAGGCCTCTGGGCTTCAGCCGCTGTTGCCCCCCCGCCCCCTAAATCCGACCCTGAGAGACACAGAACCAAAATAATTACGAGAGAAATGGCTATATATTCTATAGCAATTATATTATTAATGATTGCGTAATATTGTTTCTTAATATAATTACTAATCAGTGCATTTTCCAATTTTTTTCTCTGCACTTACAAAGATTTCGTAAGATTTTTTATAAAAGTATCATTTTCCTAATTACTAGAAGAAAAAAAAATGTAAATTATGCTTGCACTCTGTTGAAATCGATGTCTTATCCTGAGAAAGTATTAACACGATATGAACAAGTGGTTATATAATATGTAAACTCCTGTATGGTATACGACGTGTAATAAAGGATATAGTGCTTTGCTAGGAACAAGCAAGCACCCAATGCAAAAGATTTATGATTTATGATCATCGCATCGAAGCGTGAAAGCAAAATAATCGAATAAAGATTGGTTAGAATGTTAGAAATCGTTGCAAAAAGGTTTTTTTAAGTAACTAGAAAGATAATTACATTTGCCATATATCTCAACCCATATATTGTCTCTAATTTTGCTGTACCTCAAGGATTTTGTTGCAGTTAATCATTCAGCAAATTTGCAAAATCTCAATTTGGTTATTAAACTTATATTTCAAAGCAGAATTTAATGATTTTTTAATGATATTTTTCGATAAATGTTAATCTACTTATCCTTTTATTTATCATATGAAAGAGAAAGAAAAAGAAAGAGAAAGAAAGAGAATTTAAAAATATTAACAAAATTATTTTTTTTTCGGAAACGCTAGTTGCTAATAATTCATATACTTATGTAATATACATTATTTGATAAATATATATTATATTTTTTATAATATATCAAAATATTTATAATGTAGAAAATTTTAATCGATGATTAGATTTAATATGTAAATTTTTATGATTTCTGATAAACATTCTGCTATAGAATTGCCAGCAATGCGTGTACGTATGACAAAGAAAATTCAAAGTCTTGCAATCCTGTGATTTGACAAACCGTAAAAATATCATCTTGCTCCTTTTTCTGTTAAATAATATAAAATGCAATTGGTTGGGTTAGATCTCGACATAATTTTGACATCACTAAAGACCTAGGAGAACAAAAATAACATTGCTTTCGAAACGACTGAAGTAGCAGTTATCTCTGTAATTGATTAACACAAAAAAAATATTTCAACCTACTGCCTAATTTGCGAGTTTTATTAAATCTTTTAGTGGTAATTTATGGTAAATTATTCATAGAGAATGTTACAACCTATTAGGCTAATTTAATTTATAAATTTTAGGAAGGTCTTTCAATAGTAATTTATATTAAATTAATTTAATTACATTATAATATTTGCATTACGTTAATTTCATATCCGAGTTCATCGCAAAAAATTCTATTAAAAACTATTTTGTTTATATCCATTAATTTGATCTTGTTTCAATTGTCAATATAGAAAAATATAGACGAGAAACTCATTCGAGAGGATACGGTTCAATGCATTCAAATTCTGATATTGACGTTACATAACACTAAATAAATTAATCGAAATAAATTTGCTCAAAAGCCTAGTCATTTTATTTTTAGAAATGTACTTATACGTATTATTATATATATATATATATATATATATATATATATATATTATTATATATTATTATATATTACATGACTATTTATTTCATTACATAAATTGCCTATTAGTAATACTATAAAAATATCTTGTGCAATAAAAATTTGCAATACGTTGAAAGCTCTCATGGCATAATCAATAACATACGACGAAAATAAATTAAAAGATATAAAGCGAATACAATCGAAAGATTTAAAATGTAAGTTTGCTCATTTATATTCTTGAATAAGTTTAAGCTATTGTCCTGTCTATGCATAGCGAATTAAAAAAATATTGAATATAACTGGTCAGTAAGTAGAATATTGTGCAACATAAAAATACGAAAATTCAAGTAAACATAGTACAATAGTAATGCACGTGCAAGTACAATAGAGATATGAATAAAATAAAATAGGATGTAGACAAATATTATTTTTCCCGTTACATAACGTGCACATTCCCCGAATGCTTTACTTTCCATCGAAATGAATGTGGCAAAAAGTAGTTGGATTCATGCGATTACACTTACCGCAATCAAATCCCTATTATAAGATTTAATGATTGCTGTGCACGAGGCCAATTAGAAACTACAGTTTGAAGTATAAATAATGATATCCTTTTCTGAAAAATGACCGATTAACAAGAAATGATGCGTGATAAGTAAATTAAGATTAATAAATTATTTTGTTTACTAAAACTAACAATAATAATAATACGATTAAAGGAAAGAATTAAATTGCAGTATTAATAATTGCTGCATACAATACTGATAAAAAAATTAACGAGTTACAAGTACAAAGAGATTTCACTCTTCTTACAAAAATTATATTATCGTAATATTTTGATTGAAACAGAAGAAATTTGATTTATGTGCAATGATTGACAGACGATCATATCTTGTAATGCATTAAAGTGTAATTGTGCAGCATCGCATTGTGATCTCTTGCGTCATAGCATTAAAGTTTCATATACATACATACAATCGTAATTTATAATCTGATCTGCAATACAGATACTCTAAAAAAAAACTAGAAAAAATAAAAAAACTGATATCTACGTTCTATTTTGATCGGCAATATCTACAATTTCCAATGAAATTAGTAATGAACTAGTTTTTAAGGGGCAACTCAAGGTGAACTTCTATATTTTTAATGTATTTCTCAGTCGCACCAGGATTTTCTTGTATCCTTGAGATAAGATCGTAGATACAAATTCATAAATACAGATAAAAATTGACACGTTAAATATATTCGTAATATATTTAATAAATATATAAGGAATATTTATTATCGCAACTTATGTAAAAATTATAATCGTTTAATATAATTACTATATTATTGTAAAATTATTGAATATATTTATATATAAATATAAAATTATACTACTTATTGTGCATTTTTATATATAAATATAAAATTATATTAATTATACTAATTATAATTATATTATTACAATTATTTTTTAATAAATTACTAAAAAGTTTTAAAAATTACGAAAAATTACATGCTTAAAACAAATAGAATCTGATAAAAAAATATATACAGTCTATACTTTAAACTTATCTCAAGAATGTATGGAATAGCTGATGATAAATATATATATATGTATTACATTGATTGCATAAGTGACGCATTAATAGCGTTCGTATTAATGAGAGCTATGTTAAAAAAAATGCAAAAAAAATGACATCTTGAATTACTCGTGTGTGCGTCAGAAAATACATCATTAGAAATAAGAATATATTTTTATCATTCTGTCTAATTTTTTAATTTTTTGTTTATTGAAGCACAGATTTATAGTAATAAACGAATTAGCTTTTTTATTACATTCCCGATAAATAAAAACTATTATCTCGAGAAATAAAAACTATTATCTCAAAAATATGCAAAATTTCACTAGACAGTTAAATAATATAGAATAAGAAATAGCAAATTTTATATAAAGATATAAATTTTTTGCGATATATAGAAAGAATCTAAAAAGTTTTAACGAGGATACTTCAAAATAATTTAAGCAATAGTGAATGTAAACACTTTGAATATCTTAAACCTTGAACAAAACTAAAATTCGCATTGATTAACTCTTCTTTCAATGAACAATTTTTTTTTAACTGATTATTCTTTTTTTTAGTTTTGTTATAATAATTTAAATAAACAGAGAGTAAGAAAAATCAAAATCGAGAAAGTCATAATTTAATCATAGCTCCAACATTTTTTTTCATTCAATAGTTGAAACAAAAATTATAACAATCATTAAATGTCTTTATCGTAATTTTAATTGAATCATAATTTTATTTTGTTTTCAACAGGAATGCAGTCGTATACAATAGACGCAGAAAGACTGTCAAAAGAATCAAATGTTTTTGCTTAGGTAATTAAATTTGTCAGTAAGATCCACATCTTCAAGTTGCCTGCGTCATTTTGAATAAACTTTATAAAAGAAAATTTCACTTTTGTAATAATGCATCATTTAAATAAACTACGACATGTGAATTTCTAAGTTTGCATGAAACTCGTCCCTTTATGAAATTTCAATAAAAACACTGACTAAAAACACATTTGATGAGAAAAGCAAGAAAATAAAAATAGAAAAACAACATGTATATTACATTTTAAAAAAAACAATAAAAAGTATACTTTAAAAATTGAGAAAAAATAAAGTAAAATGCAAGATACTTTAAATTTCTTACCTTTAACACAAATCAAATTTGAAAACGTAACGAATGTCACTGAAGATATGCATGCAGCATAACTATCTTGATATACTTGTTTGAACGAATACTCAAAATTCGTTATACATAAAAATACATGCGTGTATAGCAGAACACGTTGAAAAGTTGGATAGAAGAAATGCACTCTTGGAGCGAAACGTTACCGTGCCGTACGCGTAGATCACTGGATCACGATTTTCAGGTTCCTCGACGGTTTCATGAATAGTAGGGAACGCGTGGGAGCAACGATTCCGCCGTAATCGTAAATATAATGATGACGACGGTGACGGTCAGAACGCTAGACTCGCTTGAACTTGACTGAACGAAACATTATAACGAAACAACGTACCAGCAATCGAGTGTGTAGACAAGGTCAACGTCTTGTTCGTCATCTGCTTCTTCGTTTTCTTCTTCGCTCGAGTGTATGTGACGTGCGAACCTGAACCTTAGTAGCATTACTTGCTGACGCGTCCATCTATCGATCATAATAAATTGCAACTTATTTTATTAACATTATGGTTTCGGTCTCCGTCAGAACAAAAATCGCTTTAATTAAGGATATCTTTAGCTTGATAAAAAAATTTATCATATGCTGATTCTTAAAAATTTGAGTGATATATATATTATAGATATAAAGCTTTTACTTCCGTTGCTCAGACAAAAAAAATTTAATTTTTAAATTAAAAAATTCTTAAAAATACTGTTTACGAAAAATCGGAACGATTTTAAATATATACGTGAATAACTTTTGTTCTATTACAAAGGAAATCACGTTTAATCACATCCTAAAGCGACAATTAATCAGTCATTCTAAACACATGGTGTGTGTTTAAATAAATTTCTAGGTGTTTTAATATATAATCGATGTATTTATGTCGAAGAAAATTACAAGAGGACAATTATAGAGGATTATACAAAATCAACAATCATCATACAAATTACAATTGCACATACGTAGAATTTAATTGCATATATTATTTTCAATGCACAGATGCAGAGAAGAATTTCGATAACATTATAATACTATGTATATTTATATACAAAGCAAGTAACTTATTTTTTAATTTATAAATTTGTATATAAATTTATTATGTTATCAACATTTTTTTATCTAATCGCAGTATTTAATTTTTTACAACAGGCTCTATAAAAGGTGAGCTCTTCTTACAGAACAAAAAGTGTTGCCTTAACTTTGTATTGCTTCAATAATATGTTGAAATATTAACGGAAATAAGAATAGTTACATAATATTATGGCAGTATTAATTACACGTTTTCTCTGATACTAATTATGCGATAAACTAACATGACTGTACTAGTACAAAATGACTCTAAATTAAGCAATCTCGATTTTTTTATTGGGAAATATAACATTAATTGTTTGAATTTATATTTAAGCAACATATATCTCCAAGAATGGTTTAAAAATTTGAAATCGTCTTGCCGTCCTTTAAAATGTCTTTTTGTGCTGTGGAATGCTTTTCTGGGTAGTGGAAGACGAATAAATTATTGTGAAGAATCTTTAACTGTTCTTTAATCCGGTTTCGTCTACCATGTAAAGTCAAGGCTATTCTCGAGTCGTGCATACTAAAATAGTTTTTGTGTTTCTTGTCTTTCATAAAATCAACATAATGTGCGTCCAACTTGTTAGTTAATGTATTTAAACTTTTTGAAATTAAAATATATTTAAATTTTTTTTTTAAATATAAATTATAATATTTTTATACTGGTTTTATTTGATATTTTTATATTTAGTTTTAAATTTATATATTTAAGTCAAAATACTATGCATCTATATACAATTCTTTATATATATAATTCTTAATTTTTAATGTGCGATCAAATTCTATCTTTTATCAAACATATATATATATATATATATATATATATATATATATGTATGTATATATATATTTTTTTTTACTGCTAATGAAACGCGATGATAATACATTAAAGCATAATAAATATAACGAAATAAACATTTCAAGGCTAATCTCCATATTTCTTACAAGACTTCATCGCCTTGTCTGTTATTAATTGCACATGATAGACTTTGTTACTCCTATTGAAATTAAAATATGTTAGGAAAGAATGATTTATTTGAAAAATCTCGGAACTTTACGACTGTTGTTGACTAGCGAGCTATTTAAATCTGCGTCTTTCTTCGCTGAGGTCTTACCTGCTCATATAGCAAAGAAGCTTATAGTAACATTGCTACAATGTTGCAGTGACGTTTTAAAACAGCGAAAACGCATAATGTGTATGATTTCTTCGCTTTCTGCTACGGATGACACCAAATTTAACTAATTCGTATTCAAATTTTCATCATAAAATGGATATAAAGCCTATAAAAGATTGATACTAACATAATCCAAGGTATATTTCTTTTCTTTTATTAGTTTATTTCTGATAAACTGATTTAATTTAAAGTAATTTGTTTAATAATCTAATCTCTTCCTTGTTGGGGTTATTTGAAATTAGATGGACAAATGGAGAAATAATCCATTTATTGCCTGTATTAAAGTATTCTTATTACCGAATGTATGTAAGATAGTTGTTTATAGATTATCAAGGTAAACATTTAATAAGAAACGTTTAATAAAACATATTATAAATTTTCCTTATCTTTCTTTTTACATTTTTAAAGTTATTTATTAAATTTAAAGCGTTCTGCATTTATAACAAACCGCGTTTCAATATTACAAATATATATTGCACCGTAACATTACTGTAATTTTACATTGTAATATTCATAAGGGCGAACAACTACTGCAAGCTTGAAGTAATGTTGCATTTCGCAACTTCTATGCAATATTACTAATGATTCAATGTGAACATAATTTTATGCAATGTTTTTGTAATCTTTCGGTGCGCTGTATAAGCTTACGACAAATTATGGTTATTATAGTGAAACTCAATCATACGAAATGTTACATAATATCATATTTATGCCTCATTGTAACGCTTCGTTGTAATGCCTCTTTCATTTATGTTTTAATAAATCTAATTACAAATTCATTATACCTTTGTCTCCGTTTAATTCATATTAATATATATAAAGAATATATATATATAAAGAATCTATTTTTTATAGAATTATAATAATAAAAATAAATTATACAAATATTTGGTATTTGATGAAAAATGTAAAAAAATTGTGAAATCTGAAAAAAGGTCCGCTCATTGTTCTTTATTCATGTTACTTATTGTATACTGTTTATCATTATATTTTAATTGGCGTTAAAAAATACAGTATCAGAACAAAAAGTACATTATGCTTTATACGTATTACGTCAATATACTGATTGTGAGAATTAAGAAATGAAGTATTTATGTAAATAAGGTATCCGTGCAAAAAGAAAATCCTTATTAATTTTATTTTACTTCATGCACAATTCAAGATAGTCGAATAAAAATTTATAATCCATTCACTAAATGACATATAATTAGATAGCGTAAAATTATATAGGGGGTGAGAAATTTGCAATGGAAAATGTAATAACGCGGAAATGAAATAGAGATAGAACACTCGGCAATGTGATTTATTACACGATAAGCGCAATCCCGCTGAAAATCGACAGAAAAATGGTGATTCGTATATCGGCGAGTACTGCATGTCTGCATCGAACATTATTAATTACATAATCCAGCAAGTCGACGATAATGACGTGTCTCTGACCACGCATTTGATACGTCTGGTTTACTTTCTATAAGAGCTATTTCTTCTAATATATTCCACATCAGTCGATGATTTTTTTATTATCCATAACACTCTATTTACATTACATCGTCGAAAAAAAATAAAAAGTGTTTATTATCGAAAATCACCAATTTATCAAGAGATATGTAATCTATTTTATAAGATATATAATAATCATAATTTGCAAAAAGTTCTTACAGAAATATCAAGTCGCATTAAACAAATTTAAGACTAAAGTAAAAAATAGCGTATATATAATAAAAAATAAAAAATAAATTTTATTATAAATATTTATTAATCTAATTATTACTAAATTAATATATAAAATATTATTACTCTATAAAATTCATCTTATTTTAATGTTTGCCTAAAGTTTATATCTAATAAATAAATATAAGCATTTTCATTGTGCACAATTATGTCACGCTAAGCTTATTCTAAGTTTATAACTACAAATTCATTACATCTTTTTCTCTCCGTTTTCGATCGACATCCGCTAAGAAATCTAGTATCAAGCGCATTACGCTCTCTGGAACAATCCTGAAAATAAAACAAAATTTAAAAAGTATCATCATATAGAACTTCTTTTAGAAGTAATTATTTATAAATTAATTGTAAAGTTATATAAAAAAATATCATTTTTAAATAATCATAGAAAACAATGAGTATGAAAAAAAAATTATTTTTGATACATTTGGTACGACTTTTGATTCGTACCTGTTAATCGCATTCAAAGAAAGAAGACATCGCGGTATTGAGTACTCCGTGTAATTTCTTTGAATCGCTTTAATTATCTCTCGGGCAGCATATTCTGGCGTTACAACGCCGAAAATGTAAGGAAATCTACAATTAATTCTGTATTAAAATTGCTTTCTAATTGTTATGACAAGCAGAAAACAGAGATAATTCAACGTAGCAGACACACAAACAGATATTAGTAAAAATAAAATAGCAGGTAACAAAAAAATATAAGTTACATATATAGTGTCCAAATATTTATTAGAGGACTACTCTGTATATAGTAATTTCCTTGTCAACTTCACGCTCGAAGTAATCAAAGAAAAATCACTAGAATCGGTATCGTTATGTAACCATTTGATAATTTGATATTATGTAATATAAAATTTGAGTTTACGAGTACAAAATATTTTTGTTTTACACAAGTTTTTTTCTAAAATCATAAATATAATAAAATTCCATTAAAAGTAACAAGTATTATATTTCCTTAAAAATTTTAATTTCAATTCTAAAAGAACAAAAGCTAATAAAAATCGTCAGATATAGTGAAACATAGAAGTAATACATAATTCCTTGTTTTACTATTATTTCGTCGACATTCGGTTTCACTAGCTTGCGCTAATTAATTATATCTCACGCAATTACGCTATATTAAGATGGATAAAGCGATTTGGCTCCCAACTCGCGCGCAAATTATCGCGTTTATGGATCGACATAAACGCGATGCGGAAGCATCGACACGAAAACAGATACTGTCTGCCTCCATTAGAAAGTATTCGATCAATTAATAACACGATGAGTATAATGTGTGGTGCAATAAATGAAATATTGCAATTGCGTCGTATCATATTTCTAATACGTACGTCTTCCGCTGAAACATCTTACGTAGCGTTTATTATTATTAATGATTTAAAAATGTGTTTTCACCTGTATTTAGGATCCTTCGCTAAACCGGTGTCCACGTAAAACGGATAAATCGTCGTGAAATGAATGTTGGATTTTCTCTCATCTAACCGCACTTCCTCGTGTAAGGCTTCCATAAGACCTAAGAAAATTGCCGAAAACGATATTAAACCGCAAACGAATTATCATACGCGAAATACCTCTCACGGCGAACTTTGATGAGCAATATGCCACTTTTTGCGACACCCCATAGATACCGCACATGCTACTTATCGCTACTATATGACCGCTATTTTTCTGCAGCATCAGAGGCAGAAATGCCTCTATCGTCTGCTTGAAATAAGAATCATTATGAAACATCTTGAGAAAAGAAAGACTTTTATTAATTTTAGCAACGAAAATATGTACTGCTTTAATAATTTAAAAATACAAACAGAAATGATGTTTAGATTGATTGAACTTGAAGAGAGATTGTAAATAAATCGTTATTAAAAAATAAATGCATACCCAAAAGTTTGAAAGCACATTAACGTTAAATGTTTTCTCTACGTCATCCGGATCAAAACTCAGATATGGCTTATGATACAACACAGCCGCATTATTAATGAGTATTGTCACATCCGGCACGCCGATTTTTCTCATCAACCTGACCGTCTCTCGTACTTCCAATCTCTTTGAGACGTCAACCAAAAAACCGTAAACCTAAAGACTCTCGATAGTTTCGTTTGGCTTCATTAAAAATCGTATAATACATTGTTTTTTTTTATAAAAAATAATAAATTTAAAAATAAAAATATAGCGTATAATGAAGTAGAACTCCAAAGAAAATATCGTACTATTTAACATAATATTATGTTAGTTAAATTATGTTAATTATTTAATATAATATTTAATTATTAATATAATGTGATATTTTTATTATATAATTATATTATAATTTATTAAATAATTAAAATATAAGTATTTAAATATGTACTTCTCCACCATTTTTCGACACTTCTCTTATCGTTGATCGATTGTTATCAACATCATTATCCCAACACACTATTATACAACCCATAGACGACAATTGAATGGCTAACTCACGGCCGATACCATGACCAGCTCCAGTAATCTAATTTTATTTTTTGAAAAATATAATTTCCATATATATATTGCATAAAGACATTTCTGCACCTATCTTTCATTGCAATCATTTCTGCTTGGTTTGAAAAGCGAAACTTACTAGAACGGTTTCTCCTAGTAAACGTTTCGTGGAACGCGGTACAATCATTCTGAAAGTTGCCATTATCATCGCCAAGCTTATCTTTGCTGACAGAACGGATAGATCCAGAAACAATCGGTGCAATTTAATATCTTTGAAGATATGTTGAATGCTCTTCATCCTGAAATAATTGTTAAAAAGATATCAAAAACATAAACGAAAAAATAAATAAAAAAAATAAATAATAAATAAAATAATAAATAAAAATAAGATTCTCATTATTTCTAACATTTAAAAAAATTTGTCAATTTTATTCCATTACAAAATATCCAAATATATGATGCCTCTTTATAATTGTAATTATTTAACGCACATATAACCACATTAACTATCATTATAATTGTTATCACATTAATCTAATTTCACACTTAACAGCATAGGGAAAAATAAAACGAATTATCTCCAAAATAATAAAGTTGGGACGAAGATAATTACAATCTTTTAAAGAACATTAGAAAGTATAAAACATTGATATTCTAAGCAAAATAAGAAAATAAAGGAAAATGCTCGCACGTAAAAATTCTTGTGAACACCCTGTAACTTCGTGATGTAAGTTTCAATGGACCCGGTGGACCGTAATATTCGGCCCGATCACTTTCCTTCCTACTTTCGGACCGTCGTTAGTATGGCAGTTAGTTTATTTAGAATCCGAAAATTTGTCAAATGCAATTTTAACTTTAAAAATAAAAATTATATCATTTGACATTTGACAGTTTGTAGCCATGATATTTATATGTAATGAATTTATAACATCGATCATAAACACTTAAACATCTCGTCGTTCTTCTTTCTTTTTCCTAAAAAAATTTGGGTTATATTAAATTTTCAAAAATAAAACTAATAATATATTATTACATTTTTTGGTAAACACATTTTGAAAAAAAATTTGTTTAAATATATTTTATTTAGATATCTAAAAAATAAGATTAATAAGATTATATACGTTTTGCTGAAGATTTAAAAATAGCAAAAAACAATTCTGTTCTGCTACGGCGTATATTTCCGAGTGATATAATCTCCTTTGTTTTATCTTGCAGAAAATTCTCGATCCTCTCGAAAGAGTAGTTGTCAGAAAACAATTATGCAAAATGTGTCTGCTTTCTCTATTTCTGTGCTAAATAGATTATGAAAGATTTGCTTTCCTCTCGCGAGCATTTATAGTCAAGTAAACATTTAATCTAGAGTATAAAATCAAGATGCTGAGAATGAGAAAAATTATCGAGCATCCGAAATTAAAGAGATTCTGGACGAGATGGCGAATTCTTATGTGGAAAGCCGTACTTATGCGGTTACACAGTCCTATAACCACTGCATTGGAAGTTATTATAGCTATTATCTTTTCTCTACAAATACGTCTGATATTTGAACCACACGCTCTTCATTCGCAGGTAGTTCAGCACTTGCAAAATCATGTATCACAAATTGAATTTATGCAACTTTATATATTTACTTTTTATATATTTACTTTATATATTTATATATTTTATATTTTTACAATTTAATTATGTTTGATAATATTTATATCCAATATTTTTTTTTTCATTTTCAAGATTTTTAATTTTTTGGTTAATATCAAAATGGTATAAAACAAAATTTAAAGACATTAATTTTATTAGATGAAATTGCATAAATGATAAATAATATTAAATGAATTAAGTAAATAAAAGTACATATATATATATATATATATATATATATATATATATATAAAAGTGCATATATATACATATATATATATATATATATATATATATACATATATATAAAATTGAAAAATGATATTTATCATACATATATAATTATTTAATTTATAAATAATCTAATAATGTTTTTACATGTGATTCTCTCATATTTATTTATATAAAGAACTTGGATCAATACAGTCGAAATGATATTCTGGCTAAATTGCCGAATGACGTAAAATGTTGGTATGCTCCAAAGAATGCATTTATAGACGAATTAATGTCGAAAGCGGCAAAAATGCTTGATACGAATGGTAAGATAATCTCGAAGATGTTTATGAAAAAAGAAATTAAATAAAAAATAAGTATTACATATCAGTTCAAGCAGCCGATAGCGAGATCAATCTTGTGCATTCGCGTTACACGAAAAATGACACTTCCAAGGTACTATGGGCGATCTTTGAGGTCAAAAAACTTGCATTTGGTAAACCAAAGGTTTTAGAATATAAAATACGTTCATCAGAAATAGGAGAGAGTCGAGTAATCATGATGCACGAGGAAGAACCTACCTATAAAGGTGTTTATCAAATGTGTCTTTTAATAAATAGACATTAAGATTCTAGTTTGATATGTCAAATTAACTAAAAAATTTATGTTCGAAAATCTACTAAACATTTTAAAATTTTATTAAACGTTTAAAAAATACTTTTCACAATCTTGTAAACAATCTTTTAATTATTAATGTAATCAATGTTATAATTCATAAATGCCATAGAATCTTGTATTGAATTTATCTTAAGAACGTATCGTAATAAAAAGAGCAACAAAATTACTTATATCAATGTTTATAATCGAAGATCCGTACGTGTTAAGTGGTTTCATGGCTCTACAAATAGCAATCGAAAAATCCTTCGTCGAAATATGGACGAATCCGGCATTACCGAAGATCGCTGACGACGTAAGCTCTTCAAATACCGAAATTAGCGATGTAGTAAACATTATCTTAAACGAAAAAAGTGTAATAAAATCACAGAATCAACAAAAACAGACATTTTTCGCAGCTGACTATCGGCCGATTTCCGTTTTACAAAGTGGATTTTTTAATTCTGCCATCTGTTATTCGACCTAACATAAGTATCATATATTACATGGTAGTCATTGCTTTCCTATCATTATCAGCAGCAACATTAAGAAAATCACTTCATGATAAAGAAACTGGATTCAGAGTAAGATTTTGTTACGTCTTGTAATATTTATTATTACTTGCCAATTGTATATATATATATATATATATATATATATATATATATATATATATATTGTAATAATAATTTTATTATTGACATGATATTTTTTAGCAAAATATGTACGTGTTTTTTAGAGTCTTATGAGATTGACGAATATGTCTTTCGCGATGCTATACGTCGGATGGCTTAATTATTTCATGATTACCATGTTACCTGCGACGATCATATGCACGATTCTGCTACATCCTGTGTTCTCCGCTACAAATGCATTGGTGGCTGCTATTTTTATCATGATGTACAATGTCCTTTCGATGCTCTTTATGTTCACAATTGGGACATTTTTCAATCATAGTAAATTATTTAAACATATAAACAAAAAATATATAATATTTTAATTGAATGTGAAAGCTTCTATAAGAAAATAGCTCAATTGTCCACTTTATGTGATATATTTTGCATATGAGAGTAGTTACTTTTGTTCTTCTTAATAAATTATATAATTAATATTATATATTACATTACACAAATTACATTTTATTTTATTATAAATTGTAGATCACAATTATATTTGTATAATTACAGATACTTCTCAAGATTTTCTTATATAATTGCGTATATTATTTTATCATAGCTACAAAGGCATTGCTCACTTCGATTCTGTTTTGGATTTTTTTGACACACTTTACCATCGTTTTGGATCAATTCTTGATAAGAGCAGCTGTTTCATGGAAAATCGCTTCGCTGATTCTGCCACATAGTGGTTTGTTATACGGACTTGTGGCCTTCACAACTCAAGCGAATTTCGGTGAGCAAATATACGCAAGATTATATTAAAATTAGACATTTAAATTAGACATACAAGATTAAAAATTACAATTTAAAAAATTACAAAAATATAGAACAAAAGTATTACATTTAAAAAATTACAAAGATAAAATATAAAAACATTATAAAGATATTAAAAAATATTTACATATATTCCATATAAATTACATGCACCATATATTGCATATAAATTATATGCATTGCAAAAAATATTTGTACATATACATACAATTGAGAAATTGCTCATACCACTTAAAATTTCATTTAGACATAAAGATTATGTATTTGTACTCAAGTTATATAACACAATAATTATTTAAATTAATTATTTAAATAAATATTATATATATAAGATATATATATATATATATATATATATATAAGTATTATTTACATTTATGCTCTTGAAATAAATTTTTATTTATCTACGACATTTATTTATTTATGATTTTATTTATTTATTTATGAAACATATGAATAATATTTTATTCATATATGTAAAAGATTCTTTTAATAACAAATAAAACATTACCCCCAAATAAAATTTTTTACCCCTTATTTCTAAGTTTATCCTATCTTTTGCATGTAATAAGATAGACATTAATTTTATAAAAGTATTTTGCATATATGTTAGTAAATAGGAAAGTTATGAAGTAAATTGCGTAATATGCGTTACTTGTAAGCATTATTCACTGTAATATTAAAATTAGAGATCTATAGATTGTAACTTGACTATGTTTTTTATATAACTATCTTATGTTAGATTAGTAAAGTTATTTGCAATCACTATTTCAAAAAAAAATATATTTTTACATTTTTATGTAAATTATCTTTATAAAAAATTTAATGGTGCTTATATTTTATGCATCAAAATGTTATAAGATTATTAGAAAATTATTTAACATTAAAATAGATGATCCTTCAAATACATGATTTATCATATTATATAAAATGAATTATCGGATTTTTTATTAGCATATTATTATTAAAAGCATATCAGATGATTTTGTGAGGTCTGGTATTAATAATAAATATAATTAATATATAAATAATATATGTAAGATAAATAATATAATTTAATATGAAATATATCTTTTTGTTAGTAGAGAATTATGGAAACGAAAATTTGAAAAATATTTGGCAGAAGGTAAAATCGCGTAATTACATTAATCCTACATCGTATTTATGGCCGCGATGGCTTTCCGAATTAATTGCGCTACGAGATGTCCATGATATTATTCATGCCAAAGAAAAGATCTCTATCGGCATGATCCTGTTTGCATGGTGTTTACATATCATTTTCTGGTACTTACTAGCGGTATACTTGGACAATATTAATCCGGGTAAATTTGGCAGAGCGAAACCTTGGTATTATTTATGTAAGGTAAATAAAAGATCTGTAATTTTTCATCAATTACTATCTACTCCTTTTAAATAATACCAATTATTTATATAAATAATATTATAATGATATTAAATAATATTATTTATATAAACGATATTAAGACTATATAAGAATATATATATTTATGTGCTATTTTAAGAAATTATATTTTAAGAAATTATTTCTTTGCCTGCTCTTCTTCAAATAAATAAATGAATTAACGTAAATATAAATTAAATTTAAAAGATGTTTAAACAAAGCATTTTAATAATCATATGTAATAATATTTATTTCAATATTTGAAAGCATTTCTTATATATATCTTTCAGGATGTTTAAAAACATTTTCAATACTTTCGTATAAAAATATAATATAAGAATTATTCTTACATAAAAATTACAAACACATATCATGAATTGTCTAGAAACCTATTTATGATGACGACGATTTAATGATTCGAGGATCCACTAATTGGTCGGCAGTTGAACGTACACCATCATATATAAAAGTATATATAACATTATCTAATTAAGTAAAAGGCAGAGAGAGAGAGAGAGAGAGAGAGAGGGAGAGAGAGAGAGAGAGAGAAAGAACGTTATTCTTAGATTTTTATATTTTTACATTCTTATATAATGTCCATTTAATACAACTTAAATATTATTAAATCATAAAATTAATACAGCAGATAATCGAATAACATTAAGTAATTTGCATTACAAATTATTATTAGAGCATTTTGTTTCTTTATTTACGTAATTTAATATAAATACTAGATTTGTTTTGGTAAAGCAAATTTATATATTAAAATAATATAAAATTTTAATAATATAGTAAATAAAAAAACTACTGCAAGATTTACATTTTTTTAAATGGATACTCAATGTTATAATCTTTATCATTTAAAAATCAAAAAGCGAAATGAGAACTTTTAAACATTAATTGAGCTATAACAAACATTAATTGAGCTATAACAAACATTAATAATTAGCTATAACGTAATTTATCTTTTCATATAATTGATTTATATATATGTACAAACGATAGCCGTCTATTCGAGTAAGATGTGTCCGCAAAGAATTTGGCAAAATTGGTGAACGCTTTACAGCTATAGACGATGTAACGATCGATTTCTATCATCAAGAGTTCTGCGTTATTCTTGGTCACAACGGCGCCGGCAAAAGCTGTTTGTTAAAGACAATTATAGGTAAAATAGATTTCTTATAGATATGATAAACATTCTAGCTTTATATTCAATAATCAATATATCAATCAAATTTTTTATAATTAAATATATGTAACAGGAATGCACAAACCAACTCATGGTTACATTTACTTAGAAGGAAGAGATAACGAGAACGAAAGTACCATGGATCCGATTGGTTATTGCCCGCAGGAAAATATATTGGTGAATTATTTGACAACGATACAGCATCTCTATATATTTGGCATGGTACAAATATTTCCATATTATTAACACTTACAAAAAAATTGACAATACATAAATTTGCTCATATATCAAATAATACTTTTAATCTAGAATGCATATTAATTGTAATCAAAAGAAATTATCTCATACATATATATAATAATAATAATAATAATAATAATAATATGATTACTTATATAAATTATTCCTTTTTGTAAAAAATTTTAATTTTCCGTAAAATTATTCATCAATTAAAAAGAATAGAACACATATTATATCAGTTTGAATAAAAATTGTTATTTGATCTATCTTGTCACATTTTTAAGGATTTAATCTAAAATTTGATAGTAACTAATTATATTCGACTAGAATTACAGTAAAATGTTTAATTGTTCGACTTATGTAAAAAGAAAGAAAAATAATAATTTGCATGCCTAAACTCTTTTATATAAAATTATTTTATATAAATTATTAGTATACACAACGGGATATGCTTCTAAATGATTTTGGATTTAAATTATATTAATATTCAATTTTTGTTGCAGTAGTATTATATATAAGTTACATAAATATAATATATTACACACAAAATCTATTTATTGCGAATAAATTCAAGTTGTGTACAATTTACAATTATTAAATAATCTCTTATGTTTTATACAATAAATCTTAAATTAGAATTATAGGAAATTAATAATTGTAATAATAATTGTTATTATTAATCAAAATAATATTTATGCTCCATTTATTAAAAAATTTATTTAATAAATAAATATTTTTTAAAATTATCTTATTAGTCAATTAATACTAAACTTAATGTGTTGACGCGTAGCTGAAATTAATTAGAGCAACACAATCAAAATTTCATTCAGTAAATTAATTATTATTTTAGATGAAGGGAATGACTTATGCTAATGCTCATAGAGAATCGCTGAAGCTATTGAAACAACTCGATTTGGAGTTTGTAAAGGATAGGAAAGCAAAATCTTGCTCTTTCGATACACAAAGAAGAATTTGTTTAGCGATGGCGCTTATTGGTGACACTAAGGTACATTACTTTATTTATAATCATAATTTTATAATTATAATTATAATTTTAATGAATTGTTAAAGAAATTTAAGAATTAAATGTTGACATTTATAATTTTAATAATAAATATATATGTAGGTTAAACAGATTAGATAATTAAAATATAAATTTTTTCAGATCTTAATTCTCGATGAACCTACATACGGAATCGATCCATGGCATAGAAGGCAGATATGGGATCTACTTTCGGTGAACAATCTTTTTCAAACATCCAGTTAAATATTAAAAATTTAATATGTATAGAAATTAATAAAAATTTCTAAATGCCAAGTATTAATGATTTGCAGGATATAAAAAGAGAGAAGACAATATTAATGGCAACGAATTCCATGGAAGCTGCAGATCTTCTCGCCGATAGAATAGCCATTATCGCTAATGGAAAGATCGAGTGTTATGGTTCGAAAATGTATCTAAATCGTCGATACGGTAAAATTCTAAAATTCATAGACAAGATAACTCTATTTATTGACATAAAGAAGAAATTTTAAAATAGATATAATTAATGTATCATTAATTTATTAAATATTTCTAAAATTAATTGGAATTAGGAATCGGTTATGTGCTAAGTTTATTGGTACAAGAGAATTGCAATGTAGAACGAGTTCGTGCGGAAATACAAGAATTCTCGGCAGACCCCATTACTGTACGAGGCATGATGGGTTTGGTAATAAGATTCGACGTGCCCAGAAGCAGTCGATTCGCTAAATTGCTCCAACATTTGGAATCCAATAAGGAAGAGTTGGGAATCATATCTGCTGCACTGAGCGCTGCAAGCATCGAGGGTCAATTTCTCAAGTATCAAATCTTTGTTCATACAAAGTATTAAGTTAAAAATCTTATTAATAAATTTTTCTTTAAGTACAAAGCTAATAATAAATATAATTAAAAAGCAATTTTAACTTCTACAGAATATTTATTATAAATAACAATTTTAATTTCAACTTCTTTACGTTTTAATATTTAAAAATAAATCAAAAACTAAAAGAGGTGTTCAAAATAGTAATTTTATTCTACATATAGGATGATATCAAAAATTTTATTTTACATAACTAATTTATTTTACACATCAAAAATTTTATTTTACATTACTAATTTTATTTTACATGTAGGATAGGTTTAGAAAGCCAATTCAAGGAACGCTGCGTATCATTATCTAGCGATAAATATGAACTCATTGTGCAACAGAGACGACGACATTTATTACAAATGGGTAAAATTTGGACATTATTTCGAAAAAATTGCAAAATGATAAATAAAAATGTATGTGTGTGTGTGTGTTAAAAATTAAAATTTATCTCTTCATTTTAATATTTCTATATTTATAGTTTAGACAAATAATTAATATGTATTGTTGAATATTATTCTCAACTAATCTTTCTCTCTAAATTTATTTATAATTTAATTATCAGCTAAACCATGGGAGCGATTAACCGGTAACACTTTATGGCGACAACAAATTCTTGCAATGTTCTACAAGAAATTATTACACATTATTTCCTCCTGGAAAATATATATATTTTCGGTAAACTCTTTTTATCATGAAATACTGTCTATTATGAAAAAAATATATATTTCTCGATAAATATAATTATTTTAGAATTATTTTAGATAACTTTGGCGATTGTTACGCTCATTCTGACCACTATGATTGGCGAATTGAGCGCTTTTACGCTTTTTGACACGACGTAAGTTAATCTTGCTTGTTTTAAATCGACAGAAAAAGAGACGATTTCTTTTCATATGTAAAAATTTAAAGATTTTTGATATTTTATCTTCATATATTATACATTTTTTTTTCATCAAATAATCAATATATTTTATATTGGTAAAAAATTATTATTTGCAAGAAATATTGATTCATCTTTTCATGATACATAAAATATAAATACATATAGTAATAAATACATGTAGTAAATATTATATATAATAAAAATATTTTATAAGAAACACTTTTTACTTGCATAGAAAAGATGTGTTCTAAAAAAATTAATAAACACAGTTACTTAATTATTTTAATTATTTATAATTATAGCGAAAATGTTATAAATTTAACGAATTATATGGATAACAACCTTCATGTATTATACTATGCGGCCGATGAGAAAATCGCAAGAGACTTTCTTGTCACATTGTACACTACTGGTCAAGCATATAGCGAAAGGCACAATTATCATGTCTCCAAAAACATCCCAGCCACAGATATTATGATTCATCCTAATTTACATTCGATAGAGGTACTGCAAATATCCGCGTAAATTTCCGCGTTTATTAGCCAAATTTGGCTATTAATATTTCATAATAGTTTAGGGATCGTTATGTGATGTCTATCGACATATACGCAGATGGACGTGTACAACTTATGTATTCATCTACCGCAATATACAGTGGCCCAATTGCATTAAATTTACTACATAATGCGTTGCTGCGCTACCATTGTGGCTCAGATTGTTGGATCAAATTGACGAGTCGACCATTAATACACCCGGGACAGGTAATATGGAATTTTGATCCTTTACTCTCTTTATATGCATATATAAGACAAAATACGATGTTAACAGTGGCAGCATTTATTAGTCCACCCACGCAGTATCCGGAATTGGGAGAATGCCGCTATAATAATGACTTTGTTTCTTCTCCTACCGTCTATCGATATGGGGATACGGGAGCGAAATACGCTCTCGAAGATGCTGCAGACCAATACGGTCGGCGTGTCTACGCGAATTTATTGGATCTCGATGTATATCATTGATTTTCTATTGTACACGTTCTCCATAATATTTCTTGGAATTGCAATTTTAATCGCCTATCATCCTGCTGTGCAGAATTAAATGATAATTAGACATTAAAGTAAAAATGCTATTTATGTGTTATTCCTATATAAATTAGAATTCCTACATAAATTTGAAATAGAAATTAAAGTAAAAATGCTATTAATTTATGTGTTATTCCTATATAAATTAGAATTCCCATATAAATTTGAGTTTGAAATATAATTAAAGAATTGGAAATATGCAAATAAATAACATATACATTGTAATAAATTAATATTTCAGTCCAAATTTTAATAATATTCTTATGTTATGGAGGCTGTGCCATCCCATTAAATTATTGCATACAACTTTTCACGAGGAAACCAGAAAAAGTCTATCTGGTTGTAATATTGATTAACATCATAGTTGGTCAGTAATTTAATAACAAATAATAATGATTTGTTATTATGTTTTGTTATTAATGACTTAATAATAATAAAGTTTTATCATAACAATTTAAGTATAAAATATATTTTGCAGTATTATTGGTAAACAGTTCTATCGTTTTTCCATTAATGTTTCGCGTACTAAACAGCACTGGAAAATATATATTTGAGGCTCTTGTACATATATTTCCACCATATGTTTTAGCTTGCGCTTTAAGCAATTATGTCATATTAAATTTATATAACAGACAGTGCAGTTATTCCAATGCATGCGATACGGAATTTTACATTGAAGATCCTTGCTGTCGTAAGTCTATCCTCGAAATTACACATTTGAATAAAATTTGAATTATGATTTGAACTAAACTTAAATTTAAAATTTTAGAAACTTGCAATGATAAATTTTGCTCCAAGCAATTGAATGTAATGCTGATCAAACAATCTGGCGCTGAATATTATCATTCGGTCACAGACGACATACTTTTAATGATATCCCAAATGTTTGCTCTTTATATATTGCTAGAGATTTTTGACGAAAAAAATCGCAGAAAGTGGTATAGTTATTCTGTACCTTCTATGCAAAACGATAATATTGTGTCTGAAGTTATAGAGGAAAAGAAGCGAGTCGATGAATATATAAAACGTAAAAACACATGAAGCATAATTTAAAAAACTTATTTAAATTTATATATTACTTACGTGCAAAAAATTATAAACTTAAAATGCATAGATTTGTTTTATTATGAAAATAATATTTTTGTCTTGATCAGAAAAATTGTCTTTTTCTTTTCATTCAGATTATGAAGAAACAAAATTATTTCCACCACAAGTTGCCCTAGTTGTTCAAGATTTAACAAAAGAATATTCTGGGAATGCGGTAGTTCAAGGAGTAAATTTTAACGTAAATAAGTTTTAATTAAAGTATTTTCTTATATATTTTTTTCTAATGTATATTATACACAATATTAAATAAATATTCTTCGCTTAGATCTATAAACAGGAATGTTTCGGTTTGTTGGGATTTAATGGGGCAGGAAAATCAACAATATACAAAATGTTAACGGGACAAACAAAAATATCGGCCGGAAAAGCAGTAATATACGGATATGAATTTACAAGAAATCAAGAAAAAGTGAGTATATTATCAAATATATTATGTCTTTTTCTCTTATAATCAAAATATATAAAATGATTATAAATAAAATAAAATATTCTTAAATATATTAAATATATTTAATGCGATAATATGAATTAATAAGTAACGTTTTTAAATTTTTTATGTCTAAACTTTTATAGATCTTTTTATTGTATTTTGCAAATTATTTTATGGTTATTAATCTCTTATATTTCCTTACATAAAAAATATTGTCAAGTTTATAGGTATGATAGGATACTGTCCACAAATTAACGGACTAAGCGATTTTATGACGGGGAGACAATATTTACAACTTCATGCGGCACTTCGTGGTGTTCCATACGAATGCATTAACGACGAAGTAAACAAGTGGCTAGATGTATTAGGTATAAAAAATGAAACATAAAATTTTATGGGATTTAAGCATTCTTAATTAAATACATTAATAAAATAAAATCCTTAGATATGTTAGACTTCGAGAATTTAAAAATCGCCCACTGTCCTTGGGGAATTCAAAGGAAACTTTGCGTATTGCAAAGTTTAATTGGCGATCTACCAATGGTATTTATGGATGAACCTACCACTGGAATCGATATAATGACTAGACATGCTATCTGCGAAATTTTACGTCAAATACGGGAAATGGGGAGATCTGTATTAATTACTACGCACAGGTTAGACAAATAAAATAACGATTAAAATTTGTGTTAAATGGACTTTGTCGATTTCTAGTATGTCGGAAGCAGAAGCAATGTGTCTGCGCGTAGGAATCTTGGTTAACGGCCAGTTTACCGTAATTGGATCTTGCGAGCAATTAAAAGCAAAACATGGTCGCAATTTTATATTAAATATCAAAGTAGTACAGGGGTATCAGCTTGCAAACCTCGAGAAAATAAAAACTATTATTGATGAAACTTTCCCCGCAATAAAATTTAAAGATAGTTATTTGGTAAGTAACATATAACTTTACTTTTTGACATCTTTACAAAAAAGATTATTATAATATAACATTACACATAAAAATATTAAATAATTTAAATTAGTTAAACGTATTTGGATGACTTTACTGGATTGATAAGATCCAGGCTAGAAAAGATTTATAAAAAGATAAATTAAATATTTTCTAACAGGGTGTTCTTAAATATGAGTTGGAGAGTGATATTTTGCACAGTTATGTATTTGATAAGCTTGAAAAGTTACGACAAAGATATGTGTGGTTCACAGACTTCTCTGTTACTCAACCATCCATGGATGAAGTACTTTTAACTTTAGCGAAGAAGCAGAGAAAACCTAGCATAAAATTAACATTTTATGAACGTCTTTATTCTTGGATTATCCGTAATATATATCAAGTATAAGTGAAAACCATATATATATGTTTAGTAATATTAGATATAAATTTCATTAAATATAATGTTACTTAAAGTTAATAATAGCAACACATGTTAAGTTCATCTGACACGATTGTAACACATAAATTATAAAATTCTTATTAATTCTATTAATATTGATATCTATTAATAATATTATTAATATTTATAATACGTTAATTATAAACATATAAAAATAATGTTTATATAGTATATGCAAATAAATACTAAATAATTTTAAATTTAAATTTTATTTATGATATAACATTGGTGTTGGGGACCTTTATTTAATATTCAAAGGAGGCTTTGATTTTTTTCTGCCTTAAATTTTAATTCATACATCAATTATGACTACAAATACATTTTATAATTGTTTCTTACGCGCACGATACAGTAATATAATATTCTATTTCAAATAAAAAAAGTTTGTTGTAGAGATAGAAATTGTTATTATTTTTATCAGTAATCCATAAATAAGATTTCAATTTTCGACTTATATACTACCTGTTTACACACAAAAATATATACTATATTCAAATAAAAATATTACTTTTCTCAAATATATTTTACATATTTATATATCTCCAAGGCTATCGTAAATTTCATAAGCATAAGATTTTCTTCAAAATATTTTCTTAATCCTAATAATTGTAGCAAGTTTTTAAATAATACTCTCTCGTAGCATTTTAATATTTGGAACATATTTATAACAAACAATTATATAAAACAAAAATTATTAAATATATATTTAATAAACATAATAAACATAATAAAATATATTAATGTAAATATTTTATCTTTATTACATTTGTGATACATTTTATATTATTCTTTCGATACGTTAATAAATTCTACAGTTAATTTTATATATACATATATTATATATATATATATATATATATATATATATATGTTCATATTATATATATAATATTTTATATACACATATATATATATATATATATATATATATATATATATATATATATATACAGATATGGAGTATGAACACAATGTTTTCAAAGATTAAATCGCATGAAAGAGCAAGCAATTTTAATAACAGTATGTACAAAAAAGTAATTAATATCGAAAATAGAGATGGTTATTTAAAATTTTCTCTGTTATACAACAATGTGCCAGAATATTCAAAAACTATAATAACATCGATATTTTGGTATTACATTTTCTACAAATGAGAGAAATCTATTATTCAACAAATGTCACGTATATTGTGTTTATATAATATATGTATAACCTAAAACATAATATCACATATATATTGAAAAAGATGTGTTGTAAAATATTGATTTATTAAATTTAAAATCTTATTTTACCGGTACAAAAATTGCTTCGACTAAACTTTGATTAATTTAATTGATGGTTAATTTTGCGAAATAAAAAACGTCGCTATAATTCAAAAATGTCTACAAAACAAAACAATAATCCTTTTTGTATTAATAATTTTAAGCAGAGATGTACTTGAAAAATTAATAAGAGTTTTGTCGAAGTTACCCTGAGGCTTTTATTATATTACAATCATTGTAATTATGCAAAAATAAAAATTTTAAGTAATTACAATATTAATCGAGTAAAAATTTTTCATAAATAAGTAAATATTATTTATTCGTATTCAAAGAACGTAGTTAATGTGATAATAAAGATAGACAAAATATGAGAAGAACAGACACATTTTTAAATATGTAAACATGTTAATGTATGAAGTTCTTTCTTTCATGCCATTAAAAATAGCGATCGTTAACTTAAACTTAGTTTATGTTCTCAAGCATTACGAAAATTGTGATTGACGAACTATAATTTATTCGATTTTTATCTATAGAAACAATGCATTCACATATATTGCGTATAAGATAACACAATTGATTAATTAAATATTATATGCAAGATATGTAAAATAAAACAGAGAGAAAAAAAGAAAGAAAAAAATATTTTAAATTATAGAAAGAGACAAATAACATATACAAGATTAAAAAATAAAGTTAACATAAAATAAGAATTTATTTGTCAATTAGAAATAATTTTCTTTTTCTTCTACTTTCCACTTTCTTCTCGTTCTTTTTCATACCCCTTTTTCTGTATTTTATATTACATATTTCTTGTAATATTTAAAGATGTATTTATAAATAAAAAAACAAACATATTTTTAACAATTATTGTTAAAAAGCAATAAATATATTCTGCTGTTTGTGTTCACCAATCATACGCGCGAATTAATGCAAATTAATAATATTCTGCAAACTCTCTAAATAAATTTAATTATTTTATTGAAAATGCTATAAAAAAATAACAAAAACAAAAGCAAAAATACAATAAAAAATATTTTCTAATATTTAAAATAGCTTTTATTATTTTGTTTAATTACTTTAAATCTGATATTATATACAGTTAATAAAATATAAATATAATATAGCATTAATATAACTTTTTCTTAATAGTGTTTTTGATTCTTTTTACGGCATTTTCTTTTAATTCGTAAAAAATTTTAGAATTATATAGGCTAATTATTTATAAAATGTAGGTAGTCATTTATAAAAGTATGGGTTCTCCTTAAATTACTTCTTATTCAAAAACCGTTTAAATTCATAATAATAATTTTTAAAAATAGTTGTTAATGTTATCTCTCGAGACTATTTTTTCAATATTTTATACAAGATGCGATTTTGAAGCAAGCTAAAATTTGTTAGTTCTAGAACGTTAAATTGTTTCAAAAATTATATTTGACATGTTTTTATCAAACAAATGTAAAAGTTGTTGTTTGTCACTTATTTTTTTCTTTGAATCTCTTTTATAAATACAATGATACAAAAGAATAAGAATATCGTTACTGTATCTCATTTCAAATTCTCGCAACCAAAATATATCTGCTCTTTTATGTACATCCCAATCTTCTGGATATCGGATATTATTTTCTTTAACGAATTCGTAAGCAAGTATAGAGAGATATTTCAAGACACAAATTGAATTACACATTCGTTTATCTTGAAGATTTATCCAAATCTCTAAGGATTTTAATAATAATTGCTCTTGCTGAAATGTAAAATCTACTTCACTTACAGACATAACTTTTCTGTCAAATTTGTATTTTTTCCCCCGATGTTTGCGACGTGCTATTTCTCTATCTAAAGTCTTCTGGCAAATTCCGTAATGTCTTACAGCTTCAAGTTTGCTTCTTTTTTCAGCTATAATATCTTTTATTGCTGCCTCATATTTTATTTTTCTTTGAAGATATTTTCTTCTGTTTTTTAAAATATCTATTTTTAATTGTAATATTTCGATATTAAGTTTATAACTTCCTGCTACGTCTGATATAGATCTGTTGTCAATCATAACATCATGTACCGCTGTCCGAAGTACATTTCTTAATTTAAGATGCTGCAGAATACGTTTTGTGAATTTGTCCAACTTAATTTCCTACGAAACAAAAAGTATATATTGTACAACTGTAATTAAATAATAATAATATAAGATCATGCATGAAATAAAGATCGTCTAATCGTTTGCGTTGTTCTTGCCTCGCAAAATACACAGTTGCATTTATAAATTGAAACTAGATAATACATGCTCTTCATAAACAAATTATATAATGATTGAAAAACGAAGAATTTTTAATATTCTTGAAGTATATATATATTGTAGTATATATATTGTGTCTCGATAATAATATAAAAATTTAAAAGTGTTAAAAATAATAATTTAAAGCGATTATGTAAATAATAGAAATAAATCGACAACAATGTCGATAACAAATATGTCTAGACAAATTTCTTTTTACAATTAAAATATTGTGGACACTATATATATAATTAAAGTATTGTAAAGCATGAATTTTATCTATTTTTATAGAAAAACAATTATTAAATCAATGTTACACAAAATGATTGAATTTAAGATTCGAGATATTTTGTCAGAAAAATAAATATATTAATTCAAGATCCCTGAATAATACATGTATTGCTTCTGCGTTTCAAGAAATTGAAATTTGATTCTTAGCTTTATCTGACATTCAATCAGATCATGTCAATTATATTTATATATGATGTGAAAGCATTAAGTTTTCAAGCAATATCTCAGATACATATAAAAAAAATACATTAAAAAAAAACTATATTTAATTTTATAAATATTGTCATAATAATACAATAGAAAGAGAAAGAGAGAAAAAGTGAGGGTGCTGGAGACATTTATCGATATAATATTTAAACGATTCATATGAACATAGGTCATAAATGTACGAAAAGATAATGTTAAACGAATTTATTTAAAATGACGAAATTTTTAAGAAAAATAATATTTTTAACACTTACAGTATTCTGTTGTGGTTCTTTTATTTCCATTTCTATTTCTGTTGGTGTTTCTTTGAAAGCAGTATCTTCTCCTGTTACATTTTTAATTAATTCCGATGTCTGTTTAACCATCCATGTTGACGTTGCATTTTCTGTTTTGGAAGAACATAAAAGTTCGGAAGCACAGATAAGTTTGGAAAATAAAAATTGTATATTTTCGTTTACTTCTGTTGGTGTTTCTTTGAGAGCGATATTATTATGTTCTTCGAGTGCACTTTTAGTTAATTTCGACTTCTGTTTTACCATACATGTTGATGTTGTATTTTCTGTTTTGCGAAAAACTGATAAACAATCTTGTTCAACTTTGGAAAATAAAGAGTCCAATTTGTCGTCTCGACCTGCTGATGAATTTCTGGAAACGGTGTCTTCCTCTATTACATTTTTATCTAATTTCGACATTTGTTCAACCAAAAATATTGCATTTTCTTTTATGAGAGAATCTGATTTTAAAAGTTTTTTCCATACATATTCTATATACGCAGAGGAGATGTTCGCCCATAACTTGCGAATCTCTTTAATGAAAAATTCTATACTGTAGTATGTATCAAAATGATCAAATTTTTGTCTTATTTTTTGTCTCATATTCAATAACTTCAATGGTTGAAAAATTTGAGATGTGCCAAATGGAAAAAACAGTATTTCGAAGTTATCATTTTGCATGGCATCTTCTGGGAGAATAAACGTTTTACATTTTTCGACAAGCAAAAGCACTTTGCCACTTGCATTTGTTTTCTTTTGATGTTTTTTCACTAATTTCATGAAGTTATTATTATACCAATTTGCGAAAATTTTATCATTTTTTGACGTATTTTCTTTTGACGTAAAAACGATACTCTTCTTGTTCTTCAAAAATTGTGTAGTTTCTTTATCTTCATGTTCATAAATATAAAACGGTGATAATTTATGACTACCTGTAGCATTTGTACAAAACATAATAAATAGACGATTCTTTTTTAATTTTTTTACATGAATTTTGTTTTTGGCTTGGTGTATATATTGAACATAAGGTCTAATAAATTTGAAAGAAATTTTGATCATAGTGTAAATATTATCTCTTCTAATATTTTTTTCCTCCAATTGATGGTTGAATTTTTGAATAAATTTTTCAGCATCCAGTTCTTGTTCAGTTTTAGTCTCTTGCACGAGACTTTGCGAGTTCTCAGATAAATTTCGAGATTTATAATTAGATTCTTGGTGCTTCTCTCTCTTGAAAGGTGTTAGATTTTCCAACAATTGTTTTTCTTCATCAATTGTTGATGGCCCATCAAACTCATGTTCAATTTCCTTAGCTTTAAACGGTTTGGAAAAGCCTCCCGGTTTTATCCGTTTTTGATAGCACTTATACGATGAATCTTGTAATTGATTATATTTTGCTTCGTTTACGCGTTTTCTTATTAAATTTATTTCTTCCTTGGCTAATTTTTTTATTTTATCTGCATTACGACGTTTAATTCTCCGAAGTGTAGATTTAGAGGTTTTATATTTTTTCATAATTTGTTTTTTTGAGGTTTGACCTTTCTTTAATTTATCCAATATTTCTTTGTTGCGTTGTTGAATCGAAAGAATGTTTCGTATTGTGCATACTTAATATTATAAATTTTATTTAACATTATTTTGCACTCACTTACGTTGCACTCACTTTGCTCTATTAATTTTACAGACACTTTTAATATTTTTGCCACACGATATAAAGAGTTGAAACTAAAATCGGCAACTAAAAGTTGTTATGATTAGCTGTTCTTGAGAAGGATCACAAACGATCGCAAACAAGAACATTATTCAAGTCATGTATCCCATCAATTCCCTAACAGTAATTTCTTATCTTTATGTTTACCTTTTACATATATAGTAACATTGGCTAAGACATTATATTATTTATAATTGATAATAAAACGATGAAGTTAATTGTAAAAAATTATGAGAAAAATTGTATAAGTGAAATATGCATTATCTTGTGTCTATAAAAAAACTTACTTATTTGATTGTGTTGAAATGTAAAGAAAAAGATACTACACACATATATATAAATATAAGTATCGCTTTCAGAGATTAAGCAAGCTATGACACCTCTCAGTCTTCTTTCTGATAATATAAATAATATAAATAATATAAATTTATAAATAATATAAATAAAAATATAAGTAATTTAATTAATAATAATTTATTATAAAATTTATTATCAAAATATTTATTTATATGTTTTCTTTTTCTTGTCAACATTATTTATTTATTTATTTATTTATCTATTTAGCTCGCTGTAAGCCAGTCTTTTAGAATGCAAAACTAAATATTATAAAATTTAACTTTGGAAAAGCACGATAAAACAATTGAATAAATTCAAATAAGCATAACGAAAGATTCCGTAATACATCAATCGTTTAATAATTAATTTAAAATAAAATATATCTCTATAATTTAAAATTCCGCGTGTATATGTCAAATATTTCAGCAGAGAATTATCGATAATATCATATTTGGCAATGTATAGCAAGCGCGCTATTGTATACATCACAATCTTGTCATCATTCACACGGTAACACTCGAATAAAGTAGTGGTGTGCGAAACGCTTCGTATATTATCGAATTCTTTTTCCAACCCTATCGTGACTAAAATATATGCAACATAATTCTCTAATTATTATAATTAACAGGTATTAGTCTTGTGATTAAAAAGCAAGTATAAATTAATTATTAATTAAACAATAGTTATATCATGATTTTTCATTGCTTTAATTTTTGATCTTATGAGATTTGTATTTTATGCATATATACTATAAACATACATCAACAGTACTAGTGCTACTTGTTACTGCTATATTATTAATTTTAATCTCGTATAAATGTTGCTTTTATGATATAATAAAAAGTGCAAATTTCATATGATTATTCCGCGATCAAGAATATCATGCAAAATGTCCCACGTGTTATATTATGATAATTAATCGTATTCTACTAATCGTAATTAATCATATTTACGTAGATGAGTGTCATAAGAAAACAGCGAAGAATATAGAAGAAAAAGAAAAAGATCTGGAAAAGCATTGGGCAACGTACGAAACACACATACACATATGCGGTAAGTAATTTTATTATTTATGTATTATTTTCATAATAATCATTAAATAATCAGATTTAAATATTAAAAAGATTTTTGAAAAGATGAATTGTTTAAAAATTAACACAAAACAGTTTATTTTTTTGCTTATCCAAATTTTCATATATTGATAACGAGTAAGTTTTTTTTTTATTGGCGCGACTTTACTCATTAATTACTGCTTTATTTAAGCATTATGGAAAAAAATGGTTCAAGACTTTTCGACTCGGTTTTTAATCAGGAATAACGCTAGTTTGCTTAGTGGAAGTTTTTTAAGATACACCATGTGTAGCACTAGTGCTACACAGGCATTTCGTGCACATAGCACGGAACAAAACCAGAGGTTGTGCACATTATATATTACCCTCTGAGAACATTCGTGGACTGTGGCTTCGTAGTTCATGTCCATGTGAGGGTGTCGCTTTCAGGGATCACCTAAAGATGGTTTTGAGAGGTGACAAATTCGGGCAATGTTAATTGCATCAAATATTTTTATTAATATAATGAGCACATGGAAGTTGATACAGCGACGGTGTTACGATTTACTTTCATATAAATATTCACTGCTCGTGATATTGGTGGCATTTACCTGCATATTCATTGGCATAGTACATTTTGGAGAGGTTAGAATAATGATTATTTTTTTATGCACATGATCGTACAATTCATAAATTATTTTAAACTTTTGTTTAGTTTTTTGTTGTTATTGTTCATTGAAAAATTTTTTGTTACTTAATATTATAATCCAATATAATTGTTATATATATATATATATATATATATATATATATATATATATATATATAGACATAACAATTATATATATATATATATATATAACAATTATATTGGATTATAATATATATTAAGTATATATGTTATATATATATATATATACACATACACACACATACACATATACACATGCATACATATATATAATAAATGATAATCGATGTCAATGTCTTGCATATTGAAGTATTTGAGGAATAGAGGTCTTGCTTTAGGTATGGTTGACATGGAGCAAGGAAAAATACGAGGCAGTATTTCATTCTTTCAACGACAATATCTTAGGAAAATCCTTCCAGAAGAAATTGTGCCAACATGTCCCTATAGATGTAGTTTATACATGGGTAAATGGTTCCGATCCAGTGTTTTTAGAAAATCTTCAGAAGCATGTTCCCATTATGGATCTTAGCACTGCAGCATCAAGATTTAGTGATAAAGACGAATTGCGCTATTCGTTGCGATCGTTGGAAATGTATGCACCCTGGGTGAGGCATGTTTATATCGTTACCAATGGCCAAATACCAAGTTGGCTCGATATGGATAATCCTCGGATGACTCTAGTCAGTCATGAAGATATTTTTTCAAATAAAAGTGATTTACCAACTTTTTCTAGTCCCGCTATTGAAAGTCATATTCATAGGTGCTTGGAAATATATATGAATCCATATTATTATATAATGAAATATATACAAATATGCAACAACATTTTTGTATTCTTTTAGAATACCTGGAATCTCTGACAAGTTTTTATATTTTAACGATGATGTCATGTTAGGTGCCGAGATATGGCCGGAAGATTTTATAACTCAAGCAGGCGGACAAAAAGTGTACTTGGCATGGTGGGTTCCAGATTGCTCTGACATATGTCCATGGGCATGGGTCGGCGATGGATCCTGTGATCATGCTTGTAACACTACATTATGCGAGTTTGATGGTGATTAAATAATTTTATAACATTGTTGTGTGAGTTGTGTATATATAAATATAATATACATATATATGTATATGTAACTATAATATATATTATCTAAATAATTGTCCTATTAATAATATAGGTGGAGATTGTCAAACAACCACTGTCCCTATTGATAGTGAGACTATAAAAGAAAAAAGCGATGATTTATACAAATATTTGGAAGATTCTCGTGAGAACAATAATGAATTAAATAATATCTTACATGACAAAAATGTCGTTGATTTATTACGGAATGATATATCAGTGTCTACAGTTCAAATGTTGCCTTTGTATAATCTCAATACTGTTAAGTCCATTGACACACTTGATGATTTCAGAAATAATGGTAATGTGGAATTGTATATGCGAAGTAATGTATATGTAAAATCTAATGATAAAAAAATCTATAAATTTGCAGGTGTTCTTCAGCCTGTATATTCTAAACTTTTACGCAGAAATCTTTTAAATAAAACTGCTAAGCATGTTGAACAATTGAGACGCCACCATAATGACATAAATCTCGCACCATCCAACAATTCTGTTAAGTTCGGTAAATTCGCATATTCGAATCAATGGAAACACAATATACGAGGACTTGATACTTACGCGGAATCTTTATTATATGTTAATAAGATATATAATGTCGCTTATGGTCTCGAACGAAGAAAAGTACCAGCGCATATGCCACATTTAATAGATAAATGGATTGTAAATGACATGCAAGAGAAATTCAAGTTTGAGTTTAAAAAAACGTCTAATCATAAGGTGAGAGATTCCGAAGACATGCAATTCGCATTTTCTTACTTCTACTTTTTGTCCAGTGAAAAACGAAAAGTACCTATCGGAGAAATATTTGATATGTTTGACACTGACAAATCACGGTAAGAAACAGTATTGTTATTAATTAAGAAAGTTATAATTATTAAAGTTAAGTAAATTAAGTTATTTAGTAATTATTTATTTAACTTATTTAAATCAATGTTTCTAGAACTTGGTCAGATAGGGAGATAAGAACGCTTTTATCAAGATTATATCCATTACCGCTAGATTATAATTTGGTCATGGAATTTGAAAATGCGATAACAAATTGTTCTCATGACACTGTTTTATCAGAAATTATTGATGTCCCACCTGGAGAAAGATACCTAGATTCTACTCTCGTAAATATTGAGCATTTTAAAATAATTGTTCAATATTAAGTGTGATACAGCAAACAAAATTGCAATTTTTTTCTATTTTTTTGCAGCCGATAGTTTCTAAAGAATTGATATTGAATTGTGAATCAGTGTCTAGAAAAATGCAATCGAAATTCGGTGAAAGTAGCCGGTATCCACATGAAATAATAAAAGCTGGAAAAAATGAAATTTTTGAGATGTTGACCAGCAATGTTTCTTCAACGGTACAATTGCTGGATGAAATTCGGAGAGATCCCAAGTATGTATATATATCTCGGTTTATATATATATATATATATATATATATATATATATATATATATATTTTTGTTAAACAATGATTTTCTTAAAATTTTGTTAAACAAATTTTGTTAAACAATGATTTTGTTAAACAATGATGATGATGTAATTATTTTTTCAGAAAATTTATTTGCTTGAATGACGATATGGACCCTATTAGGCATTCTGAAAATGAAGTCGTTCGTGCCTTGTTGAATGATTTCTATCGTTCGTTATATCCGTTGCGAAGTACTTTTGAATTGCCAGCGCAGTATCGAAATCGTTTCTCTCATAGACACGAGCTTCTTGAGTGGCGAGCGAATCGTGCAAAAGCTAGGAATTTATTATTATGCCTTGTGGCATTGCTTCTTTCCCTTACATTTTATCACATGTTCTATCATCATATACGTAGATTATGCAGAACTCGAGAGTTATCTATATTTCTTGTGTGAAGAATTAATAATAAATCTAAACCATATGCGAATATAAAGTTTTATAACGGAAAACTGATAACGATATATATATATAACGTTAACATAATTAAAAGAATAATATTTATAGAAAGATCTGTAGGATAAGGACTTCCATTTGACATTTTCTAAAACTAGATAACTGTATTTCTCTGTGATATGGAATAAATACTCTTTTTATATAATTACATTTTAATAAAAGGCTGAAAACTATAATAGAATATGTTAAAAAATACACAAGTAATAAATGTATCTGAAGATTACAAACATGTCATACTTATGTACATTATTTTTCTTTTTTTGTTACAGTTGTATTCTCTTTGTTATAAAATGATGGAATGTACAAGACTATGATAATTATTCATGTAAAGATGGACAATTTATGTGGCGAATATTTCGCGGTCCCACCATGCCTTCTTGAAGTTTTGCGCACTCGAGCATCCACGTTGCTACACTTGCGATTTGCTCAGCTGGTAATCGAGATCCTATACCTATATTTTGATTTCGTATCAAGACAAACTTCGATAAGCCCCATTACACATATGTATAAAGACACAAAACTACCTGGTACATTTAAATGACACGTAATCTCTCCGTCTTTTTCAATTTCAAAAACTAGACTTCCATCGCTATTAACATTATCAATTCCACAGAATTTCTTATCGATTGTATTATTTTTACTCTTTGAACAATCATTGCTGATGAAATTGTCTCTTCGACTAGCCAAAGAAATATCAGTTTCCTTTTCTTCGTTATCAAGTTCCTTCTCGAACGAACTATTTGCCATTGGTTCTATTGACAAATCGGCTACAAGAAAAGGATTTTAATAAATAAATTACATGATAAAATAAAAGAAGATATCATAGTCGATAATCGTACTTTTCGATGAGACAATCTCATCTTTGGATATTAATTCTGAATCCAAATTAATGTCCATGTCGGTATCTTGACTATTTATGGAGGTACGATCTACAGAGCTGTCTTTACGTTCTGTCGCATCTCGATCGCGTGCACTTTTCTCGCTACCGTCACAAATGAGTCCTGCTAAATATCTAATATTGTTCCGAACATTATTCAATGGCATATTAAATTAATAGCTGAAATTAGAAACTAAGTTGGCGCGCTTAATTCTTACTCATATGTTTCCATGAATAAAGTGAGCGGGATCATCGCGGATCCTCCGTCCGGTTCATGGGTGAATAATTGACAAATCAAGATCATTGTCTCGGTGAGACTAGCTCCAAGAAGACCCACCGCTATAGCCAGAAACTTTTTCACTTGACATGTGCGTTGAAATTTTCCGATTGTTACGATTGCGTCAAAATCCTTACGATCCAAGCAGAGACAATCCCAACGGTGTAAAACTATCTCAATGGGTAGTGTCTTGTTGTAATCTGAAGGAATTTAAAATTAATAGAGTCTTAATTATATAGAGAATTAATTAAAATTGTTTTACTTATTATATATATAATAAATATATTTACATAGCAATAATCATCAATAAATATCCTATATTTATATATCATAAACAATAAAAGATTTTATTATAATTATAAACGACAATTGTATATCTCAACTGCAAGATGCAGTGATCAATAATGACTTATATCAAATATTTAAAAAAAAAAGATTATTGAGTTTTTACGCTTAATTCGCTTGATTGTTTTTGTAAAAAGGATTGAAAAATACTACACAAATATATAGTGCATAATATTGCCTTTTTCGGTAAGCTAGATATATTTTTATAAGTTGACGATTTATCATATTAGAAAAATAAAATGAATATCGTATCGTTTATCTAACAATAAAAAAATCTCCATCAAAACAAAATTTTGTCTCATAGTTTCCTCTTTTACAGTTTATAGCATTATCTGTTATTTTCTTAGCATTTTATTTAGATTAGGAAAAAAATATACAAAGTATCCATCTTTTGACAAATAAAATCATTTTTTTGACAAATTCTCAAAGAAATTTGAAAATTTTTCCTCGACGAAAATGTCAAGAAAAATCATCATTTTGGCAAATTTACAATTTTTGCACCTCAATAATTGAAATTAAAATTCTATTAAATTTCATCTCTAAAATTTTATTAAATTTCTATTAAATTTCACCTCCAAAATTAAGCAAAAAATATAATTTTGTTAATCTTTTATCTTTCTAATTTAAAAATTTAATTTGCAAAAAGCAACTTTCCCTTTCGATCGCTTAAAAATTATTGATTAATTTAAAAAAATTATTAATTAAGTATTGGTTGAAAAATTATGTTTCAACATTTTTGTCGAGGAAAAATCGTCTCCAAATTAGCAATTAGAGAATCTGTCATTAAAAAAAAACACATCCGGTATATAAAATTATCCAAACACTTTGTATCATACTTCCAAATTGTCGAAGCAGTACTCTGAGAAATCCCAACGTCAAACCGGAGGCTGTACTCGGCGGTGGGTACTCGAGTCGCGACTTGACCGGGGGCTCTTCGCCGTCAGCCAGTGCGCGAAAATACGAGCCGGACCACTTGAGAAGATCGTGAGGCTGCGTGCGTATCGCGGCTTTGCAAAATTGCTTCAGGATCATCGGCAGCTTGGCTGGCACCGCGATTTCGCGTCCGAAAAACGGCTGCTCGACGAAAGACATTTTTTACGTTGTTCGAAATGCCTTTGTTGTGCCATCGCGATACCTTGGTCGTCCAGGAAACGTCGATGACGACTTGGCGCTAAAAGTGCGAATACATATATTTAGGGTATTGTTAAGACAACTATAATTATTTTACAAAGAAAAAAAGAGGGCAAAAGTATAGAATAATTTCTTCGCATACGTTACTTCATTTTCGAGAAGATTGACTCCGAATTGGAAAATTATTAATAATAAATGTTATTTTTTTTTTTGAAGCTGGAATAAATTGTAAGGGTTTTGCATGACTCATCCTTTAATTCATCTCGCGACAGTTGCTATTAAAATATATAGGAAGACAATATTTTGTGTATTGAAAAATTAAAGTTTATATATTATTTAAAATAAATACATATATTGTTATATTTAATAATAATATTGAATATATACAATATTTTTTTTTATTAAAATTAATTTATTTATAAAAGTAAAAATTGCTATATATATTCGCGAATTCAAAATGATGAATGTTTAATTTGACTTCTTCATTTTGAATTTAAAAAATAAGAATACATTTATTTAGTGTCTTTTTGTGCAAAAATAAAGGTTTTGCAAAATAAAATTACGTCTAATATCACAAAAGAATGATATTTATCAACATCAAATATTATGACAATCAATCAAAGATCAGAAAATATATCATATCGACAGAATATGCAGATGTCGCGATGGTAGAGACATCTACGTATGAAAAGGAATAAGTTTAGGATAAACATTTATTTCGATTGGTCACCTAAATAGGGTCCCCATCAATACTCTAGTAACTTCCTAGTCAACAGCCAATCGATATGTCGGACGCGAACCTTGCGCAAATTGATAACGTCCGCGATTCGAGTGCAGTTACTCTAGTAATTTTGGAGGAATAAGCGCAATATGGCGGTAAATGGCGATCCACGGCGGTGTTTGATGCTGTAGACGCGGTGCGTCGACAATCGAATCATCTAACTGAGACAGACCAACAAGTTGATTCTCAGGTACAAGTTGCTTAGATACCTAATATTTTCGAAGACGAAGGTTCCATTTCTCAAAAGACGAGCCTACATCGTAGGTAGTCAAGCTGAGCAAGATGTCTAAGGCAGACGAGAACGCGGACACCGGCGATACCGGGGACAACTCGAACGGGTCCTCAGCGGAGACCACATCTTCGAGGGGCGGTGACTTCGAGACAAAACTCGAGACGGATCGCAGCAAGCGGTTCGACTATCTGCTGAAGCAGACCGAGATCTTTTCGCACTTTATGACGAACAATCAGAAGGACAAGGCTGGCAGCCCGTTGAAGATCAAGGCCGGCAGGCCTAGGAAACAACAACCGGAGAATCAACCTAAAGCCGACTCTGGCGACCACAGGCATCGTAAGACCGAACAGGAGGAGGATGAGGAGTTGTTGGCTGAGAGTAACGCCAGCGTGGCGCCTACCACGCGCTTCGAATCCTCTCCGCATTACATCAAGTCCGGAGAGTTGCGCGATTATCAGATACGCGGTTTAAATTGGATGATATCGCTCTACGAGCATGGTATAAATGGTATTCTGGCGGACGAGATGGGTCTGGGTAAGACATTACAGACCATCTCCCTTCTTGGATACATGAAACACTTTCGAAACATTCCTGGTCCTCACATCGTCATCGTTCCCAAATCGACCCTGGCTAATTGGATGAATGAGTTTAAGAAGTGGTGTCCCAGCCTCAGAGCTGTGTGTCTCATCGGAGACGCAGAGACTAGAAATACCTTTATCAGAGATGTAATGATGCCTGGCGAATGGGATGTATGTGTAACATCCTACGAGATGGTCATCAAGGAGAAATCAGTGTTCAAAAAGTTCAACTGGCGTTATATGGTGATAGATGAAGCTCACAGAATAAAGAACGAAAAGTCCAAGCTGTCAGAGATCCTCAGGGAGTTCAAAACCACTAATCGACTTCTATTAACAGGCACACCGCTGCAAAATAATCTTCACGAACTGTGGTCCCTATTGAATTTTCTTCTGCCAGATGTATTCAATAGTTCGGACGATTTTGACTCGTGGTTTAATACAAATAGTTTTCTAGGCGATAATTCTTTAGTCGAGAGACTACACGCAGTCCTTAGGCCGTTCCTTTTGAGGCGTTTAAAATCCGAAGTGGAAAAGGGACTCAAACCCAAGAAAGAGATCAAAGTGTACATTGGTCTAAGTAAAATGCAAAGAGAATGGTATACTAAAGTATTGATGAAGGACATAGATATTGTGAACGGCGCAGGAAAAATAGAGAAAATGAGGTTGCAGAACATTTTGATGCAACTGCGTAAGTGCTGCAATCATCCGTATTTGTTTGACGGTGCTGAGCCTGGACCACCGTACACTACTGATGAGCATCTCGTTTATAACTGTGGCAAAATGGTCATTCTTGATAAATTATTGCCGAAATTACAGCAGCAAGAATCCCGAGTTTTGATATTCAGCCAGATGACGAGGATGCTCGATATCCTAGAGGACTATTGTCACTGGAGGTGTTTTCAGTATTGTCGGTTAGACGGCAACACCGCCCACGAGGATCGTCAGCGACAAATCAACGAGTACAACGCACCCGGCAGCGAGAAGTTCATTTTCATGTTGTCGACTCGCGCTGGTGGCCTAGGTATCAACTTGGCAACCGCTGACGTGGTCATCATTTACGATTCCGATTGGAATCCACAAATGGATCTGCAAGCGATGGACCGCGCGCATCGTATAGGTCAGCAGAAGCAAGTACGGGTCTTCAGATTTATCACAGAGAACACGGTGGAGGAGAAGATCGTGGAGCGGGCCGAGGTAAAGCTACGCTTGGACAAGCTCGTTATTCAGCAGGGACGACTGGTGGACGCCAAGCAGACAGCATTGAATAAGGACGAAATGCTCAACATGATCAGGCATGGCGCGAACGAAGTGTTCGCATCCAAGGACAGCGCAATCACCGACGAGGACATAGACACTATATTGCAAAAGGGTGAAGCCAAGACAGAGGAGATGAAGCAGAAGCTGGAGAGTCTGGGTGAATCCTCTTTGCGGAATTTCACTGTTGACGCACCCACTGATTCCGTGTATCAGTTCGAAGGCGAGGATTACCGCGAGAAGCAGAAGATCCTCGGGATAGGCAATTGGATAGAGCCGCCGAAGCGCGAGCGTAAAGCCAATTACGCGGTCGATGCTTATTTCAGAGAAGCATTGAGAGTATCAGAACCGAAAGCACCGAAAGCGCCGAGGCCGCCGAAGCAACCGATAGTGCAAGATTTCCAATTTTTCCCACCTCGATTATTCGAACTGCTGGATCAGGAGATTTATTATTTCAGGCAGACGGTCGGCTACAAAGTCCCGAAGAACCCCGAACTCGGATCGGACGCCGCCCGGATACAGAAGGAGGAACAGCGTAAGATCGATGACGCTCAGCCACTCACCGACGAGGAGATCGTCGAGAAGGAGAAACTGCTCCTTCAAGGCTTCACCAACTGGACCAAACGGGATTTCAATCAGTTCATCAAAGCGAACGAGAAGTATGGTCGCGACGATATCGAGAACATCGCGAAGGAGGTCGAGGGGAAAACGCCGGAGGAGGTAATGGAATATTCGGCCGTTTTCTGGGAACGTTGCCACGAGCTCCAGGATATAGATCGCGTGATGGCGCAGATCGAGCGGGGCGAGGCCAAGATCCAGAGACGCGCTGGCATCAAGAAGGCTTTGGACGCCAAAATGGCCAGATACCGCGCGCCCTTTCATCAGCTCAGGATAGCTTATGGCACGAACAAGGGTAAGAATTATACCGAGGAGGAGGACAGATTTCTCGTTTGTATGCTACACAAACTCGGTTTCGACAAGGAGAACGTGTACGAGGAGCTACGAGCTACGGTGAGATCGGCGCCCCAATTTCGCTTCGATTGGTTTGTCAAGTCGCGCACGGCGTTGGAGCTACAACGTCGCTGCAACACCCTGATAACTCTGATAGAGCGCGAGAATCAGGAGCTGGAGGAACGCGAGAGACAAGAGAGGAGAAAGAAAGGCGGCAATTTGGGGACGAAACCGACCTCGAAGCGGAAACAGGAGAACCTGCCGGCGCCTCAGGACAAACCGCGAAAAAAGAAAAAATAAACGACTCGTGTGCGCGACGAGTTTATCTTCCCCCTCTAGACTCTTGGAACTACTTTTTTTTTACGACGTGGTTGAGAAACACGCAGTGTATTCGCCAGACAATTTTTCTATATTTACAAATCTACAAATTTTCACAGCGATATATATGACGCCTATTACATATTTCATATATCATTACAATGGGATACATTTTTAAATAACGACATCATCAAGCTTCACGTTCAATCGTTTAATGTTTATAATTCGTCGTAATTGATATTCGCATAAGTTCGAAACTAGATTATATTAATGCTGCGAAATTATCAATAGCCACATTACGATGGACTTTCTGATAGATTAGCAAAAATTTGAAATAGTGAGTGTGTTTTCATATATCACATCATCATTCACACAGATATTGAAATGTAAGAGAAGATATATTATTTATTTTTCCAGACTTGTCAAAAACTAGGTAAAAGAGTCGTTAATACGATTCTTTTCTCGTTTCGATAAATGTTAGTATTCTTGTCAATTTGAATCTTGTTTTAACTTATAGAGTTCCATTAATAAACTATATCTATGTATTATAATATATCGAAATATCATATCATATCTACCATATTTGTATATTATAATATTCGATTAAATGGATCTGCAGACACCAATTGCATTATACCACAATGATACCTTAAGATTTTTATTTAATGATTGCGTGTTACAATTTCACAGCGCAGTACATATTATAATATATAAATAGGATATAGTTTAAATGGAACGCTGTAAGTTAATGCAAGATTTGAATTGACATGAATACTAACATTCATCGATACGAGAAAAGGATCGTATTAATCTTCTGTATAACTCAAATTTATAAGGTGAATGATTCAACTAAAGCGATTTTAATAAATATTATATCTCATAAAAGAGAATATTAAAGTGAAATATGTATGCGTAATATAACTAATTTAAAATTTGTATCCCTGTAAGAGATTCATTAAGATTTATTTATTATTAAACATTCAAACTATAAATTTTTCTTGTTCATGTACATATATGTATACATTGTTATACATTATATGTTATACATTTATATACTTGGATGTAAAACTCACATCTAGATGATTTCATTTATCTAGAAATGTGATTTAATTGCGGTCGTAGAGCTGCAATGGTAGAGCTCTGGATGATGAAATAGTAATCTTTATCATTATGAGAAATAGCATCTCTTTTTGGAAATGGATGATGCAGATTTTGAGACAGATCTGGAAAAATAAATAATACATCTTTTCTCTTATATATTTCTATCTGTGTTATATATTTATATCTGTGTGAATGATGTGATATATAAAAAAAACACGCTACTTTAAAACTCTTGTTAATCAAAAAGTCCCATCGTAACATGATTATTGATAATTTTACAGCATTAATAAAATCTAGTTTCGAATTTACACAAATATTAATTTTGTTCTGAAAAAATATTCTTAAGCATTATATATTTTTAGAGATGCTATCTCTCTTAATAACAAAGATTACTATTTCATCATCCAGAACTGCAGCTCTATCCCAGCTCGATCCCAATTAAATCACAGACTAGATAAATGTAGAAACATCTAGATGTGGAAGTTTTATATCCAACTATACAAATGTATAAGTACATATATGTACATGAACAAGAAAAATTTATAATTAATAATAAATAATTAATTAATAATAAATAAATCTTAATGAATCTCTTACAAGCAAAAAAGTTTTAAATTAGTTATATTACATATGCATATTTCACTTTAATACTTCTCTCTTATGAGATATATTTATTAAAATCGTTTTATTCTTGGAGCATTCAAAATTACTTTATAAATATCTTTATATTTGAGATATGCATGAGTCAAATATGAAATTAATTTTGAGAATATTTATTTATCACGTATCACATACACAAAAACTAAGCAATAAGCGTAATGCTTCGACTTAAATGTAAATGCAAGAACGTATTGCAAAGAATATATAAGTATTAAAAATATTAATGTATCTAATAATCATCTCATATTTATTAATAAATGAAACAGATAATGAGATGAGAGAATGTCAGTATAATTTATGTTATTAATTAAAAAGATAGAAAGAAGGAAGAAGTAAAATGGATTGCTGAAACACTTATATTATTTTTGTTAACAAATAATGTGGAAAAATAATTATAAATCGATTAATGAATCGAACATATGTATGAAAATTTACCAAATATAAAATGTCTTTCCTTTGCATACAATACAGATCGAAAAATATATCGCACATTGTGTAAATTTATAAGTCAAAAGGGAAATCTGATTTTTCTTTTGAACCTTAAGGCCCCAAAGTTCTATTCACCGTTACAAAACACAATATCTTAATTATACACAGCTTATATATTTTCCAAAATTTCTTTGCCTTCCCCGATCTAGAAAGTTATAAAGAAGAAAAATATTGCTGAAAATTTTATATGGGTTTTATACATTATATTGTAAATGATAATCAATTGGCAAAGAGAAAGAATCGATCTTATAAACGTTATTAATTGTCTAGGCATGTGATGATATATCTATGTATATGTATGTATACATACATACATACATACATATATATATATATATATATATATATATATATATATATAATAGTATATTAAAAGACAAATATAATTATATAATTACATTTTACTTTCACACAACTTCAACAGTTCACATCAAATGAGTTAAAAATTAATAGCCAAAGTGCTTATTTTTATATTACATTAAAGGACATTACGGAGATTTTGCTTAAAATTAAAATAATCCTAATTGTTTGTAACATCAATCTTTTTTTTTTCATTTACCATATTTCTGAAACGATTTTATCAAATTATTTTTGGAATCTATGGATCGACGATAGAGTATATTTAGTCGGCAAATATATTTATATTCACACAATGTGAGTGCACAATTATCATAATATTAGAAATTCATATATTGGATATATATTAGATTTAAAAAATAAATTCAATCATGATAAAAAGATTGATGGTTGTATACAATAGTGATTTTTTTTAAACAAGACAAAAAGTTCCTGAAACATTTATAATTGTTAAACAAATTATTTTATAAAAATAAAATTTCCTGTCAATTTCAATCTTTTTAAAGAAACGATACATACGCAAATCGTTATTTTTGATTCGTAAAGAGTATACAACTATATTGTTCATTAATATTAAAGCAAAGAAAAAAAAGCTTAACAAATAGATGTAGAACAAATAGATACTTTGGTTTGAATCGTGTTTCACTGCTTTTGGAAGTAATTACAATCTCACTTTTCTACGCATACAAGATATAGATTTTGAAATAAGTATCGAGTTTACATCATTCTATACATGACCTAACGTGTTAATGATTACGTTTATATGACTACATTTGAAGTCTGCAAGATAGCAGTATAATAATAGAATAATAATACTGGCGAATATTATGGCGCAATTTTAAGCAGACTTTTTATCCCGCTTAAAAAGGTGATTATTTTCGCCTTCAACTAAATATGACTACAATATATTCGAAATCTACAATTTCGTAATTATTTTTGCAATATGAATATATTTGTATGTCTAATTCATTTGACACAGTGTATGTATGATGGTACACCTGCACTTGCAAATGATTTTTACAATTTATATCTTTCCGATTTTGATTATTCGATAAACAATTATTCATGCTTTTGTTCGCGAAAATTCTTCTTTACATATTATTAAGATAATATTGACTTACTAAATTGTGCTTGAACAATTATTTCTGAATGAGTAAACGTGCGGATAAAAATTCTTGCTTTTTTATATATCATCTAATATATAATACATTTTACTAGAATGCAGTTGAAAAAGGATTAATTTGTTACATGACATGAACGCTGCTATTTGACTAATACATTTCAGGTATATTTTCATAAATCACTTTTCACACTAATCATACTTTGCTAGTAATGCAGGCATAAGAAATATTTTCCACAAAATTTACATAATATAAGTAAAGCATTTTAAATATATAAGTGAGATATTAGAAAGATTTTCATATACATTTACAAAGCACTAATGTAATTAAATAATTCTATTTAACGCTATATACAAAGTGGTTCATCAGAAACAGAATACCTAAATAATTTTCCAAGATTAAAGATACAAAAAAAGCATTATACACGTAATTTAAAATTTAAACACATTTTTAACATTTTAATGGTTATTTCAATTAGATAAAATAGCTTTATAGGTTTAGAATAAAGTTATAGATCGTAAAAAAAGCTAAAAAAAGAATAAGAATGCATCCAAAATTGTGGCACACCAGTGACAGACAAATAATACAATAAACAAAAAATATGAAATAAAATTTTTCCATAGATTTTATTTTTGATAAAACCTATGAAAAAATTTTATTTCATATTTTTTGTTTATTGTATTATTTGTCTGTCACTGGTGTGCCACAATTTTGGATGCATTCTTATTCTTTTTTTAGCTTTTTTTACGATCTATAACTTTATTCTAAACTTTTATTTAAACGTTTTATTTTTGATAAAAGTTATTAGAAAGCTCATAACATATGCTTCTTATATTTAAATAAAAGTTTAATATAATCTTGTATTATCAATGGTACTAAATTCATCTCGGCAATTCTATACTACGATATTTAAAAAAAACTGCTAATAAATATATATAAAAAAAATATATATTTTATGAAAAAATAAATTACTCTTGATATGTATACTTCATATATAATTTCTTTAATAACTTAAGTAATTTTAGTTTATTTTATTATAAATGAAATATACTTTCTTATTTATATACTAATGATCATTGTCGAGATGAATTCTACAGTTTTTCTCGATTATGCACTATAATTTGGCACATTCTGTTCTCAAGGGAAAATATTTTCTACATCATATTTGTTTCTGAAACTTATACTAATTATTTTTTTCATATCTTTACATTTAAGAGAATTACACAGATGTACTGTTTCTGATGAAGAACTTTGTATAATTTGAAGAGGATTCTTACATTTATATAAAATAAATAAACTTGAAAAATACAACATGATTCCTATCAGAGTAGAATAAGAGGAATGGATATTAAGTCAAGTGCCGAGTTTACAATAGCCAACTTAAATAATAAAACATACGTAAGAATTGTTTTTTACATAACAACTTAAATAATTATTTTCTAAATCAGGCGTATATCTCTTTTACAATAATCTTAATATACATATACATAAAATTAATAACGAGCCGAATAAGTATTTTACTCGAAAAGATAAATCCGGCTTTAAGAATTTAGAAGTACGTAAATAAAAAATAATTGTGATCAATTTACATTATATGTCAAAATTAAAATTATTCTTTTTGCAATTTTGATAATACCATTATTAATAGAACAAAATAACTAATGCATTTGTGTAATATTATATATATTCTAATTACAGATATAAATATCTTAACGGCCATTGCACGCTCGATCGAAGAAATATGATCTATACACAGAAATGAAAAAACGGTATTTCATTAAATGATTGATAATCGAATCCACTGGAACTAATAACGTAAAAAATTATAGTCATATATATAATACAGCAGTAAATTAATCAACAAATTAATGTTCAAACATGTGAGAGATTCCAAGAGTTGCGTAGGCTGCATTATATAGAAATTAAACGTCAAAAATGCTACGCCTGTTTAAATTCGATATTTTGTCTATATTCCTATACGAGTAAGATGGAAAAGACCTAAAATTCAATCGAAAATCAGATGCCTCCAAGGGGGTGGATCAGGGGGTGGAGGCAAAGGGACTGGTTACGGACGGCAATGACCTCTCTTTCTACCACCTTCGTTACCATCTTCGTCCTCGCCACCCCTTCGCACTTCCGTATAACGTTCACCCTTTACACTTACGATCTTATTATCAAGATATCGTACCAGTTTCTTGGGCTCTGTTTTTGGCGCTACTGGACGATGTTCACGACAATCATCGTCTCTGTCGACGTAACTATATCGTGCTATGATACGAGATTTCAGCTCTTCGTCGTTCAATCTCGCTTTATTACGACCATTGGGCTGAAACGATTGAAATTACGCATATTGGTAATTTCGATGTACATGCAGGAGATATTGCAGGGTGTCTATGCCTGGAAATCTCAGGAATTTTTTTTATACTTGGAAAAATCAGGGAATTCTCTGGAATTCAAAAAATTTAAAAAAAAATTGAATATGCAATATATATTCTTTATTGTAATTTTTTAATGAAAGAATGAAAGAATGAAAAATATTTATCTCATTCGAAACCTGTTCGCTTTTTTCATATATTTGCAAGTCTAGCACTGGAAACTTAAGTGGCTCTATGGTTTTCCTTTGTAAAAGTATTAAAAAACGCATGCAATAGAAAATTTTTAGAAGTTGCAAGAGATTTTGAAAATATTATCGTTATCTGGAATTTTGAACAAAAATATCCTAAAAGATTAAAAAATGTTCAGAGAATTTTTTTACATAATTTGAGTAGACACCCTCTTATATTAAAATGATAACAATTAAAAGAATTGAAACATCTTACCGTTAAAAACGTAAGATTGCTCACGATACTTTGACCTGCTTCCTGACGATGTAACGCCAGTTGTGCGGCTTTTGCTATATCACCCCCGGCCACCGCCAAACAATGCCTGGCTTCAGCAGTGCTCGCTGCTGGAAACATCTCTTGCAACAGAGCAACCTGATGCCAAGAAGATTCCTATAATGATATAAAGAAATTTATATAGACATTTGTGAAGGCGTTTAAAGTGATGCTTTTCTTACCTCCGAAAAATATTCTCCGCTAGAATCACTACCGGCATCGCTCGTTTCTGAGAGATGATGAATGCGCATTCTTTGCGTACCAGCTGGCAAAAGAGCGGAGAGGCTGATGTGATTCAATGGATCGCTGTGAGATTGACAATTTTCACTATCTTTACTTTCTTGTTTCAATTTACTTTCCACGTCCAGCAACCATTTTGATACAGCTTCTTTTTCGATAGTGGAAAACTCGGGAAGGCAAGCGGATACCATCTCGCACAATCCATCCACATCTAAATTTTCCTCCAACGCACTTTCTTCTACTATACTCACTACATAACTTAGTACAATGTCGTCTATTAAACTAAAACAAAAAATGTTTAATTAATGTAAAAGTAAAAAGGAGATTTATCAATTTAATACTAGAACAAATCAAAAAGTAAGATTCTCTATTTTATTACAACTTATTGAACTTATTGTATTAAAATGGAAGCTAATAATTATTTTTCAATATAATCTTTAAGAAGATTGATGCATTCTCTTTAATATGAATTTGAAGATTCTCTCTTGATAAAAGCCTTGATGTTGATTTGATGATTAATTGAAACATCAAAAAATAGATTTTTAGAAGAAGAATCTTTAAATTCTTGTCAAGAGAGGACAAGTGTATCAATCTCATCTCAAAGACTACATTAAAAAGTAATCATTAGCTTATATTTTTAACACAATAAAATCCAATTTGTGCACAAATATTAACTAAAAATCACAATAAAATATAACCAGTGAATCTTACTTCTCGATCTACCCTGGTATATTTTTCCTGGTATATTTTTTTTAAAAGACAAGAAATAAGAAATATTTCGGAAAATCAAAGTTTGAGCTTGTACCTCAATTGAGCAGTGGGCACCTGTTTCCTAACGAAACTAAATAAGGCCTTCTTCACCAATTCCTCCTTCTCATCCATCGTACGACTCATCCTGCAATTGTTAAACCGTTAATCCAAACGCGATCCTTTAGAAATTCATCTATCTATATAATATCGACAAGCTCTAATTGCTCGCCGTTCCCATCAAAGTGGGCGATCTCGCGAAAAATAAAGCCTTCGAGAGACACGATCAACTCATGCGTGTCGCGATCAACTCGCTCGCTCGCGATCTGACAAGCGCTGACACACGTCCTTCGCGCGTATATAACATTCAGTCATTGATCCTTTAATATAGGTTAAGGGAAACAAGAGAGGGCAGCAGGTCTCTAGTTCGTAACCCTTGCGCGAACGAGAAGTCGCGATGATCCCTTCGGGATCAGGATCCCAGGATCCAGGATCGGTCGATCGCGCGAGGAATTCACTCGCCCGGCAGATCATGTATGTATATGGATGAAAACAGAGGGGGGTAGGGTAAAGCCGAGAAGTGACAGAAAGTTGCGGCTGTGGTGACTGTGGTAGATGATCAGGGATGCTGATGACAGGGTCGGTTTCGCGAGCGAGATCCGCCTCGCTTTCGGCGAAAGAGAGGCGTTACACGAGTATACGAACCTGATGCCCTAAAGCTACACAACTCGATCTCGATCGGGAGTCTCTCTCTGTCTTTCTCTTTCTCCCTCACGACGACGCGAAACCGCGAGATAAATTCCGTATACAAACAACGCTCGTCGATTTGACAGTTGACAGGGAGAGGGGCGAACACGTGGCGCCTCCTACCACATTTCGCACGAATCTATCACATGCTATAGTATGTTTGCTGTATTATTGTAATATAGTGTGTCCCATAATATTATCTCTCGGATTTTGCCGAGGAAAAATTCTCCAAATTGGCCAGTTTTTTAAAATTCAATTTTATTAAAATGACTGAAATTAAATTATTTAAATATTTAAGTATTCATTGTATTTAAATATTAATTATATTATTATATTTATATATTAATTATATCAAATTAAATTATTTAAATATTATAAATTATTATTATTTATTATTTAAACTTAAATTATTAAAATTATTAATATATAATTATATAAAGCGATGCTTTTAAGACATCCTGTATATAATGCAAGGACATGTAGTATGTATATACAGTGTATATATATAAATATATATATATATATATATATATATATATATATATAATATACATATCTAATAATACTTTACAATAAAAAGAGAAACTCAAAGAATTGAAAGAATTCAATTGAAAGGGAGAATAAGAAAAAATTATGAATTTTGCAATATCGCAAAACATGCAAAGTTACAAAAAATTTAAAATAATTTTTAAAGATCACAGTTCCAAATTTTATGCGATCATTATTTTATTCTCGTGATCAATTATGTCAAAAATATTTTTTACATTTATGGATTATGATAAAGAAACCTTTTATTTTAACTTGTATATAAAAATTGATTCATATATATTTCACAGAGATTTAACATAAAGCTTTATCTACAATGGAGATTGTTATACATTTGAAGTTGTGTGTTGTAATAGCTATATTTATTTACGAGATGTATCTTCACATGTTACAATTTACAGTTACAATATTCCAATCACATATGACTTTACAATGCGCGCATCAGCGACAATGATACAGCTTATTTGATACATATTCAATGTATAAATAATTACAATTTGATATTTTTATAGCTGAAATAAATTACAACACAATTCTAGAGTCTAAAATTCCTGTTTTTATATAAAATGAAATTGATCACACATCCACTTACGAGACAACCGAATATATATTTCGATATAACAGCAAATAGCATTATTAATCCTTATAAATGCGTTGCTAGTTAGATGTTTATATTGTGTGTGCATATATATGCATATATACGTATGTATATATGCATGTATATGTATATATAAAGTTATATGTAAAAGATTTAAATAAATATATATATATATATGCTGTGAAAAAAGATGCACTGGACTAGTAGAAATATGTTTAATGTAAATGCTATATTTACTAAAATGATAAAATATTTGTCTCTTATTAGAATCCGATACATAAAATATTAAATAAAAGGTCAACTTATTTGTCAAGCACTTTTGTTACATAGATTCCAACAAATAATATTTTCTTTGTTTCAATAATTGAATCGCATATGTTGTCTGATAAATCTTAATAAACCTGACAATTTTAACGCCATAAAAATGTCTCGTATTTTAAAGAAATCAAATCGCAAATATTCTTATACAAGTCGAAATTTGTAGCACGTGATCCATTACATGAAGATATTCTTACATCTTACTATGCCGCCTTTTTTTCCTTTAACGGCTGTATCGCGTTCTGAATTTCATTATCTTCCCCGACATCAACGGAAGCATAATCGATAGAATCTTTTTTAATACTGTCTCTGTTACAACCCGATTCTGGTTCTTCGACAATTTCTTGTTGTTGTTCTAGGAAATCAGTAGGTACAAATTCCATTTGGTCTTCATTATCGTTTAAATCCGGCGGACCTGGCAGTTCACAAAAATGTAATCTCTCATCACTCTCATTCACTTCCTCGCCACCTGGGTCATCCTCCTCGTGCAAACTCATAAGTTTTTCAAAATCTGAAGAAGGTGTAACATCTTCATTATTCTCTGAAAATATCTCCGTCGGACTAAGAGGTATATCTAAAGGCTCCATTTTCACGGTTGCACACGGCGAAGATGGTGTAATAGGTCGCTGTAAACGTATTTTGGTGAAAGGTCTTGGCTCTATGGATTCGGATTGTTGTCGCTTTTGTGCACGTTTAGGGCTAGAAGACGTAGATACTTTTGGAGATGATGTTTTATTTTCTTTGGATTCCGCAATATTTCTAGGAACTACAAGTTGAGACGATAATGGTTTCGATTGAGGTATAAGTAATGGTGGTTTTGCGTTCTGTCAATAAAAGAATGAATTTGAAGATTGTTTTTGGAAAAATATTAGAAAACAATTATATATAACAAATTATATTAATAAACTTACTTGGGATGAAGGACTTGGACCAGCTAGACCTTTCACTTGCAATGCTTCGGCGGCATTCAACAGCTGTGGCAATTTATCATGAGCGACATTAACTTCTCCACGATACATGAATTTAACCAAGGCTTCCACTTCCCAAAATTTCAGATCCTTCATTAAAATAATAGGATGTTGACACGGATTCTCCCGTAACAAATCTGCCAAATAGTCGCTACATGAAGATAAAATCATCTTGTGGCATTTCAAAGATCGTCCTTCGCATGCTAGGGTCACATCGACAAACTGTTCTGTATCTAACAATGATGGAAAGCTATTTTGCATATTACTATGGTAACTATTCCACCTCAAGCAAACCTAAAAACAACAAATAAATAAATTTAATAAAAATCCGCATTTTTCTCTTAAAATAGATACGACATTTACAAAGATATACCTCTGTAGGTTGTTGATGAACGACATTATGTGGTAATCCTTGATTAGTTTGTCGCGGTGGCATTTTGATAGTCGTAGGTGCAACTTGCTTAACTTTCAATGGAATAGTTTTTAATACAAGAGTCTTTGGTTGCCGTGATTGTTGCTGTTGCTGCTGCTGAGGCAGCGGCGCTGGCGCAATATTACGAATATGAGGTCTCACTAGAGACTGCGTAGCTATCCTTATAGTTTTAGCAGTTGTGTTACTTTGGGATGTTGACTGTAAAACTGTAACAAAAAAAATAAATATATTATTGCAAGTATCTTATACAAATCAAATGAAAACTGCAGAAGAAGTAAATCAAAGAGAAATTTTTTATTGACATGGTTTTCAACAGTGGCAGTAATTATTTTCAAATTCTATTTTTGAAATTATAATTTTGATGGAACAGTTTTAATTGAAGAAAAACAAAAAATTCTAATTTAAATTATGTCATTTATAAATCTAGATTTTTTGAATGTAAAAGATTTTATCCATCATATTAGAATAAATTAAAAAGTAAGGTTTCCTATTTTATTACAACTTTTATTCGCAGCTTATTAGACTTATTGTATTAAAATATAAGTTAATAATTACTTTTCATTATAGTTTTCGAAAAGATTGTACTTGTCCTATCTTGACATAAATTTGGAGATTTCTTTTCAGTAAAAATCTGACTCTTGATGTTTGAATCACTCTTGAATAGCATTCTGTATTGCTATGATCAAAGAATCTTCTCTAGAAAGAAGCGCAGGCTTCTTTCCTCTGACTTTTTTCTCAATAATACCAAATCTTACTCTGCATATAAAATTCAGGAGCTTTTGTAATCATACGCTTGAAATATTATAAAACATCCTCTCTACAGTCTGGATCTGATTTCTTCCAATTTTCATTTATTTAGACTGTTAAAGAAACACTTTGAAGAAAAACAATTTCAAGATGATGTAGCGATACAGAATGCTGTTCAATAATGGTTTAAACATCAAGAGCCGGATTTTCACCCAAGGGGGAATCTTCAAACTGTGCCAAGAGTCAAGCGCCTCAATCTTCTCTTGAAAATCATATTAACAAATAATAATCATTAGCTTATTTCTTAACACGATAAGTCCAATTTGCATATGAGTAGTAAGTAAAAAAGGGACCTTTCTTTTTATTTCACTCTTTATATAGGATATCCTATTTTAAAGTTTACAGTGCTATATCTCGCAAACTGATGAATGATTTTAAAGAAAAATGTTTCAGACAAAAGTTGCATGGTTTCAAGGGGGACATAAGATGGTGTCATTGATCTTGGACAATCATTTGAAGGTCACCTTCAAATTCTTAAATGGAAACCCCCATTTTTCATTGCATATTCTTGTAGCTTACCTCGAGAGCTTTTCAAAACACTTTGTTATTAGAGTTGTAAGGCTTGAAATAATTTCTTAATTTTACATAAACCATAAAATATCTAGTAAAATATTCATTTTTCGATTATCTTAACTTAATACTTTTATGTACAAAATAATGAGGGGAATCAATTGATGTAAAGAAAACACATAATTGTTTCTAAAAAAAAATATATAATTATTAATTGTAAATTACATATTATCTTGTACATAAAAGTATTAAGATAAGATAATCGAAAAATGAATATTTTACTAGATATTTTATAGTTCATGTAAGAAATCATTTCAATTGTCATAACTCGAAAAGTATTCAATGAAGAAATACTTTATTATAGTGTTTTGGAAAGTTCTCGAGATAAGCTAAAAGAATAAATAATAAAAATAGGGTATTTCGTTTAAAAAATTAAAGGTGATCTTCATGTGATCTTCAAACAATTATCCAAAATCAAGCCAATGGCATCATTTTATGTCCCTCTTGATTCAAACAACTTTTGTCTGAAACATTTTTCTCTAAAATCATTAGTTTGCGAGATATAGTAACCGTATACCGTAAACATTAAAATGGGACACCCTGTATATACACGACAAAATCGTCAAAAAAACCTACTCCGAAAGCAAAAAATTTTACCATGGTATCGTCTGCCGATCAGCCTACCGCCGTGATGTACCCTGAGGTGCCGATGCAGGTTTGTTGTGCCACATTGACGCGGATTCGCGCCGCCCCTGACTACGACCGCTCCGCAGATACGGCACTGTGCGCGTAGCGGATCGTTAGCGCACAGGTCGAAGTGCGCCCAGACAGCGCTGGGATTCGCCATGGCGCGCAAACTGCGCGCGTGGGAGCGCACTCGGTGCGTGACGTGCCGGCCGGAGGACGACGATGCGGACGACGAGGACGTGGGCGGCGCGGGCGGAGGCGGTGGTGGCGGGAGCAGGGCCGTCGGCGGCGGCGACGTCGACGGCATACTCGACTCGTCGAAGTAGCAGTCCTCCTCGTCCTCCGGTTCCTGCTTCATCGCGAGACTCTCCCTGATGTCGTCCGTAGAGGTCGTCGCGACCGTTTTTTCCCGCGAAAATTAATCGATGTGGATGTTGTTCTCACTCTGTGGAACGAAAGAGACAAAACTGAACGGAAGATTAAAACCGAATCGCATTATTATTCTCAGTTCATTCATGTTTCTTAATAATTTTACAGATTATCGAGCGTTACGTTCTCGCCGATGAGGACTGTCAAAATCAGCTGTTCGCGCGCGGTTAAGTTTCGCGCACGTGCTCTGATCGCTTTAATGACGATTGTTGCCGCTGTATTTTCTTAGGAACAGGCTTCTCTGTCAAGTATGAGAGAGGCGACTACATTCCAGATTCTCTCGTTTATTTTACACCGAAATTAATAACGAATTGAATCTTTATTAGTGCAAAATTCATCCTGAATTATCTCGAAGAGTAAATATCCACAAACTTATGTGCCACAACGCAACAAGAATCGTTATTACAAAAACGCAGCCCGGGACATAAAATAGAATCAATAAAATAGTCTAGAAAAAATTCTTTTATATTTAAATACATAATTCCTCGATGCATCTTCGTTCTTTCGCCGATCTTATCGACTCTCGAATGCCGGGGAAAAAATTGCGCGACAAGAACAGAGTACAAATAACGAGGTATCTCTAAATATATACATCTCGAAGAGAGGGAGGTACAAAAAAAATGATAATAAATAAGACTCGCTACGCCACTGGTTACTCTCCGTCCATACGCGCCATCTTTTTTTCCCTTCCTCGTATATCGAGGAAAAGCATGGTTTGACAGCTGCGTTTTCGCGCGATCTCGCTCGCGCACAATTACACTTGATTTTTTTCCTACGCCCACGCGAGCCAAACGCATTCCCTTCGCCCTCCCCCGCCCGGGAGAGGGGACCGGATTCCCTCTCTCTGCGCGCGTTTCGCGCACCCACTCCATCGCGTGCACTCGCTTACGGGAGTTTATCGTTCGCGGAAGAGATCGCGCGAGAGACCGACCGGCTATAAAACGGCGACGGTGGCAAGTGCGCGCGATCACATCGAGCCAGGGCGGTCGTGGAAGCGGGTGTCTGTTCGCGCGCGGATTCGAGGGCACATGTCGTTCTTTTTTCTTTTCCCTCTACCGATCCTCGCCGACAGTGCGATTCTCGTGGCGCACCAGACGTTCGATCGATTTTCCCGTCGCGGAGGAAGCGTCGTGGTCGTCGCTCGCGTTTCGACTCTTACCTCACGAGTACCCCCTCGTCTGCTCTCGACGTCGAGATAACCGAGGCGCGTTAAATCGGATCGGTTACTCCGGATCGGACGCGACGACGAGCGGAATCGCCAGAACGCGATTTGTCAGAGCATCCGCGCGATGGACTCTCCCTTTCGTCTACGTCTACGTCTCTTCCTCTACGATATATATCCTCCCGAGAGGAAGAGGAGCCCACGGAGACGGAGAGATCGTCGGGCGCGCGCTACCCCTCGCTCGTTTCCGTATCGTTAAACGCCGCGAGATCGTTAACGTCGCGAACGAATTCGGGCGGTGGCCGCGCGTTACGCCGGGCCGGGAGACGATTTTCTCCGAAGCCGAACCCGGGAGTGACTAAAATCGAAATCGGTGAACGAACAGGGGCGCGTCAGGACGCGCATGTGCGACGGCGTCGCCGGTCGTCGACGCATAGTATCCGTCTCGTCGCCGGGCCGCGTCGCTATCGCGCGCGTGCGTCTCTCTCGCTTTCTCTCTCTCTCTCTCGCTCGCGCGCGCTCTCTCTCTCTCTCTTTCTCTCTCTCGCTCGCGCGCTCTCTCTTTCTCTCTCTCTCTCTCGCGCTCTCTCTCTCTGTCGCTCTCGCTTTCGCATCTCCGGCTACATCTCCGCTACACGGGAGATTTACTAACCGACTTGACGATATCCGGCTTCGAAAACAGTCGGCCGACAATTCCGATCGATCGGAATCCACTCACTCTTTCGTTCCCTTCCGTACAGCACAGACCATTGTTGTTACATTGTCGTAATATTGTTGTTACATTGCAGCAATATTGCCGCAATGTAACAACAATGGTCTGTGCTGTGGGCTTGGAGCAGAGATCGAGCGCGATGTAATAAAAATAATGATATTGCGTTGGAAAAAGATGAGAATAAAAAAAGAGTCGTTCGGACGGAATCCTCGATACGGAATCCTCATTTGTATCATATTCGATAAGACTTTCCAGCAAACACCAAGTAACAGTTATATAACTTATAATATAACTGTTACATGTTATATAACTTTTACATAACATGTAACAGTTATATTGTTGAGTGGGAAATTACAACTAACAGTTATATAAATGTTACTTGATGTTTGCCGGGTTCTTAGAGGCGCGCGCAACAATGGACTCTCGGCTCTTTAATAACGTGATAAGCGGAAACGTCAAACGAGAGCGTCGTATTTTTGGAACTAAACCATCTCGTCATTCGCGCTCCGTTTCATATCGCGAGGCGAACGTTTCATTTCAAAATTTATAAAAAAAAAGCAGAGCGTCCATGCGTTATATTTAATTTATTGCATCTTCATTATATTAATTCTATTATTAATTTTATTTTATTTTTCATTAAAATAATGGTTACTTTTTTATCAGCAATGACGAATAACATAGATTAACAATATTGTAGATTATAATTAATAATGAGAAAAATACATTCGAGAAAAATACATTTTGAGAAAAGTATAATAATATAAATATAATAATATAAATAATATAAATATATATACGTAATATAACGTAGATATATAAAATATATAAAATACTGATATTTTGGTTTTGAAAATATTTAAAAAAAAGAATACTTTCATTAAAATAAAATCATTTATAATTTGTTACATTTATTCAATTAATTTTTTTAGTAATCATGAACAATATAAATTAACAATAAAATAAGTATAAATATAAAATAATATAAGTAATAAATATAATCATAATAATAATGAAATTAAAATATCTCGTGCGGATTCATCGGAAAAAGAATCTAACATATATATATACATATACATAGTACATTTGTTTTGAAAGATATTAAAAAATTTGCGATATAAAAATCAAACGCCATAAGAAAGAGAGAGAAAGACAGAGAGAGATGCATCGCGAGCTCTCGCCAATTATAAATAGCGACACACATGGATATTAATAAATAAATATCGATTTCATCCGTCTCTCTATGTCGGTATTTTGATGCGTGAAGACAAGGATCATCAATATATTCGCTACATTTAATAAAAATTTATGTGTCAGATGTGAAAGGATATCGAGCAGGAAAACAACGAAGAACTGGCTCGTGTAATGACTCATCATTTTTAATGTAATTTTTATAGTAGCATAGAGTATAATATTAATTAAATTAATTATATATTAAATATTGTTTTTTTATATGCACTGTGTAACCGAGTAACAATACAGACGAGACTAGCAGATGGTGACCTTCGTAGCACTACTCCTCTTTTACTCTTGGCGCAAAATTAAAGTTATTTGTCATTTTCTTACGTTGCTAATTAACGTGGATATTTCTGTTACATTTACGCTTATCTCTATTTCAAGTGTATCTCTCTCATTCCCGAAGCCCGACAACATTTCATCGATATGCTCGTAGAACATATAAGGAGAATGGAGCAAGGGGGGGGGGAAGCCCGCTCCGATTAAAGTAATAAATTATTTCATGCGAAAAAAATCGATACATGTGTAAAAAAAAAACCTATTTTAATAAATAATACAAAGCGTAGTATCATAATCATTTTAAAGACACAGGCAACAACGGATGGAGCATGAATGTTCAAATGATTATCGCGACTTGTACATCTAAAAAACCCAGTACCGTTTTATCTCGATTAATTAAGATAAGTTTTAATCGCACATGAATTTTTTAAGCAATTAATTAATTCGGGGATTTTGATTTTTTGCGTTTTTATCATTTTTGATAGGATCTGACTGATAAGAGTTGCCAATGCCTTCAAAATTGTCGATCCTGTGACAACAATATGTGTAAGATACATAGAGAGAATTTCATTAAGATAGAATGTGATAGCTTTTCGACAAGTTTGTAAGAATATTTGCGCGCTCCGATCTCTCGTTGTTCTGGACAAGACACGTAACGTATACGGCTAAGATTTTGGCGCGTATCAGTGGCAGTTCTCAAAAAAACACACTATATTATTTGTTCTAACTAACGTATACTCTTATCATGATACTCTTTTTACATGTGTGTGATCGGCCTTCTTACTATTTCTAAAATCTCAATTGCAATTTTCATCTCTGTATGCATAACCACAGAGTCTTTGTGTGGTTGTAGCAAAATATCTATCTAAGTATCTTACATCACAGAGTAAAAAAGGAAAAGAATGTCAGATATCAACGATATAAAGGCACGACGGATTCTCAATGCGTCGTGTTGCGAGAATGTATGTGTGTGTTTGTTTGTAGGTGTACATGTATGGTTATTAGCGAGCATCTCTTACCATTTACCGAAAACCGACTGGCTAGTCTAAAGACGTACCGAGCTCGCTTTAGCAACAATCGTGTGCCGATACAACTTGGCTTTTATTTATTAGAAATTGACGTTGTGCAAAGTATCGATGTACGATGACGCTATAACGGAATAATCGTGGTGATGCGCGTTTATTTTTTATTCTATAGCATAATGGGACACGCAATGACGATCACACTACTATATAGAAACAGACGATTTGATTCTGCGACGGTTTACACGGGACAATATAACATTGGTAATGTAATAATAATAAGAATAAGAATAGTAATAATAATAATAATTATTGTGATATATGCAAAATTGAAGAACTTGTACTCGTCGGGAGATAATTTCATTACGAAGATCTTATTCGATCGCGCGCGATCGAATCACGGCTTTGTCATGAATCGAATATTTATAACCGATGATGTTACTCGTCAACGATTAATATCGAGAAGGCCAATCGATGGGTGGTATGAGGGTAGCGCTTTATCGTTGAGGAGACTGAGCAACGAGGTCGAAGAACAAATCGTACGTTTAAATAACGCTCCATAGATAGCGGTCGCTTCGTGTTCATCGGCTGATCGCGATCATCGACCGGGCCTATTCTGAGCCGTCAAACAATCAAGCGGCATATGCGAAGTACGATAGACAGCAACGAAAAGAAAGCTCCTCGCGTCGCAGCGCTGCGTAATAGTAAAACGCGTAGCATTATTATCAGCATCCCGAATTGCATGGCCCTGTGAAGCCAGTATAGTCTGTAACAGACATAAGTAAGAGCGTATCAAACTGAGAGAATTTTTTTCCTTAATAAATAGGTTGAGAAATAAACAGACAGATAGAAAAGTCCTTATCCTTTCTATAAACATGTAAATATAATACATGTGATGGCAGAATAATACAAATAAATTACTGGACATTAACATATAATTACTTAAAAACTATTTAAAAAATAAAAGAGAAAAAAGTATAGAAAAATAAGTACGTTTTATAAGATGTAAATTCTAAATTCTAAAAATATAAACATGTTAGATTCTAATGAAAAAATTAATATTGTACTAATGTCTGGAAAGATTTTTTAATATTGCTTTACTTCTCTCTTAACAGATTTTAGGAAAGAGATTTCTATAGAGAAATTGCATTGACTTGCAAAAAAAAAAGATATCTTACTTTGTAATGTGTGAACGAGCAGCTGGCAGTGTGTCCGGACTCTCCTTCAAAATAAACTGTCGTATTCCCAAGATGTAATGTTCCAAGTATGACGGCCAATTGATCTGCTTGACATCGAACATAAATATTTCCCGATCCTCCGGACTGAGTTGTTCACCGAGTCGTCGCACGTTGTCGTCCCTAAAGTTCCATTGTTTCGTGCTAAAGTACTCTAGACACTTGGTAGCCTTGGATAGTTTCGCCTGTACACGGACCATTATCGGTCGCGAGCCCTTCAGACGTGCGAAGGTATCTAAAATGTGCGCGGGTAGCGTATGCTGAAGTGTCACGCACAATTTATTTAGGATAATGGAGCTGTGACAACGACCATCCGGATACCAGACAGCATCGTTTGCCGGATGTAGCCGGCTATATTTGAATGACAGATCAACAAACTCCTTCCAAGTTATTGGATTTTGCTGACCGGTGCAACAGTTGTAAATCGAGATGGTGTCGGTGCGATGCGTCGCAGTCTTCCATGCCGCGCAAATCATAAGATTTATCACTATGTCGACAGGCACCAAATCCGCCACTTTGTCCTTGTGACACAGCATAGTTCTATAAATGAGATTGTGAAGATTTATAGGAATCATATTATAGATCATACGTGCTATTTGTGAAAATTATTAAAATTAGTCAGATTGCAATATTAGAACCAAAATAACGATGTGTATTGCGTTATCATTAATTATGATCCTTAGGTTACCTGAAGAAGCCTTTTCCGGCAGCAGCAATAATCCCGGTAGGCCCGTTGCAATTGTCTACCCAACCGGCAACTGGTTCTCTGTACGATGACAACACGATCGATGGCCTGACAATCGCCACCGGTAAAGAACCTCTTTCCCGCTGAAGCATTCGCTCGGCCAACGCTTTGGTAAATGTATATGTATTCGGTCGACCAGCAATCAGACTTGGAGTCAAATCTTCAACCATCTTATCGTCCATCCACTGTGTCAGAGCGATCACTTGTTCGGGTTCCTTCGCCACCGGATAAATCTCCTCGGCGACATCATGTCGATCGCAATTGCAATATGCCGTCGAAACGTGAATGAGAGCCTGCGATTAAAAACTTGCGTTTATCGCGTTTATTTTCGTTATAAATTATGAGAAACACGAATTGCAATTGTGAATGTCCGACTTTCATTTCAGTGCATCGATTAAACCAGATTAAACGTGCACTCCTAATAACTATTATGTGTATAAAGATCTAGTGTATATATGAAAAAGTTATAAAAGTGAAGACGTTTAGAAACAAGTGAAAAAGTGAACGTTAATCTTATCTTTATTTAAGGATCAAATACACATAAGCTTATTTTTTAATTTAATTTATTAAATTTTTAATTTAGTTTATTAAAATAATATATAATTTTTATATATAATTTTTTATAATTAATTAGATATATTTGTAAATTTTCTATCATTGTGTATATATGTGTGTGTGTGTGTATGTATGAAGTATATAGTTTTTATATTCTATAATATACCTAGATTATCGAAATAGATATTTTTCAATGCAATATTATATAAAAAAAAAAATTTTTCGCGAACAATTAATGTTTGAAAAAAAAAAAAAAAAAAAAAAAAAGAATTACGCAATAGCATCCGCGTTTTTAGGCTCTTATCGCTCGTTCCATAATGATCATGTTGTGCAATATTATATCAATAAATAGATTGAATAATTATTCATAATTTGCTCATAAACTATCAAAAATAAAATATTTATATTAATATTAAATATCATTATTTACGAGTTGGACGTACGTCATTTTTTTTGCACGATTTTTTAAGTTGTAAATATGTTTCTTTACCTATGCGCGCTATACATATAATATGTACTTTCATAATCCGATTAATAAATTTAAATTATAATTTAAAAAAAAATCACGTAACAGGAATATTGATTAGGCAATCGATGAATGAAAATTTAAAATTGAATAACGCGATATAATAAAAGTGCACAAAATACAAATACCCGTATAAACCGGCTCTATTTACCTTTCGCAATATGTAGATACAAACTGAATGTATTCACTATTTTTTAAGCAGAAACTTGGACAGAGTTAGAGAGCTGTTGATTAATTACAAATCGACGTCGTATGCCATGAGCAAACGAAACGAAGTATTCAAAAGATTCTCGAGAACGTATCTTTCGATGTAGTAGAGATGTAACCTTCCGTAGAAAAAAGACGCTGTAATCTTTTGTAAAGCATAAGATTGATGGACAAGTCTCTTAAGCGACTTTAATTTATAAGATCTGTAAATCAATCTCGGCTCGACGTTGCGATTCGATGAAGAAAATATGTCTTCTCTTACCTCCACGTTACGCATTCGATGGCACAATTGAACTAATCTTTTGGTGCCCAACATATTTATGGTGACTGAGAGTTTCAATGCCTCGTCGAATTTAACGGTGGCCGCTGAATGAAAAACGACCGATACCGATCGTATTAGCATATCTTGATCGTTTGCTGAGATGCCCAGTTCCGGTTCCGTGACATCACCAGCCACAGGTATGATCTTCGACAGCTCACCCGGAGAATCCCGTCGTAATTTTTCAAATAACTGACGAAAGAAATATGATTTAAATTTTTCGAAATTGCAATAATACAAAAATAAAAAGAAATAATTACCGGTGCGTTTAAGAGTTCTTGCAACCTCTCTTGAACATTTTGGCCTTTCTTGGGTCTCATCAGAAGATAAATGTTCTTGATATCCGGACACGATCTCAGTAGTTTCTCGACGAGAACTTTACCCATGAAACCCGTGCCTCCGGTTATAAAAATCGATCTATCTCTGTAAAAGTCCTTCACGGATGTGTACTCCCCTCCAGCCATCGTGGCCATATCAAGAATGAACGCGTTCTTTAAAAAGTACTAGAAATTAGAAAAAGTTTAGTATAGACAAATATATTTATTAATTTATTTAGTTAATTCAAATAAATTATTAATATATCTTACCCGAATTTCTTGACGAATTACTTTCCGATAGGAAATATGCCTCGGATTCCTATGTCTTTTTGCTTCCTTATGCTTCCTTGTGCTTCTATATTTTTTATATCAAAAATCATATATATTAGAATACGATTATAAATTGATGAAATCGATTAAATTGTAGAATGTAATGCTTACAAAGAAATTGTAGATGATCCGATGGTAAACGATTAAGTACGTTTTCTCTAGATTGATGTTTAATTTGTAATTTTAATATTACAATGTTGGTTCTACTTTTAATATATTTATACTTTTAATTATACTTTTAATTAATTGATATTAATATTAATTTTAAGAATTGTTATATCAAGACGTATAAATAAATAAATAAATGTCATTTCTTAAAGGATGATTGTTATATTACAAAGATTTTTATTTTTCTAACTTCGTATAGAGTGTCTATCTATGTACCTAACAGATTATGTACGTATCTCAAATTATAAACTATTTATCTAATTTTCAGATTGTAAAACGATATCAAAATGGATCTGGAAATATTGTGAAATGAATTTTTAATTATTTTGAAAAGTCATCTGCGAACGCAAAAATAAGATCACTAATGAAATTCTGAGACTGATTTATGACACTGCAATGAATATACATTAATGAATACATTAATGAAAGATACAATAGCCAATCTAAAAAATTTATTTGCTTTTGATCGATACTCATGATTAGCAACTTTGCATTGTTATTTTGCAAAAATGTTTCAATTTTTTGTAAATTAACTAACTTGACGGCTTAAGTATAAAATATATAAATTTAACTAAATAATTATGCAATATCGAGCCAACGCAGATGTAAGACGTGAAGCAATGTAAAAACTACTTACTTTATTGATAATCAATTATATTGATTGATCATCAATAAAGTATGGATTATGGAAGTAGTTTTTTTATTGTTTCATGCCTTACATCTGTGTTAACTCGATATTGCCTAATTATTTAGTCAATTTTTTGTGTTTATTCATAAATTTTTTGTGTTTATTCATATGTGTATTATAATATTACTATTTATATATATGTAAGAATTTAAAACTCTGAAAATCAATTCTGTTGGCGGACATCATTTTTTATTCATAATTATGGTCGGAGTGTACAAATATTAATAAATATTTAATTTTAAGCGTTTCTAATTCTAAAATTATCATAAAATCTTGATTTTTCACATTAAATTAGATTTTTTGATTCTCTAATTTATTTTCACGTAATTAAAAATATTTAATTAATATATTTTATATAGTACGATTGCATTATACGAATGTATATGAACGTGCTTTTATTATTATAAGGCTCGATCCATACTATCGGTCTGCTCACGCTCCGCTCACGGTCCGATCATATTACTATAGTATTCACACTGTTCGTTCGCTCACGCTCCTCTCACGATCCGCTCTCGATTCAATCCCAGACGATTAGTACAATTTTTACTTTACTTTACTTTTTTTATTTTTACTTTATTTTTATTTTTTTTACTAAATCACTACATTAAAATTTTATATTTTTTTGCACATATTCATATAAAAATTAAGAAATATATTAATAATTAACTTATAATTATAAAGCAATATACATATACGTACCTTTTTCAAATGACCAAGATTTTTCATATTGCTTTACTGCTCGCGATACTGTTCGACAAAGACAGATTGACGATGGATTAATTGAAAGTTTATTCACTACGTTTATTCACTTCGGTACGAGTCCAGACGAAGTTCGATCACGTTCCGGCAAAATATTCTTTCAGAGGATATCATTGCTAGAGCGAGAGTGGAACGAGATCAGATCGACAGTTGATCGCTACTCATAGTGTGAATATGTACATTTATAAACAATGGAAAAATATTTGATCAGACCGTGAGCAGATCGTGAGCAGACCGTGAGCGGAGCGTGAGCAGACCGATAGTGTGGATCGAACCTAACGTTATAAAAATACAGATATTTGAAATATATTAAATTATTTGAAAAAAATTTACATCGATAAGAACAATAAAAATATATTTATAATAATTATTTATAATAATTAATACTAAATGTTAATTCACTTATTTGTTTTTTTCTTGCAATATTATCATTGCTAAAAATATAAGAAAATAAAAGTGATTATAAGATAGCAATCAAATTAAATAGTGAAAAAAGGCAAAAAAACCACAGCGCTAGGTTAATGGTAGCTACAATTAATAAAAGTGAAAGAATTTTTAATATAAAATAAGTCAATACATGATCATATAAAAATAATCAGTTGACGCTTAATTAAAACGACAGATGTCCGTTTCGATCCCATTCGGATCATTATCAACACTGTCATTGTCTAACAAAGGAAAATTCAAATTAACAGAAAATTATAAAAACAAAACATAGATCAAAGTCGCAATAAAGTCGATATAAGCAGAGATCTCACGGATGCAAACAGAATAAAAAATAGATACAAGAACAATATAAGAATATTATAAAAGAAAAAATTGGATATAATAAAAGGCGCGCGCGTAATTATAAAGAAAATTAAATAGATATCTCCTGTACGCGAAACGGCGATATGTGCTGCTCACCTGCCAGTCTTCCAGAGCTGGTAAAAAAGCAGTCGAAAACATAATCCGTTAGGCATGAAAGATAATGTGTCTTCTTGAAGATGCTTTATCTCAGGAAAGTGCAAATTTTAGTACTAGGAAGAAAGAAAGATGGTAAGAAACACATCCCAATAGATTTAATGAAAATCTGTAGAAGAAAACATAACGGAGCAACACATATCCCCGCAACACATGCAAAAATTATAATGAAATAATCGCGCGCCTTTTATTATATCCAATTTTTTCTTTTATAATTTTATATTGTTCTTGTATCTATTTTTTATTCTGTTTGCGTCCGTGAGATCTCTGCTTATATCGACTTTATTGCGACTTTTTTCTATATTTTGTTTTCATAATTTTCTGTTAATTTGAATTTTCCTTTGTTAGACAATGACAGTGTTAATAATGATCCAAATGGGATCGAAACGGACGTCTATCGTTTTAATTAAGCGTCAACTGATTATTTTTATATGATCATGTATTGACTTATTTTATATTAAAAATTCTTTCACTTTTAATTGTAGCTACCATTAACCTAGCGCTGTGGTTTTTTTGTCTTTTTTTACTATTTAATTTGATTATTATCATTGCTATTCTACATCTTTCAGCGATGGTATTCGCAAGCAGAATCAACTTTCAAAGTTTTAAATCGATTTTCAAAGTTTTTACAAGTATAATAATCATAAGATATAATAAGATAATATATTAAAAATTAAAATTTTTTATTTTAATTAATAATTAATAATTTTTTTTCCTAATAATAATTGCTATAGCTGTTTTGACCGCGCGTACGAAGTGTGCATCGCACACGGGCGGTAGAAATTTTGATTGAAAGTAGAAGAGTTTGGATAAAATAAAATGATACTTTTCATGAAAATATAATATATTAAAAAATATATTAAATAATATATGAAAAATGTAATTAAAAATAAGCAAATAAATCTTTTATTAAATAAATCTTTTATTTAAAAACTTAGAATACTGTATTGAAAAATTGATGCGAAAATCAATATCTCTAAAATGTAATATCTTCAGATCCATATGAGAATCCGCTATCATAACATTATTTATATTATGATTCAGTTGGATGTTGATAAAATATTCTTCTTTTTCATTATTTCCGGACTATATATATTTATATATACTATATATATATTTATCATGTGATAATGTGATAAATTATATAAAACACACACACACACACACACACACACACACACACATACATATATACATACATGCATACATACATACATACATACACACATATATATATATATATATATATATATATATATATATATAATGCAATATAAGTATATAATGTAATATAATATAGTGTATTAATAATATATACTTGTTTAGTATTGGCGAAATGAATCTTTAATCAGGAACAAATAATATGCGCACATTAACGTACGCGCATTACATATCCAATCAGTTGAAAATTATACTTTTAAAATATAATTTTGTAGTGATTTAAAATTATACTTTTAAAATATAATTTTGTAGTGATTTAAAATTATACTTTTAAAATATAATTTTGTAGTGATTTAAAATTATACTTTTAAAATATAATTTTGTGATGATCTTGTTTAGAAACAAGCTATCTTTAAAATAAAAAAATAAATATTTATGTTTTTTTAAGTTTAATTTTGTTTACCTTTTGCTTTCTCTCGCGTTCTAAAGAATAAAAGCGAAACTTTAGATTAGGCGAAACGAAAAAAATTATGTAACCCATAGAGAATACGACACGTACGCTTATTTGTATATTTTTAGTGACATCACCTAGGATACGTTACCTTTATTATGCGATCTGTTCAATTTTCTTTCAATGATTATTCTTCTATTATTCGATCCTTGAAAAATGAAGCGGCAAGAATAACTTTCAAAAACGATGATAGAACGTCTGCGAATGGTGCGTCGTCCCTTTTTCACACACGTGTACACCGTACTGTGATCTTCCAAGCGGCTTACAATTAGATCCAACATCCGGATTCATTTCGTGTCTTTTATAGTTATGAACTCTGAATAGTGCACAAAATACAAAGTTTTCTTAAAATCCTGAGAATTACGCAAATGTCGATTAATATACAGATACAATGTCGATTAATATACAGATTTATATCGTGATTAATATAAAAGTTATTGATATAAAAATTAATAGAAACATCTCAATTCTTTTCGCGACACGTTTATGTTTAACGTTAAAATACTTTTAATAATAAAAGTAATAAAATTTTGCGTTCCTCTGTCTTTTTTATTACAAAAAAATATTTTTGTAATATTCGGATATGTGTTATTTAATTTTGATAAAAACTTGAACTCATTTCAGACGATATATCTATAACTGATATAAAAATCAAGATAGAATTTTATTTATAATTTTTGTGTATCGAAAATATCTTAATACATCTATGTGTATGTTGTGATGTATATATTTTGTTTAGTATTCTATTATACTTTCATCGAATTATCTTGAGCGGAGACATATTACACAAAACGTATAAAATTATAAATAGAATTGTGCCTCGAATTTCGTACGAAAAATAGATCATCTAAAGTGAATTCTACCTTTATTTCATCTAGACACATCCAACAGACACATGCAGTGAAGATCAATAATACTTGACTTCCGATTCTCGGATGTATCGTATTTAGACATTGCTATTAATTTTGAGAACATTTTATAACATGTTATCATCGATTGGAAAAAAGTATGTTACATTTAAAAAAAAATATATATATATAAATATATATTACTTTTGTGTATTTTTTTAATACTTTTGTATAATCTATACATGTCTTATTTTCATTCATAATTTTTTTAAATAAAATTGATAATTAATTTGGCTCTCTTCAGGTGGGGTAAAGAGGGGTTTTATAGAATTCTCAAACTTGAGAATCTATAACTTGGTATATACACCAAGTAAAATATATTACGCATTTTTACCATCCGCGATGGGCTCTTATTGCTCGTTTTAAAAACTTAATTATCAGGTTGTTACATAATTTTTTTATTAGTTAGTCGTTTCCATATTTTAATAATAAAGAATTACTTCAACGTTATGCAGTAATTGTGATTATTAATACACATACACACACACACACACACACACAGTTTTATAACATTAAAATCTGTTTTGCCTAAAATATGGGAATAAACTAATTATAATAAAAGAAGATATAAATGTAAATAAAATGTATACAAAATAACTTTTTATAATTTTATCGGGTGTTAGTTTTTTAAGGCGATGTAATAAAAGAGAACAGAAGATCGATAATCTGTATGAAAGAGCATATAAGCCTTGCCAACTGATTTGCGAACAATGTGATAAACGTACCATAAAAGGGTTACAAGGCTATTCGGGTTTATGACTATGAAAAGGAATGAATTGACAAAATTATATTGTTGTTTTTAGAATATCTGACCAGTCGCAAAGTATATTAATCCACGGACGAGCGAGAAATATTTGTCATATCAAACATGATGCGATACGATGCGAAATTATCTTACGTAGCGTTAGTATTTATATTGCTTAGTAACTGCATTTCCCCTCCTTTATGAGGAAAGAGAGAATAAAAAGAATTCAAATTTCAATAAAAATTTTTATAACTGCAATAATAAATAGCATAGGATGTAATAGATGAAAGTGAATTGACTAAAAAAAATCGTTGTAAAATTATGGTTGAAAAAAAAAGTGAATATACATTTATAATTCACGATTTCTTCGCAGTCGACATCACGCTACGTGCGATTAATTGTCGACAATTTACTAGTAGCATGCGGAGGTTCACAATGCGACATTTACGTAACCATCGCAGTTTTGAACACGCGCTACCGTTGTAACACTGTAGACATTATGATTCGAGAAAAAGAGAAAAAATACTGCTTTGTTAGTTTCTCAAGAAATTTACAATCCTAATATTTTATTAAGTTAAGTGACATTTAAACGTCAATAAAATGGAAAAAAAAATGGAATTGTGGAAAAAAAATATATCATAACTAAGGTAAATTAAATTTATATTTAATTATATTCATTCTTGTAAATTAAATTATTAAAAGAATATGTATGCTATTTGTATTATAAATTCGATATTTATCCCGATTGACGATTTGACATTTTGGTATTGCAAATCGGCAATCCCGTTCACCTTTTCTCTCGCAATCGTTAACAGGACAAGATCCAAATTCGATCGGGCGTATCGATAACTGCTGAAGTAGTTAGGGATAAGTGCTATAATATAAACATATAAATATACTCGTATAGCATAGACATAGAAACGGATACGGAGAGGATTCTAGGTCACTGTCCTGAAACGAAGCGACCGGGAGAAACCGAGCGTCCGGGGAGTCCGTTACACGTATATACGTATAAATCCGTTACATGACGAATCCGACAAGCGCGAGCGTGATCTTGACCATGGTCATGCAACTGCGACCGCGAAAATGTCCTTCCTTCCCTCACCCTTCCTTCACCCTTCCCTTTTATTTCGGCCATCACTCTCACCGCTTTCCGGTGTCCTCCCTGATGGCCCGATGATAAGTACCTTATATTTCGCTCACGTAACTCGGGCACCCCGCGTGAATAAACGGAAACCGGTATACGTGATTGCGGAATTCGCCTTTTACCAAATGTTGCAAGAACAGGAATAAAAGCAAGAGCGATAAACGAGCTAGAAACTTTTCGCCAACGAAATTGGCACATTTTTTCGGGCGTATTCGACAGAAAAAAAACCGCTTATTGTTAATAAATTTTAATAAATAATCGATGATTGACTGTTATTTCCAGCATCGAATGTCGACGAGAGAAATTATTTCAGACACCCATACAGCACAGACTATTGTTACATTGCAGCAATATTGCAATATTGCTGCAATGTAACAATAACGGTCTGTGCTGTATAGGTCTGAAATAATTTCTCTCGACGACACTGTTGTTACATTGCAGCAATGTAACAACAATGGTTTGTGCTGTATGGGGAATCAATTACGTTTGATTGCTACCCCAGCAAACACAGAATATCGCAGCAATGTTGCTGCAATATTTTGTGTTGGGTGGCTACTGAACGGTTTTTTTCTGCTGAATACGCTCGTTATTATCATTGACAGTTACAACGCGGGAAAACTGTACAGTTTTCACGAGCGAGCATCGAAAGATGGGAGATATTATAAATCTCTTGGCGATCTATGTTGAAACTCGAGGCGAGAAGATTATTCTGGTTATATCAGAAGCGTGAAAAATTATCGCGCCATGTGCCTTATTTACTTTATAACTTTTTGATAACAGGTAGATCGAGAGGTGATTCAGGTGATTATATCGAAACTTGTTCAATTCTGGAAAACGCGAAATTTTGCGTAATATATACAGGTTTGCTTATGGATACCGGTACCGTGTGATAGTAAAACACGGTTGCAACGTGCATTTAATAACGGCCAATAGCACGCCTTCCATCCGCTTGCTGCATCTCAAAGTGTGTCAGCGGGACATTGACTTCCGAAAAGCATGCCACGCATCAGAGCGTGGCTGAAAGACGCAACTAGAAAGACATTCTTATTTAATTGACATGGTAGAGCGATCAGATGCTAAATAATGCATCGCGAACCGATTCTTTATTGCGCCATGCCCTGTTGCAAAAAAGTGTTTCGTTGTTACTGATAGATTTTCATGATAATAAAAATGTTCCTGTCCTGTAAAAATATTGTTTAGGACACGTAGAATTTATAGCAGCCAATTTTAATAATGTTTTCTTGCAAATTCATGACCCCATTAATACCCATATTAATCACTGGATTGCATAAACGAGAATTATTATATTACAGCTGGAATGATTCTTCTGTGAAAAACGATTTTTCTGTATTTCACAGTTAAACTTTAACGAGTATGAATGTTCGTAATGAGTATAATTAGCCTTAACATGGCTAGAAAGATTTTCTTTCGAAATTTCACTAGCAACTCCAAAGTTTGACTCTGTCATTTAGATTGATTAAAACGCATGCAATATTTGTTAATTATTAATCTACTTCGGTTAATTTTTTATTAATCTACTTCAATTTTTTGTACCTAGAAAATTGTTGCTATAGTTGCAAGAACATTTCTTTTGAGTGCAGATATCGAAGTGTCAAATGGAATTACATGTACATGTAAAATTTTATGTTTATATTAAAATATCGATAATTAAAATCTAAAGAAAAGAAGGACACGTTTCCGGTTAGATTTGAAAATTTTGATACAATGTATATTTTATACGCTGGAGACACAACCAATTAACATTGTATTTTTATTACTAATTCTATTTGCACATCACATACTGTGCTGAATTTCATTGTCCTTCTTTTCTTTACATGTAGAAAACTCTTGCACGTATAGAATTCCAACACGTATATTTGCGTTCCACGCAAATTACTTCTGTACTCTTTCTCGAAAAATTCATTCGATTGATCATTTATTTAATTATTTATTCGAAAGCGTTGTATATTTATAATTCCAAGTTGTATTTATAAAAGTAAAAACGGTTTTGCATATTTCTATAAATATAATTCACAATGCATCATTATGTATTCATGATTTTATTCCTCAATTAATTTGGACGAATTAATTTTAATTATTGCGGATGCACGTATAAAACAAAAGAGTATATAGAGTGAATGTATGCGAAAATTGATTCAATCATTAAAATGAATATAAACAGGATGTCAGGGCAATTTTTTCCCTGCTCTTGTAGCTTATCTCGAGAGTTTTTCACAAAACACTATGATAAAGTATTTTTTCATCAAGTACTTTTCGAGTTATGAGGCTTGAAATAATTTCTTAATTTTACATATACCATAAAATATCTAGTAAAATATTCATTTTTCGATTATCTTATCTTAATACTTTTATGTAGAAAATAATGAGAGGAATCAATTGGTGTAAAGAAAACACACAATTGTTTCAAAAAAACAAAAAAAATATGTAATTATTAATTGCAAATTACAATTTTTTTTTCGAAACAATTATGTGTTTTCTTTACACCAATTAATTCCTCTCATTATTTTCTACATAAAAGTATTAAGGTAAGATAATCGTAAAATGAATATTTTACTAGATATTTTATGGTTTATGTAAAATTAAAAGATTATTTCATAATTCGAAAAGTACTCGATGAAAAAATACTTTATTATAGTGTTTTGAAAAGCTCTCAAGGTAAGCTACAAGAGCTTTTTTTAGGAAGAGATTGCCTTGATACCCTGTATATGCATAATTTATAAATCAAGCATTTTATATCTTTTTGGAGATATAATTTCGCGGAAGAGTGACTCTCATAGGAATAAATGAATATATGCATATAAATATGTGTGTGTGTTATGTTTGTATATTCGATAAATAAACTTAGAGATTTCAAGAATAAATCACAAAGAAAATATGTAATTTCCTTCAAGAGTTTCGATCGCAATAGGTAAATACATTATATATGTATATCAAATGCGATGAAAAAAAGAGATATTTCAAGAATATCACGCTTGGCGTAAATCATAGATAATATCATTAGTACATTGAACTTTAAAGATGTATATCTCCAATTCATTACAGAAAGCATTGTAGAGAAACAGGTTTTGATTGACCTAATGAGATGTAAATTTCTCAGCAACGAAATGTAGTACTCTCACTTTTAACTTCCGTAAGTAAATATGATAAGTGTTGTAATATCGACACGATATTATCTAACGATAATATATGTCACACGATCCAAGTTAATCTCAAATCGCAGACATGCTATCGTAACTTCTATGACCAATAATCAACACATGACACATGCACATGCAGAACGCGCGGGATAATCCCGAGAGAAAGATTATCGTGCATTTTTTTTCGCGTAAAAGAATCATGCGATGGATCAATATATTAGCAACAATAGCAACAATATATTAAGAGGCGATACGAAAAGAGTCCTTCACTTGTCATTTGTGCTACGACAATAGGCTCTACGACATGTGTGTGCTGTGTGAAATAATGGAAAAAATATTTATCGTCTTATCTATGTGTCAATAAGTTTCTGTAGAAAGTTTATTCGTGTTTTATTAATCGAAAAGCATTCTAAATTTCTCCCAAACATCATTAATACGATGTATTTTCTCGAATAGAATTTTCGCTTACCTATTCGGTCTCGTAATGCCATCATTTTTCTCGATTAAGCGAGTATCTGAAGAACGTTATCGAGATCAGGATGAACAAGAAGACTCACATATCTTTCCCTGAGCAATGAGTAAAAACGCGATGAATTCCTTCCTTCGAAGATTAACGGACGACTAACGAAACGTCTACTGAGCGTATCTGAAACTAACTCAAGTTCCTTATACCTATCCACTCGATAGAACGGAACGTTTTCTCCCACTACTGAAGCCGATCCCGTACCGCACCTCACACCGCGATGTGTGCATCGCCTTACCACGTGTGCAGAGACTTTTCATTTTTATATAAAAGAATGTCGAAAAAAGTACCATGACCTGTTGGCCGTAAAATAAATATTTATTTAATGCAGCGAATAGTTTATTCCTTCGCTTTTGCATTATTCAAGTTATTGATATATTATTCGCGATTTACGTACGTTAAATTATTTCATCAATCATCAGTGTAATCAATTCCGGAAAGTACTTTCATAAAATCGAGAAATTGTTCGTTACGAATCATTTTTTCTTATTTTTTTATAATTAAAGATTTTTGGATTGACGTCAATTTCATTTCGATGTAAATTTATTCTATGATAAAAATGATAAAGTCTTCGGGAATATATTTGAGATAAAAATTTTTATGTTATGTTTGCGTGTGTTTTTTTATTTAAAGGTAACGGAAACATATTCTCTTTTTCTCTTATAAAAAAAACCAGGATGTCAAGATTAACATAATAATCTAATCATCAAAAATCAGAATTAATATCAAGAGTAATGTAACTTATAATTAATATCGCTGTTGCCGAATTATTATTGAAATGTATGATAATAATTGAATTGCAGTTCATTAATTTTTATCAATTAACATTGTTACAATCTAATCAGTTAATAAATTTTTCACCGTTATCAAAAAATATATCCATCTATCGCTGTATGTACCTATTGCTAATAATTATATAATTAAATCTTACGATGTATTGTTACAAATTATGCAATTTAAACTATAGAAATTTATGTACACATAAGAGAGAAATATAATAAGAATAAGAATATTCAAGTGTTTCGGAATAATTAATTAAATTATGACCTCATAATAATTACTCAAATTTAGAATCATTAAGAACCATATTAATACTACACAGCGAAAAATTTTGTGTTAAAAATTTAACATGTTTCACATGTCCCAATTTATCCACTCTAATTTTAATGTTATGTTAATTTAACAGAAGACAAATGAAAAATTAACACAAAAATGTAACACTTGAACGTTATCTGGAACTAAAATTTATGTTAAATTAGGATATTTATAATGTTAAATTTAATTAAAATAAAATATTTATTCTTACATTTTTGTAGAAGTAGTTGTTTAAAAAAGTTGTTTTTTTATCTCTTTATGATAAATAAGAAATATGTTGATTTGACAGATGTGGGAACTGTAAACAGGAAAGTAGCACAACTTATCTATTCACCTGGACTTATCTGTTCACCTTGATATAAAATATATCATCAAAAATTCATTACATATTAATTGTGTTGTTTTAACTCTTAGGTGAATATTAACGCAGAAAAGTCAAAATAATGAAACAACAATATTAAAAGTTTAACACAAAAATTTTTACACGAGAAAATTTTTACAGGACAGAAATGTAAAATGTTCACACAAAAATTTTTACACGACAGAAATGTAAAATGTTTTTGTCGTGTACAGAGTGATAAGAAAAGTGCGTCCTTCGTTTATATGTATGTGTGATTAAAAAAAAAAACTGTTACATTTCTTCGTGAATATTTTTAGAGTTATAAATTTTTTTTAATTTAATGATTACTGTAAACAAATTTCATGATTACTGTAAACAATGAATCTATTTTGTAATTGTTTGTAACACATAAACAAGATTTTACGCACATTATATATATATATATATATATATATATATATATATATATATATATCTTAACGCATACTTTACGCATACTTAATTTTCCTATTCCATAAATACGATCTACATAACGCTTGACGTAACACATGCGTTACGCAAACGAGTTGTGCTGAGAATACGACCATTGAGACTTCATATTAAAACACCATAATTAATTTCTTAATTTGTTTGTGTTATATAAAATCACGCTAACGCCGAATGTTCTTTTATTAATGTGTCACTTAGTATGCAATTAAATTGTACAAGTCTTACATTTTATATATACTATTAGTATATATAAAATGTAAGACTTGTACAATTTAATTGCATACTTATTATATATACTATTTTGTTTTTATTCTATTTAGATTTCTTATCTTTTCCAAAAAAGTAGCACTCAATAAGATATAAATTTTTATTAAAAGATATGCAGGCATCCTAAAACTATATCGATCTTTCAATAACAATCTATGGCCAAGTGGAAACGATTTTCTCTCAACAAAAATATCGAAATATGGTAATTTTTGAATTATAAATAATTAAAGAAAAAAGATTTTTCGCAAACTTGTAAAAGGTTAAAAGATTAACAAAATTATATTCCAATTTCAAATAAAATTTGCCTTAATAGAATTTTAATTTAAGATTTAATTACAAAGATGTACATGATAACAAAAACTAGAAACTTGTACCAAATGACATTTCTCGACGTTTATGCTGAAGAAAAATCGCCTCCAAATTGTATCCAATCAAAGAATCTATTATTTAAAAAAATACCCGATAATTTTAGGTCACTATATATATTTTTTTAATTTTGGAAATAATGTGACTGTTGCAATATGAGAATATGTCAGAAACTATAAAAGACATTATGAAGCATAATTTTATTTTAATAAATATTTTAATTTTATTTTAATAAATATTTTTTAATAAAATTTTGAAAATAGCTATTTTTTAAGTTAAATATAGCGTGTTTAGATATTTCATCATGATTGTCGATTCAACTAATTTTGTAAAAATTAGTGTGACAGTTTTCGTTCACTATATTTAATGTAAGATTAATAGAATGTAATATAATCTCATACTGTCACTTTTTTGGAATCAAAAAGTCATAAATAATAAAAACAAGTCATAATTAATAAAAACATAAATTTATGCACATAATATTATGCACATTCAAAAATATCTTCCGCTCCTTAATAATCTCAAATTCCTTAGAATCATTCAATTCTCAAGGTCCTTAGAATCTTTGATGAATAATAATTCAATTAAATTTTTTAATAAAAAATGATCAGAAGAACAAGAATATATAAAAGATTCGGAAAATTGAAAGTCTGCTATAAATCTATTTCGCTCAATCCATTTTCTAGAAAATTTTATTTAAATATTATCTAATTGAAAATGTGTTAATAATTCATCATGCATGAACTAACATATTTATTCTTTGTGATATGAATAATATTTCCATAAAAATTGTGATGTGATTGCTGTTTTAAAATAAGTGACAAGTTATTCTATTTCAATCTTAGACAGAAAACGCATCATATATTAGAGGATCCTTTAAAATATCTTTGTTGTTCATAAATGTTCGTTGATCGAAAATCATCCTGATTTAATGGTAAATTTATAAAAACTTTCATTCGCTCAAACATAAAATCATACAAAAATTAAATTAAATAGTTATAATTACTATGTAGCTGCAAATATATAAATTCAGCTTCATCAGTGAATAAACTTTAATTCATAAATCATAAATTAACATCCAAATAAAATATATATTGACGCAAAAAAAATATGATGTAACAATTAATAATAAATTAAAATGTGCTTGAATATCATACAAGTACAAGTATCTAGAATGAATCTCATTAATTATTAAAAATGTAAACAACATTAATCCATAATAATTTCGAAATCATTCACCGAAAAAAATTGATATCAATTCATGAGATAATATTATACGAAGGATTATTTACTTTATTATTAGATGAATGAATATTCAAAGAGTATTTAAGGACTCTTATGTTTGTTAACATCTTTAATTCAATTTTGTGATTTCTATAAATTTAATTGTATACAATTTATAATTTTTATATTATAATAAAATTTTTGCATATTTTTGCAATAGATCATAAAATTACATGAGTTACATTTTTATGATTTGTACAATACATCATCAAAAAGATCTTTTTATTTTTCGCAATATAACTAGAAATAAAATATCTATAATAAATTAAGACTGAGATATGTGGTACATTTTTTCGCGATTATGCACAGAAATTGGTAAATTATTAAAAGTATCATTAAAAGTATTACGCAGAGTTTGTAATAATTTAATAATTTATGCAATCTATAAAAAAATGTATCATCTATCGTAAACTTTATTTTATCTATATTTTATAAAACAAGTTTCAAAAGCGGAGTAAAATTTTTTATTTGCGATTATACACGAGAATTAATAAACTATTAAAAGTATCACATAGGATTTCTGATAATTGAATAGCTTATGTGCAATTTATAAAAAAATTTACAATTAATAATTTAATTTTATAATAAAAATTAATATTATAAAATATTAAAATAATTTTAATAAAAAATAAATAATTTAATTTTCTATCTATTTGTCTATCATAAACTTTATTTTATTTATTCACTTTACAAAGCGAATTTCGTAAGAGTGGAGTAAAATTTTTATCTGAGAAAGAAATAAAGCTCCAATTGTCGTAGATGAATTTTGTTTTTTTCGCTTGCTTGTTCTGTATATTCTATAGTCACAAAATTATTTATAATATCAAGTCTTACTTTTTCATGATTTTTTTCTACAGTTAAGATTATATCCCGCAGTTTATTAATAATATAATAATCGGAAAAATAGTGCGAAATAATCATAGCGATAGTGTGCACGGCTGAATGAGTCGGAAATCACGTGAAAATTGTTCATTCTCACGTTAGTGTCGATTAGATTATTTTAAAGCCATCGTATCAATTCGAGAAACCTCATCTCCCAAGACGTATCAACCGATTCATTGGCGTGAACGCGATTCGGGAAAATTCATACGGACGCAAACATTAAGACGGAAATTTATCCCAAATGCAAGTCGAATCTCGAGATTTCGGCATGCGGTGGTAACGTGGAAGTGACGCAGTATGTATCGATCAGGTTTCTCCGCAGACTTACTGGCTCGAGATAAAAAGACCCGTAGTGCTTAATTGTAAAATTACGAGCAACTACATAAGCAAGCATGTAACTGGAAAGAATAAACGGCTCGCGAAGTGTGCGTGACGCGATTTAACTTTTACCATTTCCACCCCAGCAAATACCAAATAACAGTTATATAACTGTTAGTTATAATTTCTCACTCGACGATATAACTGTTACATGTTATATAACAGTTATATTGCTGAGTGGGAAATTACAACTAACAGTTATATAAATGTTACTTGGTGTTCGCTGGCACAAGTGCAGCGTATATTACGCGCTAGAAAAAAAAGAGCGTGTGTGGGTCGGTATAATTTTTCGACAATTAAATATCACGCTTGAAATGCGACAATCAACGAGCTCGAGCGAACGATGAATTTTGCGAGACGACAGCAAGTAATAAGTACCAAAATGCAGGGAGAGAATGTATCTAGATAAGATGTCGCATCGAGATAAGGCGTCGAATCGAAGCGATACTTCTGTTTTGTCTGTTAACGCGAAACGCGAGATAAGGGAAAAGAGGCCGAGCCAGGGCGAGGCGAATTTTCGGCGCGACTCGGGAGGCTGCTCCGCCCAGGGTTCAAGCTCGGAGCGACTCATTATGGTATCGTAAGAGGAATAAAATCCACGATAAACTTCCAACTGTCAGCCGCTCGACAATATTCTCCTCGTGCAAGCGATGAGAGAGACTCGCGTCTCTCTCTCTCTCTCTCTCTCTCTCTCTCTCTCTCGTCGCAACCTCGGTCGATTTTTAAAGCGGACCACCCCGTCGAGCGCTCCGAGTTTTCTCTCTGGGAGCTCGGCCGACAGAGAGGGTCGCGCTCGCACGCGAGCACCGATGAACCCGGGATCCCGAGGATGGCGATGTTCGGCGGCGAGAGAGACGTGCTTGGGACCGCGTGGATTAGACGGCGAGATTAGGCGAGAGAGACGTACAGGGGGAAAGAAGTAGTCGATGACAGAGTAGGCGCGGCCAGCCTAGCAGCGGGCGCCGCGCCGACAGCGGCCTTCCGCATCCGTCTTGCATCCCGTGAAAATCAATGTCGCGCTTACCTCAGCCGATCGAGGGAATCTCCTCCTGTCTCGTGACGCGCACTCCGGGCGCGGATGACGCTGACAGTATCGCTTTAACACAGAATCGCCGATTTTTCGCGTGCTCGCCGCTTTTCCGTAAATGCCCCTCGCATGCCAATCGAGTCCGCCATCTTCGGTGAACTGCCAGATACCCTCTCAGGGCGGCCAACTGCGGGCCGACCGCGCTGCGCGCGAATAAGCTCACCTCGACTCTGCGCATCTCGTGTCATTTCGCACGCGTGCGCGGCCTCTCTTTCCTCTTGCTCTCTATCGGGGTTGGGCATTTGCCGCGGGGGGGGTTGTCCCGTAGATTTCAAAATCCCCAAAAACTTACCTTTTTTAAAAAAAGGTAAAAAAAGGGCGCCAAGTTCATGCACTAATTGTATCCAACTGTCATATTGTCTACAAAAATAGTGATATAAAAAAATTGCGCCAACTAAGAATAAAAATTTGTACAAGATAAATAGAAGTATAAGGAAGAAAACTTGTACAAGTTAGATAGAAATATTTTAATTGAAAACATTGTTATACAAAATAGTTGCTTTAATTTTCAAAAATAATAATATTAAAAAATTAAAAATTTATTTAAAAATTGGAAACTGAAAAACTAATATAAAACAAGAAAGTAAAAACTCAAAAGTCACTTTTTATTTTACGCTTCAAGTAAAAGTACCCAACTGTCACTCACCGATTCTAATGAAACTTTGTACGCCGGTAACGAAGGAGAAGGCGAAATAATCGGAGACGTAATTTTAGTAATAAAACAGTTTATTTAAATGTTCATTCCAATGTCGCATTCCGAAAACACAGTGAAAAAAAAATCGTGCGATAGCAATTGCAAATGGATTTTAAATTCATGAAATTTGCGAAATAGTTATTTTTGGACTAGTTAATAACAAATTACTCAAAAACTTGATGTGCTGGAAAAATTCTGCGGTCAGATTCATTTCTAGCGTCAAAAATCTATCAGATTCATTACTCTGCTTTTTTTAATTAACCAAATCTAAAATTTTACAGACCTGTGTTGTTTGTATTACTCCTTGAATCAGCGAATAAATAAATATTTTTAATATAACGCGGAACGTATAGTTTATATTAGGTTTATATTAAACAAACTGAAATATTTTAAGATATATTTCGTAGAATAAATTAAAAAATTCTACAATGTTTTTTTGAGATTAAGTGTTGTTATTAATTCTAATATTTTAATGATGATTCACATTGATAAGGATTTATTATACAATTTTATATTTTTTAACAGATATTTACTCGAGGATATTTTACGAGGAGATTTCACAATGATTAAAAAATTATTTATACAAAATTATTTATACACATTTACCTTGACATTTATTTTGATAAATCAATTTCGTACTTATTCGAATTTTTCTAGTGGCAAAAGTCCATTGTATAATTATGTATATCAGATTCCTATTTTTCATTTGTGATTTAATTATATGAATATAATCATCTTTTTTACTCCTTTTTTCCATATTCTTTAATTGTTAATTCTAGAAAAGAAATAAATAAATAAAGACACACATCATTATATATAATGATTCATACGATTCATATAACAATTCTCATGTAAATGATTCTCTACATAAATCTCTCTATAGAAGATTTATCTCTCTATAGAGGATTTAAAATTAAATTTGGTATCGATAAAAAAATAAATAAATATTATATACATAAGAAAAAAATATACGATTAAATATACTAACAATAAGATGATGACATAAATGATGACATTAAATATACTTTATATTGTTTACGCGTAGACTATTATATATAGTTTACAAGAAAGATTTACCAATAATAATATAGTTTTTGAGTAAAATTTATTTTGAAATCTATGGCACACTCATAATTCATATTCTCTACATTATATATATATATATGTGTGTGTGTGTGTGTGTGTGTGTGTGTGTGTGTGTTTGTGTGTGTGTGTGTGTGTGTGTAATTTCAATTCTTCTTTTCCCTTTTTTGCATAATTCTAACATTGTGTACAAGAAAAAAAAGCACAATGCGAAAAGTTTCAAAAATGTGTAAACGGAGAGTAACACATACATCGGCTTTTATATTCTTGTATGTCATTTAGTTGGATCAAAATTATAACTGAAAATAAAAGTTTTTAAGTAAAACAAAAGAAAAGTGGGAAGCGAGAATTTGTCGTCATTTCATGAAAAAACTCTTCGTAATTACGTCAATGCATCGAGATCTCGATAATAAATTCGCAAAGGAATATTTTTAAATATTTCCGCTTTTTAACATATCCGGTTTTTACGTATGTTTGAAAATTTGAATATTCAGTGTGATCAAAGATTCGAACTATTTCACGCCAAACATATACATAAATCTTTCAAGATATTTGGATTTTTAGTTTACTTTATTTCATGAAAAGAGTCAACGTAAAATCATGTTTTTTTTAGATTTGTCTTCAGTTATATGCGGTGAGCTAATTCTGCAAACACATTTATTATAGAATACTAACTTTTTCTTAAGATGCTACGAATATCATTACTTTGCACAATATTGCTTCTGATATTAAGTCTGTATTCCAGGTATTTCTGATATATATTCTGTATTCCCGCATTCTGGTATTTATTAATTTCAATTTGACTTTCTAATTTATTAAGCAAGATAAAATATATTAATAAAATAAATCTATTTTATTAATCAATAAAAATCAAAATAAAACGAAAGATAATTTATTATTTCGAATATAACAGATAAAAAATTAAAATAGATTAAAGGATATATTATAATTATATTTCGAGCATAACGAATTTATTGTGTTAGTTATTAAATTTACTATTTTCGATTATTATATTGATTATCATCAAGAAAATTTCATATTTTCGATCATTATTATATTCATTATTATGTTAGGAAACAAAAATTAAAATCTAAATTTTATTTTTCCTTCCAAAAGTGTAAAATGCATTAACATTTGTTTAAAAAGAAAACTTTTTGATTTTTTCCATTTCTTTTTACAAAGATATCTCGTACTATTTATCAATGTCAGTTGATGGCATCGTAACAAATATCAAGTCACGTCCAGATAGAAAAAAATGAATGTAAAATCATTAACAAATATCAATAAAAAGATATTATTTAATAAGTAATATTATAAAAAAGTTTATGTATATATATATATATATATATATATATACATATATATATATACAGGGTGAATCATAATGGTTGTAACAACCTTTTACCATTAGAAATCAATTATCGACTGCAACTGTAATCAATCGAATAATTCATAGATGACAGCTGCTTGGATCGACCGTGTCTGCAGTAACGTACAAGCGAGTTAAATACTGTGAATCAAATAATATACATATTCTATGCATACTTTTCTAATATATTTAACTCTTTTATGTACATATTTTTCTTTCTACACGGTTTTTTTCTAATAACGCGATTTCTTATTATTGTGAAATGTATCTGTCACATAAAAAGAGATATCTTTTGCATTCGTGTATTTTTTAATACGATTTTTTTTAAATAATGGTATTTTAATACATAGAATTTGACGGCGATTTTTTCCATTCTTACACAAATCATTTTAACGTGTAAAAAGAGTTGGATTGGTAAACGATACAAAAGTATTCTTTTTTTATAAAAAAAAAATGCGTAATTCTACTTTCTACAAGAAATATTCTGCTGTAGATATTAAGAATGTAAAAGTTATAACTTAGAAAATTAATAATAAGCAGAATAATTCTTGTAGAAAGCAGAATTACGCATTTTTTTAATAAAAAAAGAATACTTTTGTATCTTTACCAATCCAACTCTTTTTACGCATTAAAATGATTTGTGTAAGAATGAAAAAAATCGCCGTCAAATTCTATGTATTAAAAAATCATTATTTAAAAAAAAATCGTATTAAAAAATACACGAATGCAAAAGATATCTCTTTTTATGTGGCAGATACGTTTCACAATAATAAGAAATCGCGTTATTAGAAAAAAACCGTGTAGAAAGAAAAATATGTACATAAAAAAGTTAAATATATTAGAAAAGTATGCATAGAATATGTATATTATTTAATTCACAGTATTTAACTCGCTTGTACGTTACTGCAGACACGGTCGATCCAAGCAGCTGTCATCTATGAATCATTCAATTGATTACAGTTGCAGTCGGTAATTGATCTCTAATGGTAAAAGGTTGTTACAACCATTATGATTCACCCTGTATATATATATATATATATATATATATATATATATATATATAATTATTTGATAAGAAAACAAATTAATTCTACTTCATTCTTTCATTCGCTGTTATACTTTTATAATATATTACTCGTTTATTTATATATTGCTCGTTATATATTGCTCGTTTATCTTCATCCAACTCTCAATCTTCAGATTTTTTTTCTGTTATAAAAATTTATCAAAAGTTGTCAATAACTTGCATCATCAATTAGATTATTATTGAAAACGACTAACTATAAATAAATTTTCGTGACTATCAAATAAACTCGAGATAAAAAAATAATTAAAGAAAAATGACATTACCAATCGATTCGACAGTATTGAATATTAATATTAAGAGTTATTTTATCATACAAATATTTTAATTTACTCAGTTATTACTTTGTTTTTAGAAATATAAACATTTTTTATGAAGCTATTTCAAGAATAATAAAACGCTTTATTGCGTAAAAAATTTGTGTTTTGTTACCGACAATGCAAAGACTTATTTACCTACAGTAACGCGCAGCAAATTTCTTCAAGTTACACTAACTTCCCTAAAGCTATCCACACAGTATCAAGTCGTCCAAATTTAAACTATTTTTGTCACAAACATCTTTTACTAACACCGTTAGGCACGGAAAGATGGCTAAAAGTCGTGTCTTATGATCCGAATTGAATGATTTTTTAGTCTTGTCCATATGATGACTAGAAGATGACTTGATTCATGAACATATATAAATTATCGACACTCGGCAATAGAAATACACGCAATAAATGGACTATTTTTCATTTATCCGTCTAATTTTAAATAAACTTTAATATTCTTAATCCCAACAAGGAATCCAAATTATTAAATAAATTATTTTAATTCAGTTTGTCAAAAATTAAACTGATAAACAGTGATACCAGGAAGAGGATCGCTGTGCGTAGCACATGTACATGGCTC